TTATTGGCACGCAGATCAATCACGTCCAAAATCATAAACTCCACTCGAGACGAAAGTCCTTGTCGTTTAGAGATCTGCTTCAAACCTTGCATATACTCATTCATACTCTTGACAGATGTAGAATCATTTTTGGACACGGTGCTGCTCTCGTACTCGAGTGCCTTGCCGACAGTGGTTATAAGCTTGCAAAGTGACTCGAGCTCTTCTTCATCAGGCTCGCCTTTACTGGGCCACATGAGTCCCTCGATGCACCGTCGAATGATGTTAATGGCTATGACTTTGTTGGGAGTCATGTACAACTCACCAATAAACTTGATATTTCCAAGTGACCGACGTTTGATTTTGGCAATCTCGTAGTCTTCATCTGCAATGCGTTGACGCTCTTCAGAAGTTAGATTTTCAATATTTCGACGCTTCTCTGCTCGCTCTGCTTGCAGTGACTGATCAGTAATTGCCCATTTTTGTTGAGACTCAAACTCTTGTTGGCATGATTTCACAATTCCACGACGGAACTCGTTAAATTTATGTGCCTTGTTCATCCATAATTGCACACTAGGAAGACGATTTAACAAAAAGTCGCACAATTTGGCATACATGGGTGCAAATGTAGATTGATCCAGCGCTTTTTCATATATAAGTGAAACAATTGCATCAATTATTTCCTGATTGTCAAATCCAATATTTAGGATCTTTTCAGACAACTTTTCAAAGTTTTCAATTGTCAGTTTGTTGAGCAGACCCTGTGCCTTGCGCAATGTAACTTCCATTTGTGACAACTCTTCCTTGGTAGGAGGAGCCCATGCATCTTTGCTTTTTTCATATGGAACAAAGTCTGCGGGTGGAGACTCTTGGGGTGTAGCACCATGGTAAGAATTGCGATGCTCACGACCATGATGATCGCGTCCATACCCATCACGATTGTGATTATGGTGGGATCGAGGTGGAAGCTGTGAGTTGCGACCTGATGACAACTGGCGACTCATGGAATGGCCACTGTTGGACGATTGACGAGACAATTGTGGTGGAGCAGGTGAATACATCTGTCCCTTTCCAGCATTTGACTGTGTGCGATTATATCGGTTTGTGCTGCTACCACGAGAGTCAGAGCTTGATTCTTGGCGTTGAAGACCAATACCACCGCTACTGCTATTAGAGCGACTAAATGACAGTGAGTTGGATTTGCGCATGCCATCAAAAGCAGACATGTCTAGCCCAGCTGGAATTGTCTTGACAAACATAAGACTCATTAATGCAGCTACCGAGTACCTGCGATCTCCAGATGCCAAGTCTGGCATCTCTACACCTTCTGGATATTTAATGTTGCTATTATCCGTCAATTTAGTTGCAGCATTAAAGTCGGTAGGCTGGCGTTTGGGCTTTGCTGGTTCATGAGTTTCCTCCACAACCTCACCTTCCTCTTTTTCAGTTGCGTCATCTGTGACGGGTGTAGTCGCTGTGACGGAAGTGATTTCCGCTGCTTTTGCTGCAGGAGGAGTGGTTTTGGCTGATGTAGGTGCCAACGGAGGTCGAGGTGGCAAAGCAGAGCAATTTGTAGAACTCTTGATTGGCTTGATATCTACACCATCTGATTTTAACGCCGAGGCAGGGACTGGAGAAACAATAGGAATACACGTAGTTGTTTTAACTGGTTTGGTATCTACATGCGTTGATTTAGGTGCTGAAGTAGAAGTTGAAGAAACAATTGGAATGACTTTGGGAACAACAGGAGATACAGTTTTGGATACAGGCGCGGTAGAAGGCTCGACGGCCTTTTTTGTAACTAAATTTTCCTTGACAATTGGAGCTTTTTTAACAATTGGAGTCTCTTTTGATACTAAATCTTCCTTTACAACTGGCGTTTCTTTTACAACTGGTGTTTCTTTTACAACTGGTGTTTCTTTGATAATTGGAGTATCTTTAACAACTGGTGTTTCTTTAATCACAGCAGAACCAGTTTCCTGAGCCTTGACACGACGTGACGGTGACACCGATCGCTCCTTGGTAGAAACAGCTACAGCAGTCTTGGGCTCTACCACAGTTACAGGGATTTCAGCTGTCTTGACTAAATCAACTTTTTTGGAAATCTCTGGTGTAGCCGTGGCAGTAGCTGCATTGACAGGTACAAAAGCAACTGGAGTGGCTACAGATTTGGTGGGTGACATGATCGATGGTCCTATAGTAATTGGCTTGCCAGTGACAGGATCCTTGATGACAAGCTTTTTATATTCAGGCTTTACAATAGGAACAGTTGCAGAATCAGGCTTTTTGATCTGAATGACTGCTGATGCAGGTTTGTGCAGCGTGGCAATCGTGGTTGGAATGATGGCTGCATTAGCTGTCACGGACGCAGGAACTCCAGCATTTTCTGTCAAAGAGCCTGACGTGACTCCAGAGCTGGATGAAGATGACAAAGTAGGACCAACACTGACCACTTCCTTTGTATTAGGATCGACAATTTGAATGGCTTTGGACTTGCTGGGTGATGGAGATACAAGTTTCACACCTGCCAAAGTAGTTGGCGGTGTTGTGATTGGAAGGCCTGGCATGGTTCCTGAGCTTATTGGTGCTGGACCATGTGAGCCTGGCTGTACGTACATTGGATTGTATGCGAACGGATTGTACGCAGGATAGAATTGGTTTTGATACTGTGGCATGTACTGGTAAGGCATCGTACCGTTGGATGGGTGGGGTACCATTCCTGGTACCATATTTGCAGATCCTTGTCCAGGTATAAACTGCATATTAGGAACATAGCCGTTTGGATGCATCTGCATGGGTGTCAACGATGATGGCTGATGTGGACCCATCATGTGTGTTTGCTGCTGGCCCATGTGGCCCATTTGTGGGTATCCTGGCACACCTCCTGTAGGTGATCGCATCTGACGATTATTCTGTTGATAATGTGGAGCATTGCCTCGATATGTCTGTTGTCCAGAAGCTTGATTACGTGGTGCAAAAAATGCTCCAGATTGCTGATATTGCTGAGCACCTGTAGTCTGATGTGTATGTGTAGATGATGACTGTGATGTCGCAGGTTTGACAGCATTATCAACAGCTGTTGTCATAACAGGTTCTGTTTGAGCAACAACTGGTTTAGCTGCCAACGATGCTTTGGCTGGCAAATCAGATTCAACCACTTTAGCAGTGGATTCAGAAGCTGTGGTGTGATGTACAGATGCGTCAACCTTTGTTGTTGCCTGTGACTATCAATGGTTTTAAACAGTTAACTATTGCTCATGTGTTGGTATCAACTGGCATTTCATCATCACATACACGAACCTGTGACTGTGCCGAATTGACAATTTTATTACCGACATCAAATGATCCAAATTTAGGTTTGGTTTCAGTAGAGACTGCAGTACGATCTAATAGCATATCGAGTGAGTATTCAATGCATGAATCATGTAAAACAAACGATTGAATACAATCATTGCAGTCGCAATCTCGAATAAACTCGTGTATAGTATTCAACCAACTTACTTTGTGGTTGCTGTGGCACATTGCGGAATTGAACTGCAGATGAGTCGCTGAGTTGGTCATGTATGATATTTGAATGACATTACATCGTGTAAATCATTTTCATGGCTGTTAGTATTGTACCAATCATTCTACTAGTACAAGAATCAATTTACTCACGTTGATCCGGCTGCTGAAAAAGCCTCACTAGTTTGTGGTTTACGAGGCACAGAGGAGCCAGATGACACGGTGCGAGATGCAGACACACTTCCAGTGGGTGCCTTTTTTGATTTCTGAATGCCAGGTTCAGCCATTAAACTAGATCCTGAACGAGCTATAGATGCAAATGAAACGCAACCAGTTTTGGATGGGATCGTTGATATGACGGCAAGCGGTACAGTTCCAAATGTGAGGTGGGTAGTTGAGGCTGTAGATGGAATCTGATGAGTAGAAACCGATGCAGCTGTTGGTTTTTTTGGCAGCTGCTTGACATGTGTAGATGCAGCATTTTGCGGTGCATCAGACAGAGATTGTGTCATTGGATTGGGTACAGAATGTGATGGTGCATATGTAGACGATGTTACAGGTGCAGTATGATTCTGCTGGTTGTGATGGTGATGACGATTGGTATTGTTGTGCTGATGCTTACCACGAGTCCCTCTTCCAGATCCGACATGAAATCCGGCGTGTGATTGTCCACTGACAGCAGTAGGCACAGCTGCAGTCGTGCCAGTGTCTTTTTTATCATTCACATCAGACACTGCGGTTGATGGTTTTTTGGCAGTCTGAGCATAGCTAATCTTGGATGGTATTGCCTGTGATGATTCAGTAGTATTAGATCCAGTACTACCCGTAGCAGATGTGTGCTGATGGACTGCCGTATGTTGCTGCTTTGCAGTATGGGAAGGCATGATGACAGATAGTGTCAATCTTGGTTTGCAGTAGACTCAATGAACAATAATATTGATATTCCAACAGTGGATTGATAGCAGCACTGGCAGAAATCTATCAATGCAAGGATTATCAAGTTGTATAAGATATTCATGGCAGTTTAGTTGGTTGAGATTGTAAATGGCTGGGGTATGACATGCATTTATTGACACTCTTGACTCTACTATTATAATACACTCGACACAATATCCTAACCATGCAGCTTCATTTACCTTTAGTTTCTGCAGTAATAACTGCGAATGTCTGGCCTGAATTCACGGGAAAAAGAAAAAATATATTTTTTGATTTGAATCGACAAAACTTGAATTACAAGACGTGATGATTGTCTATAATAATCATCGAGTAAATTATTCATAATAATAATCACAATAAGTTGTTTATAATTGCTTTCTTCCATTTTTATTCTCTCCCGGCTTTCGTATTATATAATCAAGCTGCAAACTCAACAAATGTTCATTCGTGATGGCAATTGCTTTATAATTTGATTATACAAGCAACTTTGTACAATAGTTTTATATTGGCGTTTTCTTACTACAAATCAACTCTTTTTATTTCTACTGGTCAACCACACTCTTAACCACATTTACCAATCAAGTCAAGTACTATAAAAAATATTTATTACTAGTCATCTAGTTGCTATAATACAAAATATCTCTACAGTGAAAACAGCTGATAGTAGTAGCAGACTTGACATCCACCTTTAATCAGCACAATCACACTGCATACCACCTCTTGAAAAATAGAGGCATGAGAGTCAAGAGTGATCTTGATTGCTATTTGGTCAAGGGTAAGGTCGGAAGAGCAATGTTGTTTTGTTTCCAAAACGCTCAACTAACCACAATACTCGCCATTAAGTACAAAGAAGTAAAGAAAATTCAAAACTGATCTGCTTTTATTCACATAAAATTGGTCATTAAATAAGGGTGTTGATACAAACTGTCCGTTTTATGATGATTTCCACCATATTTATTGAAATTGTCTTTTGAGCTTTAATTCATTCGAGTTTCTTGATGATTGGCATGTAGAGTTGCATTCCTAAACTATGCAATCTTTATTTCTTGACTTGGAACGCGAACATATTTGATATGCTTTAAAACACAAGAGATGAGTTTGACAATATCTCTGTTGTAATGCTTCAATTTGGTGATTGTACACTATACAAGTATGTTAAAAGAGGAAAAACAGGTTTAAAACTATAGTCTGTATTATATGATGGTTGTTTGAAAGAATTAAAAATGTCTCCAAAAAGTAACCAATTTCTGATAGGTATGCATGCATAGCGAGTACCTAACCACTATCTATCCCAAAGATACACAGTACTTCATTTTACGTGAATACTACTGATTTAAATCTAGTTTGAGGCACATTTCTGTGTAAAAATAGTTGCAGTTCAAGTATAATGCTATTAGATTGGTCATAGCAGGTCATTTATTCAACTCTTGTCTAGATTCATAAAACAATAATAATGAATTTGTGTTTTATTGCACATGTTGGACTTCTTGATTAGATCCTTCGTGCACAACAGCAGATGCTGCAGATCCTGCAGATGCTCCTCCACGTTTTCCCTGCCCTCTTCCTCGACCACGACCTTTTCCACGAACAGGCTCTGCTCCTGTATCTGTGGGTTCATCAATTGGATCTGCAATATTTTCTACAAGATCCTTGAGGAAATCGAACTTTTCTTGACTCACAATGGTTCTCTTGCTAACAAGTCGAGCATTCAGACATACGCAGACGATTAAAAATTGTCAGAACATCTAGATCAACACAGTGGATTTTAAAAGGGTATTGGATAGCTTACACATGTGCTGATGTCATCTTTTTTGCATTTCTAGCCTTGGTTTCTACAAGTGTGGCCTCGACCATGCTGGAAAGAAAGCATTCCAGCGCTTTAGCTAGTATAGAAAATGAAAACAATGTCAGTCATGCAAAGGCAATGGGGTTAAAGCTGACCGAGTTGGTCAGTAAAAACTGAGCCAGACATGGTCTACCAACATCGCCAAGAATGTGAAAATGTTCAATACCACTTACATATTAATAAAGGAGTGACTTGTGCAACCTTGCCGACATCATCATCTGAGCGCATAATCTTCTTGATTCTAGCCTGAAAATAAAGTAGAATCAATACGTTATTATAAATGGGATACTCTAGCTCAAATGCATTGTTTAAAGCCATCCTGGATATGCAATGCCATGATGGACTTGGTAATTGCAACAACAGCAGTAAATCACTCAATAAAAAGGCGAGGATTGGAAATGAAACGGAAATTCATCAAGCAATTGAAACATACTGCTGGGAATTTTGTAGAGAGTTTTTTCATGGTGAATAGTATTTCGCTTTAGATGAGCAAGAGTGATGCTAGGTGAGCTGGACAGTTGATATTAGTAGATTGAGGATCAGAATGCAATTTGGCGAAATACAACAAAATGCTATTTTGGCGAATTTCAAATTTGGCCATTCGTGCCTGATCTTTTATCTACGACTCGATGTGTTATGAATCTGCTGCTTGTTGCATCAATGTAAAGACTTGTATTTTATATATCAAACCCAAACACATCATAAATTGTGACAGTATACATCTATCATGACTTTTGGCAAATGATCAAAATCAGCACATTTTTAAATATAAAATGCATACAAGCCAAAAGACATGAACGAGAAATCATTGTTTATTTGGTTTAACAAGTAAATCTATAAAGATTGAATAGAAAGGTACTTGGGATAAACGGTATCATAAAGATACAATCCAGTCGATATATACAAGGTTTATTATCAAGCATTGGCCACCTTGCAGATTTTATTGATGAAGCGATCTAACAAACCATGTAGATCCTTGAGCAACATGGCACAAACAACTGAATCATAAAACTGCATGATTTTACGTAATTTGGATCGAACATGGTACGTATCCTGAACAGAGAGAGGAGGATACTGTGCATGTTTTGAATTTGGCGATATAGGATTGATGGGATCAGAATCAGTAGTTTGAGCCAAAGTAGTAACCCGCTCAACCCATTGTAATAAGATTTGCCTTGATTCGTTTAGAAAACGAGACATGGTTTCAGAATAAACTAAAAGTGATGCGGATCCCTTGGATGCACCAGCATTAAGAGTGGAAGATGCAGAAGCCATCGATATATTGTTGGTGCTTATGGATAAAATGCCACTGGGATTAGACGATGTACTATTCGAGGTTGTTGTAGCTGATATAGATTTGCTTGAACCGCTGCTACCTCTTTCTTTGACGCTTTTAAACTTTTCCAATGATTTTTGAAACTTGTGACTCCATGACAACAAGCGATCTCGACTGGGATTGGGTTGTGTCGTCGAGGGATCCAGAGTCGAGTGAGATGCATGAGAATCCAAAAACATGGAGCTAGATCGACCGTCGTCATCAGAAGATAGATATTTGAGTTTTTTAAGTAGTTGTGTTCGCACAACATCAATGGCAAACTCATATTCTTCGACAGCCTTGTTAAAATTAGAGATACTCGAGATTTCTGGATCATTTTGTTGAGCAGCACGAAGACGATCAAGCGGTACAAAAAGTTGATTAAATGTATTGCATTTCATATCGATAAATGCGATTTTTCCTCTTGGTTGAGTCCAAACATCAGATGGGACGTATAAATGATTTGTTAGAAATCCTCCATGGGACATGCTTTTAGCGAGTCGTTGCATGATTTGTAGAGGTCGTAGCAGTGGGTCATTAAGCAAGGGATCAGGCACAGAAGTGTGTGATAGATCCTGACGCATAACATTGAGAAATGCAATTTCAAATGAAGGAGAGTGAGAAGGTGGATCCAAGGAAACTGGGATAGCAGCGAATGGTGGTTTAACTAGAGGATGAGAGTATGAAGTGGTGACATCGATGGGCAATGTGGCAATCAGAGTGTTGACTCTTGCAATATATTGATCGCGAATATGCATGATGGCATGTTTATCATCGGCAGAAACACTCCACAACGACTTTTCAGTAGTCTGCGAGGTTTGTAATATTCCACCGAAACTGGAAGTTTTATTCAATCCTAGATCTTGAGTAGCACGCCGTCTATGTGGTCGTGTACAAGGAGCTCTAAGTAGTCGCTCTACTTGCGATACACAGACCAAGATATCGGTGAGATTTCCAATGACAATGAGATACCTTTCCAAAGCAAGTTTATGAAGCTGTTGATTGTCTGCACGTACAGCCTCGTCAGAAAGCTGGAGTGCCAACATCAATGACCGTTTAAGTGGGTCAGGATGTTCGTATGGAGCAGAGTTCATGCGCAGAGCCTTTTTTGATACGAATGTGTGGTCGTTTAGTTGAGGAGGAGCATGATGCTGAGTGGGGAATGAATTCAAATTTGGAGATGAATGATTGTGAGGATCATTAAACTGATGTGAGAATGATTTGCGAGATGGACGAGTAGACTGAGTTGCAGATGCTTCATGGGTTTTGCTAGATCTACGACGAGTTCTTTGAATTGGATGGTCAAGAGTTGGACTAGTGGGTGGAATTGCTATGTTTCCAGGTTGATTCTGCTCATGAATAGCAGACGAATTGGGTTGATCCAACATCCATGCTGGAATATCTGTAAGTTGAATTGAATCCAATTCTGAGATGGATGGACCAGGAAATGACTGTCGAGTAGCTTGTCGATCCTCTTTAAAAGATGAGCCATTATACAAGACTCTGTTTTCATAAGATTGACTGACAGGATATCCAGCAGATTGGTCTGAAGAACGAGTTCTGAGTGGTGAATGCTGCATGGTGGTGGTTGGTTGAAGCATATTCGTGGTTGAAGCCCCACTACCGCCTGTACTACTGCGTCGAGTGCCAATTGCTTTGGATGGGTCAGCAAGCAAATGCTGCCCATGCGATGCTGTTCTATCACAAGCATTGATGCTATGGTTGGAAGACATGCTAATCTGTTCATTATTGCTGATAGTACTGCAGTTTCCTATATCGCTATCATTGCTTGCATGTAAGCTCTTGTTGATATCAGGACTGTTGGATAGAAATGCATGATTGCTGGGATTAAAACTTGTGGTTTCTTGAACAGCAGCAAGAAGCCAGCCTTTTGACAAAGGCTGAGGCAACTCTAAAGAAGGTTGTAGTCTTGGATCGGCAGACTTGGAAGCACCTTCATTAGACTGTGTGTAAGTAGAATGCAATGGCAATAGAAGCTGGTCGAGTTTCTGCTGACGGTCTGTCTGAGAAGATGCCGTATTTTGAGTAGAATGAAGTCTCTGATAACAAGTATCATCAAAGTCTGTATCCAGAGTCGATGTCAATCCATCCGTTGTATGATTCAATGGCTTGTAGTTATCCATGAATAATATAATAGTTGATAAAGCTGAACCGACGCGACTGGAGTTCACTTGTTGAATCGACAAGTGATGAATATCACTTTAAAATCATGGATTATTACTATTATTTATTATTATTACTATTTAAAATCATGGATTATTACCATTTGAAATCAGGTATTACCATTTGAAATCAGGTATTACCATTTGAAATCACCTATTATTACCATTTAAAACCACCTATTATTACCATTTAAATCACCTATTATCACTATTTGAAATCATTCATCATTCATCTACTCAATCTTATCATGTATAATTATATTCTTAATATATACAGTTTGATTCCTTAAATTTAATATTTTATAAAATGAATTTCAACTTTTACTTTTACATATCAACTGCGCTGTCCATTTCCCAATGGGGTCCATGGACATCATTCAAACAAATACTGCCAATAATGTACTTAAAAAACCTTCTACAAAGCAGAAAAAGGCTCAATCACAGACCAATTCAAAGACTGGTCAAACCATTGACTTGGATGCAGATGCCATGTCTGATGTTGAAAGTTCTGCCATGATGACTACGGTCGATAGCAGTGCAACTGCCATGAAATCTGCTGCTGTTCCAATGATATGGCGCAATGTCATCCAATCTGTACGAATTACTATTCCTTTGAATCTGCCAAATACCGAACTCAATCTGTTCAACTATCCTGAACTGGTTCGACGGCATTCTGAAAAGGTGCAATCTGAATCAGTATCCACTGCATCTGGTTGCAATCCTACACATGAGTCTGTGCAGTGCGTTTCTCCTATATCTTCAACTGTTCTCTTGCAGGATTTAGTGCCTGCTGTCGATACCACTACTGCGTCCGTTCCAACTAAAGGTCTCGGAACTTCTTCCAAAAAGACTGTCGAAAAGGTATTTCATGATTGCTTCAAAAGGATTGAGCCGTCAATCCACTCTGTAACGCTGCTTGATGTCTACTCGTTGCTCAATCCAAACTTTATTTCTTTAGAGCAAAAAACCTGTTAAAAAAACTACCAATGTTGCCGACGCAGAGTGCAATTACGACTTGGAAGACGACTTTATTGACGATAGCGAAATGTTTACCGATGCCATGGAGGGCGTCGAGGAAGTACCAGAGTGGGATTTTGGATATTTTGTTTGGCATGGATCTGTAGAAAACTTTTTTGACGAGCAGTACGTTATAGTTGTATCGTGTCATGTATACTTGTTTAAATCTCTAGATCATGCTGGTTTAATTAACTGGATTTAAAATACATTACTAGAAAACTTAAACCCAAACAACCTAAAAACAAGGAACGTCCTGGATCAAGTGTCGCATCTGCAATCGTTACACGGAAAGAATTTCCTAAAGATGCACCAGCTACCACTACAGAAAAACCAACTCCTAAACAAACCAAACCTGGTGTATCTGCAAAATCTGCAGGTGATGCTACTGCCAATACACCCGTGACAAAATCTAATAAATCTACTGCAAAATCTACCACTGCTTCCACTGACGAATCCTCTGCAAAATCTACTAATAAATCTACTGCAAAATCTACCGTCGCTTCCACTGACGAATCCTCTACAAAATCTTCTCCAACACATGATACACTCAAAGGTAACAGTTGAACTCGATCCTTTTCAAATTTGAGTTTATGCTTATTTATTGTTTTGCTTGATCTGATGCTTTGCTACAGGTTCTTCCAAGAAATCATCTGCAGTTTCTGCATCCAAGAATAGCGAAAACAAGGGATCTAAATCTGACGCTGCCAGTTTATCTGCTCCATCCGCTGCAAAAATACATGCACATGAATCAAACTTTAAATCCTCTTTTTCTACCCCTACTCCTGTCTCAAACGGAGCTTCAAAAATGGTTATAGACGAAGTAAATAGACTATGCAATTTCAACCTATTTATACGTTGTCATTCAGATATTAATTCTTTTTACCATTTTCTGGATTTAGGATGGGTTTCCTGCATCGGTTGTAGAAAAAATTAAAAATATTCAAACTATAGCAGCATCCAAAACATTTCAGGACAAGAATCAATTTCCAGGAAGTCTTGTTGCTCCGCTGCGAGATTGTGTTTGGGAGGCAATGGAACATCAGATTCATGATACCCCATTGTATAATCGATTGGCATCCATTCTGCCTTATAACGTTACAATTTTAAAGGTAGTTCAAATTTGACTTGAGATGTGGGCTGTAATCAAGAATACATTGTTTGACAAGTAATGCGGAGTTTAGAAAATTGTAGTCAAGCTTATTTTCCCCGAGAGATTACGAGTCGTCAAAGAGCAAGTACGAAACCTATATACTACTATGAAAAACAGTATCGAAGCTTCAGTTACAGCTCAACGAAAAGCTGATGAGAATGCTTTATCCCAATCTTCTCAAGCACCTTCCAACGTTGACGATGATAGCAAACCCAAGTTTAAATGGGAAGATGAGATTCGTGTCCTAATGTGGAATATATTATGTTTTGAATGGGAACTGGCAGACTTGGATAATATCAGCAAGTAGGTCTATGAATGTGAGTGTGTGAGTTGGTCATTTATATCTAACTTTTTTGTATGACTAGCACGTTAAACAATGAGAAACCACGGTTTATTGAAAGCACTGTGCGTCGAGCTGTATATGGAAAGGTGAGTTGAATTACCCAATCTAATCATCTGCTTAAATATTGATTTATTCTATTATCGTGTTGCCTCGACTTTGTTATTTTTAGATGTGTTCATTTTGGCCCAATTCATGGATGGACACAAACTTGCTTTCCCGCGAATACAGTCAATGGAAAAAGCGAGTGCATCGTTTATGTGCACGAGCAGATGTAGGAGAAGACATTGAAGTAGCAGGATTAAAAGTACGGCGTGATCCATTTGCAAGACCGACTTACAATCGCAAAAGTTTGATCAAAGGAGGCACACCTCAATCACCTCAATCTGCACAAACTTTACAACAATCTGCAACTCAACCACCGCCTTCAACGCCCACACCTGGTTCAGGACACGAATCCCTTTCATTATCAGTCCTGTCAAATGAAAAACAAACTGATACGGTTGCTGATTCATCCACTTTGACTACCGTTTCACCATCCGACAAGGCATCACAGAGCGTATCCAACCATTTTAAACAACTTGGTACAGGGTCAAATGATCGCAAACGGTCATGGCCCGAAACACATTCTGTAGATGGCAAGAAATCAAAAACACTATCGGATGTCATTGTGCTGGAATAATAGTAATAAACCATAAATTGCTCGTCTTGAATTTAGAATTAGTTTAAACCACCTTGTCATCAAACTCATCACCACTTGTATTTCATTTTACGTAAAAATGATTGTACAACGTATTGAACAAGTAAACAGTCAATTTGCTAGTTTTTTAATGATTGACATCAAAACTGTTTGTATCCTTGATTGACAATATTGTTCAACGCAACCTCTGAAATACAATGCATAATCTGACAACTGTACATTGTATACTTACCAAACACCATTCGATTCAAACCACAGTTTGATTGTGTGCATTGTATGGACACGATGTGTATTGAACTAAACATGCGTAGAGGAACCATCCATGTCTAGTAGGAAAACAACCATTTCATCATTGTTTATTCCGCAGTAAGAGTGAGGGGTTGACCGCAAGATAAATACAAAAAATGCTTCATTTACGTGAATACGACTGTAGTACAATTGGAATAAAACCGAAAGACCAACAACAAAGCAAGAGCTAGAGAGTATACTTGAACAAACACGATTGCCATGATACGACATACGTCTCATGTGATCCATTTTGGTAAAAAGCATCAAGACATGGTCGTCAAGCATTCAGGAAAGAATTCAAAAAAAAAGTCTGGGAATCTAGAAGCAGCAAAGGCTTCAAGAATATGATTCGCAGTCTCACAAATCACTACCGGTTTGCTATCAGCAGAAATGGGGCCTTTAAGCATATAAGCATGAAACATTTGATGGAAATCTGGACATAGTTTACCAGCTTGTTTCATGGTAGATACGACAAACCCACTCATTTCCGTATACCAAGTTGCATTGGCATAGATTTGAGCAGAAATCTTTTGAAGCTCAGTATCAAGTCTGGCAATATCATTAGGAATAGTTGTGTCGTCGAGCTTTCGTTGAAGACGAGTTTTGTCTCGTTGTTGATTCTGATATGCTCTTTGAGTGAAATTCAATGCGCGAGTAATTAAACTTGCATGGCATCGAAGCAGTAGACTATGCAATGGATCCCAATCTTCGGATCGCATAAGACCAAACGCTGCTTTAAGCAGCGAGTCTACACACGTTTCCTTGCTTGGACATGCATTCACATAAGAGTTGGTCCCAGAAGCTTCGTCTCTGATAGAAGTAGTCATCATAAAACAAATCACACTTGCAGAATAATGCAAACACTGCATAACGCGAGCCTGTTTGTATCTAGGAGATCCCCTGGACGAATTCTTGATTCGAAGATTGTTGGCATCTCCACTTCGCTTATGATGAATTCCCAACTGACGCCAGTCAGTTTCAGTCAAAGGTTTGACCGGAGATGCTGCTGTAAAAGAGTGTGTACCTCGTGTATTAAAATCTAAAGAAAGAGATGATGTAGAATGAGCACTAGACACGGTATGGGTTGAAATGGGTGTATGTGTATAAGGAGATTGAGTAGCAGGTCGTTGATGAGCCGAGTGGGATTTGGGAAAATCTACCGATCTAGGAGACACTTTGGTTGTTCGATCAGCTTTGATGGCAAGACTATCGCTGCTAGACTTGCTACGAGAGCTGCTTTCATCTTGTTTTGCAGTAGAATTCTTGTGAAAATAACCATCTTCAGAGTGGCTGCCCTTGATGTTCCTCGAGGAATCCACATCTGAATTACTGTGATGGGATGTCGTATGATTTAAAGGATCTTCATGTGCCGAGCGATGCAAAGACATCTCGTTGGAAAGCTCACGGCGATTGGCTTGACTATAGGGACGCGTCTTTGGTATACTCGGAGGACTGATATAACTCGAATCTTTTGCATTGTTCTTATCCCTATCAAGACTAGATTTGCTACCAACTTGCTCACGCTTAGCATCCATGGTTTCATTGACGCCAGTTTCACCTTTAATGCGTTTTACAGAACGCAAGCCATCATTACTGGCGACTTTTTCAGTACCATTGGTTGATATTGGATCTCGATCCTTGCGTTTGTTGTTGGAAGGTTCAATGCACTTGGATGCATGGTTCATGTCTTTTCGAGATCGGTTGTTTTGTTGACCGTTCAACTCGACTTTTCCAGACGAGTTGGATACCTTTGACGGAACAGCTTGTTTCTTTTTGTTCTCTACCTTGGAATTCAAAGATGCTTTAAAAGATTTTTCCGACAAAAATGTATCCATAGTAGGTGACGTACTGCTTCGCATTCGTTTGGGTTTGCGATCAATGTCAGGTTCAGGTTGGTACGATTTTGAATGTTGCATTGCAACACTGGAGTTTGATATAGTTGTTCGGGATTGTGATGGAGATTCCTTTTTTGAAAAACGCTCTATGCCTACTTCCTGATTCGGAGATCGTTTTTTGGTCCGTGACACCAACACGTCTTCATCTGTATCATTACGAGGAGGCGCTTGTCGCTTCCTGTCATCAGCTGCAGAGGTGGGACGACGAGGAGATTGCAAAGACTTTCTCTCTGTCATGCCTTTTGATGCAGATTTTTCAAATTTCATTGGTTTCTTTTTAGGATTTAAAATGCGCTGTTCCGTTGAATTGGATCGACTGTTTGCAGCAAGAGTCTTGCTCGACTTTCCTGCAGAAGCCGAGTTGGATCTTGACAGATCGACAGGTGAGGATTGTAATGAAGATGAATAGGACTGAGCAGTAGGCAATTTACTGAAGAGATCAGTTTGCCTTTCTTGACCTAGTTTGTTGACGGATGAGTACTGACTAGAATTGGATATACGTAGCTTGGGTAGTGCGGATTTTCCCCCATTGAATTGTGAAAAAGCCAATGATTTTGATGTGTGTTGGGGATCTGCAAAACCTTTCTCGGTAGATTTAGATTGAGCAAGTTTTTGTTGAGCCATATGCGCGGCTTTGATGTCGGATATACTGATGGGAATCTTGATCACCACACTGTGCAGTCTCTTGTGTACCTGTTCCCATCCTTTGATTAGTAATACGTTGAATTCTTTTTTTGGATCGTTGTGAGCAGATTGACCCATAGAAGCACTCGACGCATTAGAGCTGCCATGACATTCTAGTTTTTGGTTTTCTGTGTTGATTATAGTTGCTTGTGGTTGACTAGATAGAGTATCCATACATGAAAGACAAAGGTCAAAGATGTCAGATTATATTTACTATTGACGCATGGCATGGTTTGAAACCAGTAGCCAATTGAATCATTTCACAAGGTCGCCAAGCATACACATTCACAACATACCTTTGTTTCGAATCAGCCAAAGTCTTTTGTTTGATTTTTCCAAAAGAATATGCAGGCCGTGCAACAGGCTTATTTTGGGGTTTAAAATTGGTATCAGAAGCTGTTCCAGTAGTCTGGGCAGTAGCCAATCGAGGGGATTCTAGTGGAGTTGACTTGAGAGTAGACACAGCACCATCGACTTGTTTGAATGACATATCTGGTTTGATAGCATCACTTGACATGTACCCATCGTTTATAACAATGACAGGATCCATAGCAGAAACATTCAATGGGGCAGATTTATATCTGATGGATTGTTTAAGATCAGAATCTGAGAGTAAAGCACATTTATCTTTTTCGACACTGTTCAAAGACTCTGTAGCAAGCGCAGTAGTGAGGCGAGAATCGCGGTCAGAATTAAGTTTTCCAGTGGATATATACAAAGAATCAGAGAATGTTCTATCAGAGATGGAATCACGCATGGCAGCACTGCAATCATCGCCACCACGCAAAGGTGGATTGGTGGAGCTACGCGCCACAGTTGATAGTTGAGCAGATGATTCATGCTTTCCAAGTGGGACGGAAGCAGATTTGGACAATGACGAAGAGCCTGTATCAGAAGCACGAAGTTTGTAGTGAGTTTCTAAAGCAGGATGAGCAGATTGCAGTGATTTGGAAGGAAATGCAGATGGATTCCGAGCATGTTTATCGCGAGGTGAACGAGATTCGCTCGTGGTATTTCCGCCATACTCCAATGGTGGGCCAGTAAATGTCATGTATTCCAGTATACTCCAAGGAGCAAAAGCCATTCCAAGTAGTTTGGGTCGCAATGCATTCAGTTTTGCAGCAGTTGATTCTGACATGCGACCTTTTGAGGGGTTGGGATTATCTATAGCTGAAGCCATGGTTGCATAAGTCGAATAAGGGAGAGCATGTCTAGAGCGACTGCCTCGATACTGTTCTTGAAATTTGGTCTGCCATTTGTCATTGAGAGCAGATGGCGGTAGATTGTTTTTTGATAAAATAGTAGATTTGTTATTCACAGATGGAGTTGGATTGACAGAAGGAATGGATTGCTGTCTAGCAGCAGCAGCAGCAGCGGGCAGCCCATCGCTGCCCGATTCACAATTCCCCGCATTTGCATGGCTGGCAATATTTTTAGAACCAGACGAATGTTGCTTGCTACGACCGTTGTTTGGACGTATCCGAGATTTTACAGTATCGCTAGTGCGATGACAATGAGCGTTACTAGCAGTATCGGAGCAGCTAGCGTGTGGGCTGACATCGTCTATAGATCGATGCATTGGTGACTGCTGGATCGTGTGTTGGGCAGTAGCGAATAACGGCGGTAAATGAACAGAGTCAATAACAGATACTCTAGACAAACCAGACGAATTGGCCATGCGTCGGTATCAACAGCACCAGAGTAATCCTCGCTCACTAATCTGCCAAGAGTGCTCTTGACCAAGTAGCACAAAAGCTGCAATCGCTTGTGTATGACATTTATTCCTGTGGACAAGTTTGAAGGGTCTTTTTACCTGTCACTGCCTACCGCGCTTGTCCTTGAGTTAGATTCAATCCAGCACAATAAAAAGGGCGTTCAGTGGGTTCAAATGTTAGGGTTTGGTGCGAACATTGTGGGCTTTTAAGCAATAAGCATCTTTGTTCCAATTATTCCGATAAGAATACAGCCATATTCACGTAAAACACTATCTGTCACTGCCTCGTTTGCTTTGAAATATACATGCTTAAATACTCTTTTGCTGATTGCCATTTCAGTAGGCATGCTCAATTCTCGAGACTTGTCGATTGCACAATGCGTACTCAATGAATCATTTCAGTTCAAATATAGTTTAATTATAGAGGTTGTCTCAACTCAGATATCCAACTCGTCTGTTTTGATGCCGTCAAATCCCTTTTTGCTGTATCCTAATCAGATACATTCGCGCTTCTAGCTCACAACAACACAGGCTGCAGACTTCAGGGATGCACCTGCTATGTTCACCCCAATCAACAGGAGAACCTCACACAAATAGAATTCAAAACAGTGTCGTCCAGTAAACCAACATTGATTATTCAACGAGACTGGCAGTTTATTATACACTCTTGTTTAGTATTTCATTGACGTGAATACGGCAGGATACCCTTCGTATGTTATTCCTAATATTGATATACCTCTAGTCATTCGAATTTTTCGTTGCTGCTTTGTACAGCTGATCAATCGCCTGCTGGAACCGCAATACTTTTTCATGATTCATCACTTGTTTTGGATCGAAATTAAGAACTTGCAAGCCTTCTAAACTCGTCGCTCGCGACAGGGCTACATATGCTTGTCCTGCTTCAAAAATTCGACTCATATCAACCCTGACTCGTGGAAGAGTCTGTCCTTGGCTCTTGTGAATACTCCTATATTCAAAGTCCTGTCAGTTATCAACACGCTTACCTATCATCTTGGAAACTACTCACATGGCATACGATAGTAGCAGTGGAATCTGATACATGCATCCTAAAACCTCTCCATCCGGTCCCTCTAGCTTCCACGCTTCGCTAGACACCATTATGGTTGATTTAAGCTTGTCCTTGGTTTCAAATTTGACCAATGGAAATCCAGTCACAGGGTCAAACGATTCAATTATTCCCGTAGATCCATTCACTAACGACTCTGTCAAATTTTTAATTAGCATCACTTGTGCACCAACTTTAAGATGAACCACTTCTTGCGCCAAAGTCATGTTCAGCAGTCGTTTGATCATGGCTGGGTCTTTTGTATCAAATGATGCTTTAAATATCACTTCCTCTGTGTTCAGAGACGCAAGTTTTTGATCATTGACTCGTTTTACTTCTGCGCGTGTAGAAAATCTAGTATACTACAAGGTTAATAGGTGTGTAATGTAGAATCCACTGGACATTCAAGGCTATCTCATCAATAGACTTTACATCATAGTGCATATCTCTGATTGCTTTTACTTTACTTACATAAATGTGGGCTCTATTCCATCAGTGTACTCTAACGTGCGTGAAAGACTATGCAACATCTCAATCGTCGACTTGGACATAGTGTTGGTTCGGATTTCGTTTAAAATAGATACAAATACTGGATCTTTTTGACGAAACACATGATTGAGCTGCATATATTCAAATGATTAAACAAGGTTGGTTCTGTTTCATCAAAACATGGCTGACAAGATATAATCTTACCATGACGGTATAGGGCACCGAAGCTCCCCAAGTTTCAGCTTCAAATGCGAAAATCGGGTTGGAACTAACTAATTATACCAAAAAACATGTCAATATAAATCCACAAGCCAATCTAAACATGCAAATCTCACCAGGAGGAAGTTGCATAAAGTCTCCAGAAACAATGAGTTGGATACCACCAAAAGGCAAATTATTATTTTTAAATCTGCGTGCTATATACTCTATTTTATCAAAGAGTGGCCCATCAACCATAGAAACTGCATGGTAGAGCAACATTACAGAAACATAAATTAGCATTTTAGCAACTCAAAATAGATCAGTCAGACATGGAATCCAATTACTGCAATATAAGCAGCTTACTTTCATCAATAATAAGAACTTTGACTGCTGTCCATCTTCTGCGAGTGTTTATATTTTTCTTGGCACTCATAAAAAGTGCCTCTTTTGTTCCATTTCCAAGTCCGATACCTGCAAATGAATGTAACGTGCATCCACCAATATTGCATGCAGAAATTCCAGTAGATGCTAGATATTCAAAAAACCAAAATTTCAGTCAGAGTTAGCCCACGCATTATCCAAATCATTTTAAATATGCGTATCTGCACAAAAGCAAGTCTATAGCAATAGGAATCACACCTGTGACAGCAACTTGTTTTAAAGCAGAATACTTTTTGAAAAGATCATTAATGATTGCTTTCATCAAGAAACTTTTTCCTGTTCCAGCATTTCCAGTAAAAAATAAACTCTGACCATGTTTTATAGCCAAATCTTTGACTTTTTGCTGCTCTGGAGTGAGTGAATCAAATTGATCTTGCTTTGAGGTTTCTATAGATGAAGTAGATGTTTGAGCAGTGGCTGCTTTCGTTTTCCGATTGGCTTTTGTTTTCTGCGAATAAGCAACCGACAAATACTTTGACGTCTGGATTCCTGCTCTGTTTGATATGAGCGGGTTAATCTGACGGGGAGCAGTATGAACAGGTGCAGGCATATCCCATGAAGTTGAACGAACTTGTGAGGATTGCTATTCATTTGAGATTGTTAATATTTCATCAATGACATCTATCCAAACATTTTCCAAATGTTCAGCTACACATGCAAATCTAGACGATTATTATACCTGAATAGCCGATGGTGCAAACAGAGGTGCTACGGGTGCATGACGACGAGCAGGACCCAATGCAGTGCTAGTAGCAGCTCTTTTTATACCTCGACCAATACTCGGAAGACTATGTTGCAACTAGAACAATTGAACATTTTAAAAAATTGTTTCCATTCAACTAGACTCGAGTTCAAACTTCATACCATAACTACTGATGAATCTGTAGCGGACAGTTGAGAAGGCTGTTTTGGGAAATTAGATTCCTCAAACGGCTGAACGAATGCCTCTAATCGAGAATAAGATTCGGGAAAGGATGGTTTGTGTGAGCTGCTGGATGCTTTCATAAACTAATTTTGAATTCAAAACTGACAGCTGTATTCATGAAATGAAACATCAAATAAGGGTTTTAAAATATAATCATCATGAAATGATTGGTGTCAATTCTCGCCAGATTTATTGGAAAATATTGTATTTTAAACTCTAATCTTTCTGTGCTTATTCTTGCACGATTGAATGAACGTATGAGATTAGAATACAACATGAGTGATTGACAGTATCAGAACAGTCAAACTCAATATCTGAATCCAGGTTTAAACTCTGAGTTTGTGAGCATCATATGATGGCATTGTGTTTCAAACAATCGAAACTGTTTATTCAAGTCAATTTTCAATAGGAAACCCTAATAGTGTATGACCCAAAGCAAAAGGAGCAGTAATTGTAAGATACAAGTATTCCATTTTACATGAATACAATTGTAAAATTATCTGCATGTAACAGCAAATCTCGTATATGCAATATGCTTGGGATAAATCAATTCAGTTGAAAAAATATTCATTCATAAAAGGGATCTTTTCAAACTTGATTGGAATTACTTTGTTGTACTTATGTCATGGATTGGAGGGTTTGTTTCAAATGAGAAACAACCTAATAGTTTAAATCTGTATTAAATTCTGATATTATAAAACTAGATATTCTATTCAATGCCAGTCTTACCTTTGCAGTATACTCGGGCGATTCAAGTTCTTTTTCGATCATCACCCCAATACGAGTCCAAATCTCATCGTTTTTAGCTAGATTGGATATCCTATCAGCCATGGACACGCTTTGAATAGTATTTGCGTGGTTCTCGGTGCTTATTGGCTCTTCATCGGCTTTTTTGATGGGCACTGTTGATGTAAAGTTTGATTCGTTTGAAGAAATTGCTGTAGTGGGTCCATCAGGTTTTCTAGACAAATGAATAGTAACCTGTTTTTTTACGCCATAGTCGAGCAAGGTTCTAGTATTTGTCAATGCCTTGCCAGATAGAACAAGTCGTTGGGATTCTGCAGGAATAGATGATGCAACAGCTACTTGATGCTTCAATTCATCGATCGAAGTCAGGCACGATAGAGTAAGCTCCAAAGGTGGATTGTTGCTCTTGAGCTCCTTGACAGTCACTTGGATCTGACGAGACCTAGCAATGTCCAATGATTTCTGATTGGAAATCTAATCCATAACATCGACTGGATTACTAGTCTGCCATAAACTACTCAAATCTACTGGATGAAAAATCACACATGATTTGAAAACTAACCGTAATCAGTCTTGGACGACTTGCAGGTGGAGCATGGATGGATGCATGTTGTACTGCTTTTCCTGTTACGCTCCGTTGAGCGAGCTGGCGAATAAGTGATTCTGCGAATTCGTCCTGCTATTGTATCAATTCAAATATTGTATTGATTAAAGAGTATCAATCTGCATATACATTCGCTTCCAATAGTTACTATCCAGCAGTAGCTTACCTGAACCATGTTGTATAAAGACTCGAACGATCTGCTGCAAATCAGATTCTATAAATGATCGAGTACGTTCTCATCACGTGTTTTGATGATGTGCATTTAAAAACTGTTCAATTCAATAAATTAACAAATTCAGAATCGTCAGTCAGCCATCATGGTGATCCACCATTGGTGTACATGCCGTTTTGCTGCATCTATCACTACACATGCAATCCGTTCAATCGCTTCAAAATCTGTCACAAATTTAAACATTGCTCAGTCCAAAGCCATATTGCCTACTCCACCAACACCAGCATCTGAATTTAGAACTGAATTCCAGTATACGAAACCCATATTTTGGTATCCATCCCATCAAACAAAAGCTTTACAGCAACTCAAAAACGGTATTCATCACATTGATCTTGTTGTTGAAGTTCGAGATGCTCGGATTCCATTGACGAGTATCAACCACCAATTCGATCATTTCTTGGCCAACCGAGAGCGAATCGTAGTTTATAATAAGGCTGATTTAGCCAATGCAAATATGCGAAAACCACTCATCGATGCACTCAAACAATATCGAAACGAAGACATTGTATTCACATGTGCAAACACTGGATTGCATGCCAAAAAAGTGCTGCAAAGAGCTATTGGCAAGTCATGATTGACTTTCAATTGTATCATCTCGATAGCTTATTCATGTCGTGTCCACTCGATCTTATTTTAACTCGGTTACTTTTTAATGTAATGGATACAGATAAATGTAGAGAAAATCCCGAGAGGTTTCCTTATATTTCCATGATTGTGGTTGGTATCCCAAATGTTGGAAAATCATCATTGATCAATGCTCTTCGACGTTTGGGTGTCAATAAGGGTAACTCTACATTATTGCTGTAGTTTGATGGTAGATTTAGTCATTCATAATGTTTTGATACCAGGAAAAGTCACAGCTGTGGGCAAAATTGCTGGAGTAACTACTGCCATTCAAACTCGAGTCAAAATATACGAAGATCCTCCGATTTATCTAGTGGACACACCTGGAATATATGATCCTCATGTTGCCTCTCCAATGGAAGGCTTAAAAATATCTCTCACTGGTACGTATCACCTGTATGCGCTATAGTGTTTGCAAGACCCATATTTGATTCATTAACTTGAGCCGTGTTGTATAGGTGGAACAAGAGATCGATTAACGCAGGAAATACATATAGCCGATTATTTATTATTCCGACTTAATACTTCTTCGAATATTAAAAAGTACGATTACTATACTTTAATGCATCCTACTTGATGACACGGTTTAATGTATTACTCCATGTTTAGGTATCCCGCTGTTCTTGGTCTTGAACATCCAACCGATCAGATTGACAGTGTTTTGAAACATATTTGTCGAACCAAGGGATTTTTGCTTAACAAAAGAGGAAGATTATTCAATCTGACAGCCAACACAGGGTCTTTTCCATCAGAGGTTGACGAAACCACGCCAGACGATCCAGAACATCCAAAAATAATACCAGATTCGTTTTTGGACATAGATAGAGCTGCGCGGTATATGCTTGATAAATATAGAGAGGGTTTGTTTGGTCCCATGACATTAGATGATTGCTCTCCTGATGGTCTTTTGAAATCTCTAGCAGGAGTTTCAAACGATGAGGATGATCTCGATTGATTATATGCTATCCAACACCCTCTATTGTTTACAGTCGAGTAATTGGCTGCAAGTATAGCTTTATTTACAGCCCAATTTGCTTAATAAAAATGCATATTCAAAGGCATGTTCATCAATATTATCGCCACTTCCTTGGTTGTGTCCACGATCAGCATATAGTTTAAAATATCCGTTTGACGCAGTTCCGCTATGTTGAGCCAACTCATGCATTCGAACAATGTATTTTAGCGCATGCCATGGTGGAACACGCTGATCGTCACTTCCAGCCGTGGCAAGTACAGCTGTACGTAATTTTCCATCTAGATTATCGTATGGCGAGTATGAGCTCATTAGCTGGTACGCTGCAGAATCTTTTAATGGGTTTCCCCATTCCAACACTTCTCCTGCCGATAGCGAACTGTTTGGATCCAACATTGTCGTCAATGGATCTAAAAATGATACACGAAGTACCAGCGCTTTGAATAAATCTACACAAACCAATTGAATAGCATCAGTATATATGAGTTGGATGATCTGAAAAAATCAAAGATACTTGCCTGGACGACGATTGGCCGTACCAGCAAGAAGCATTCCCCCTGCACTGGTTCCAATACCACCCAACCGCTCAGAACTTGTATATTTTTTGTAAATAAGCATATCTGCTACATCTTCCAAATCAGTGAATGAGCACAGTTTGTTTTCAGCACGACCCTTGTGATACCAACTGTTTCCCAATTCTCCTCCACCACTACAGCCATTGCCAAACAAAACAGAATCAGCAGCCATGAATCGTGGCGTGTTCAGGTGTAAACCAAATATCTTACCGAACATGTGCAAAAACTACCGTGACACCTCTAGATAAAGCAGGCAATAACTCGACTCGAAAACTTGTCTCGATACAATAGCCTATATCAAACATGAATTTCATATGTGTTGATCACTGCACAATAAACCACGATACAGGTGTTATCAGAGCAAAGTAGCATAGTGGTAAACTCACCATACGATCCATACACCAAAATCACACATGGGTTGCTTGGACTATGGCTAATGTTTTTGTTTTTCAAAATAGTTATGGGTATGTTGCAAGTTCCATCTCTTGACGGAATCGTTTGTTTTTCTATTACAAAGTTGTTTGTATCCATGCACGGTCGAATATCTTGCCAGTTTATCAACTTGCCCAACACAAGATTGAGCTCATAGACGGCTTGGATAACAAAGGGTGATGAATAGGAAAATCGAAACGTGTTGGATGTCAGATCCTAGATTATATTCAAAAGACTCAGTATGCAGATAATAATTAAAGCTACCAACGCAAATATTACTCACAATGTTGGGTTCAGGTGAAATCACACCAGATGAATCAGAAAGAAAAACATCATTTGCCAACATGTTGACAAGATCTATGGAGCGAATAAATGGCTGGCCCTGTCGTTTCATAGTCAAAACTGCATGACTCGGAAAAATCTCCACATCGTCAATACTTTCCTCATATCCAGGTGCGGCCACGATTGATGTGTCAGATTCAAGATTGATGGCTTTACCAGTCAAGACTGTTGACAGTGATGTCCTGTATAGTTTCAATTCAGTTGAAGCATAATTGTGTAGCAAAAATAGACTGTCCTAAATAAGTTTACAATGTGTTACTATCTAGCATGGCCAATACCAATCTTTAAAATAAACCATGATTTTGTTTTACTTTGAAAGCATCAGCATAGCATTGCACTTGATGGTCCCGAGAAATCAAAATGCTTGGACAATAGCTATTATCTTGAATAATGTGGATCTCAGATGTGCTGGCCGAGTTTACGTTAATAAAAACATGTTGCTATAAATTCACGCAAAGTACTTGTCAAAATGGCATGCAAATGAAAAGCCAAACTGAAGGATATCAGCGCTTGACAAGCTTCGATTCCAAACTTTGAACTTTACCTACCTTGTCTTTGCTTCTGGCAAGATCTACAAAATACAAGATATCCATTTCTGAGTACACTACAGTTTCTTCATGTGGCGAATCAACATCTATTCGATATACTTTGGACGATCTCAGCACGTCGTCCAAGCGAGTAAAATATATGGTTTTTGAGTTATTCGCCCAAACAAAATTAAAGACGTTTGGGATGGATTGGGAATAGGTAAACATGGCTGGAGCATTCGAGTTTAACGTGCGAATCACCAGACTGCCTTGCTCATCTTGAGGTCGAGTTTGAAGAAAGGCGATCTTGTTGTGATCGTCACTGACCACTGCTTTACTGACTGTTTTCCCTCTCGATCCCCATCCAAGCCATCGACTATCCAATACTATTTCACAAGAACCTGCAGTATTGGTTTTTTGACGACTGACTACCATTGCACCGTTTTCAAAACTGGTTCGATACTCGTAACCATCTACTATATCTGTACAAGGAAAGGCTCTTGTCCGAGGATAGATTCTGCGCATTTCCTTGTAAAAACATAGATGGAAAGCAGAATCAGTTTGGGTCATGCTCAAAAGACGAGGCAATAGGTTGCAATCTTACATCTCGTAGCGTTCTACTAAATCTAGATAGCTTTCCTTGCAGTATGCGAGTTCGAGCAGTCTCTTGCGAGACTCGGGATTGTGTATTCTATACAAAACAGCTGGACTTGTTAGACATTGAAATTGAACACTGAATAGTTGATATCTGAACCTGCCTGTTCATCCCAATCCTCAAGCGAGCTCAACGGATCGATCCGTCTTGGAAGTGCATGAACTACCTTGGAACTTGACAGTCTGGACTGATATGAGAAATAAACTACAGTTTTAAACTTGAACCGGTGCATGCTTGATGGTGTAGCTGCTTGCCATACCAAACGAGTCACTGCCATGTTCAGTAATGTATCACAAACTACTATCAAGATTATACCAACTTGGTTTTAGACTGAAGTAGATCAGGGTTTTATTTCATGCCATAAACCATGCTATCACATACGACTATTTGATCGTGTGTTTATTCCAACGATCAATATTGAACCCTTTATCATATAATTCAATTGCTGTCAGCCAGTTCAACACTTTAGATTATGATGAGCTTTGTTTAGCCTTTGCATTCAAGGACATGGTGTTTCCTGTAGTCAGCAATGCCAAATTCTTTCCAAATTTACGAACTGCTTCATCTACTCGTTTGTCGTACCATTCGCCTGTTTTAAGCGGTACGCTCAGATCCTTGTTCTGAACAAAATAAGCTCGGAGTGCCATTTCACATACACTGTTTGCATTTTTGTTTGCATCCTCAGTAATATACGTTTCGGCAACTCGAAGCATAAAGTGTATATCTAGAAGAAGGGATTGAACACCTCCAAATCCAAACTTTCTTGGACCTTTTTCAGTCTCCCAACCTGCACCTATACACCATTTGAAAAATGGGTTAAACATCTAGCTCAAGAAATGGGATACATCTTTATACAAAGTTACATACTTGTATTGACCATTTTATCAAAAAGCAGTTGGATAACGCGACCTACGAGTAAAACACAATCAAGAGTTGCATCCATGTTCATCAAAAGTTTGTTGAGCCCAACCGAAAGCTAAACAACAATTTGGGTAAGAATCATTGTACAGTGATTTAACATTTAAACAGGGTTTATACTTGATACTTTTAATATCGGCTCTGTAGGTAACGTGGTCTCTAAGATGGCTGCCGTCTGATTGAGGTGTTAGTAACACGAATGAAATGGGTCATGGATGATCATCTTACATTTGAATAGTCGACTTTGGAAAAATTGTAATCATTTTTGATCAAATTGGAACAACTACTTTCTACAAACACCGTTTTGACTTTTTCAAGCGAAGCTATACCGTGAAGTTGAAATTATTCAATCAGCACAACATGTACTGTTGACTTTGCTTGAATACTATTCAAAATAATCTTACCCTTATGACGTATACAATCTTCATCTAGTTCAGGAATCACTCGTTCAAATTGCTCCTAATGCATCAGTTTAGAATCAAAATGAAACTACAGTCGAATAACATGCATTGAGGCGAATGTTTAAGCTATACCTCGAGCTGGATCTTGACTTTTGGCAGCATTTGTTCCACCACAAAAGTAATGTTGGACAAGACCACACAAATCTAGCACAATATGAATCCTGTTAATAATGATCGACTATTTCAGTGGAAACCACAAAACTATAGTTGCAATGCATTAAACTTGCCTGTTTGTTGGAAAAATCTTTTTGTAATGCAGCACTTGTGTATATCACATACACTTCAAACAGTGCAGATAATGATGCCACAATTTTGTTGTAGAGCTAATAGTGTATGACATTGCAATGAGATATGATGAATAGGTTCCATTTTGTAAACCATTTAAACTGACCGTCATGGACATAAGGGCACCCACATCTGATGCAAAGTCGGTCAGAATAGTAAATAGCTGATAAGCACTTTCACTCATTCTTGGAATTTCTGCATCTATAAAGTTGCCAAATCAGTTGTAAGACTACACGGATTTGAAATGTGCATTGATCAAGACTCGATCAGTATCTTCAATCGTACCAAAAACAAGGCCACGTTCTTCAAAAAAGTCTATACGAGGCTCTAAAGACTCATACGTGTCACATTCTATTGCTTGAATAACGAGTTCTTCAAGTGATTTGGAATGATTTTCAATTGCCTTTTCAATGTCACCAAATACGATTTGATCAATTAAAAATCCTAAATCAAGACCCACATCACGTAGCTGAAAACCCAAAAGTTAATTCGAGATATGCATTCTGGGTAAAATCATCACATACATACCTGTTGACATTGATCTAAAGCACTGGAAAGACAATCAGCAATAACAGAGAAGCTTTGGCGAGAATTAAACACTTGACGGCGCAGAATATCTGTAAAGTATACAATTTCTAAAGTAACCCATTTCATAAAACCTAAACATGTATACAACATAGTTTGGTAAGCAGTTTAAATAAAATGAATGTCAAGTATTGTGTTTGGGGATTTGTGCCAGCTTACCTGAAGCCATTGTGGTGTCCCTGAATGATCCGCCATACCAATCGCAAGTGTTTCGAATCAGCCTAAACGTCACTTCTGCAAGATCGCACATGTAGGCTGCAACATCGCCATCAAATTTCAAATGTCTTTGAAAATGTGATTTAATAACAAGTATCAGTTTTTGAATCTATAAAACACATAGTATGTCCTACCGTGTGCGGTGGCGAATGGTCTTTGTACGTGCTGTCAAGAAAATATCTCTAGCCTAAACCATGATTCATACCAGTCAATACAATTTAGATCATTTAATCAAAACATTAAAATGGTTCACTCTATAAACATACTTGATCGCCAAGTCCAAGACGCAATAGTCGATCAATATTTTCTTGAACCTGCGATTTTGTAGACACTGGACTAGCAAGATCAGAAGTGACTAATTTGGCCAATATTTCTATACGATTTTCTACCGATGCTCGCAGCATTTGCACACGTGGAGTTTTGATATCAACTCCCGATAGAATCTTTCTTGCTGTTATCAACACAGCAAGACAATGTCATGCTGGTGAGAGTTTGACCTACTAGTATTGATAAAATTTAAAACCAACTTGCCTTTTTCAAGATTTGCTACGGAATTGTCAAAATCACGATGTGCTACAAGAACATCCAACTCGTCAGGCAGCTCCAACAGCCAACGGTAATCCGTGGCACTGAGATTATCTTTTACTGGAAGTTGATCAGAAATATTCTTGTATTGATCCATGTTGCTGTTTGGAAGTAATGCAGTCATGGTATTTGCCTATCAATGTATTACACTACATTTAAAAGATTGAATCTATGGTTTGTCACCAACACTCCATTTACCTTTGAAATGGCAGCATTTTTGACTTGATCCTTTTCTTTTCTACGCTGTACAAGAATATCATCTGTGATGCGTTTGATTGAAGCAAGAATGGCTCGTTTTTCCTCAAGAGTCTCTGTGCGATAAATACTTGCATCTGGATGTCGAACAATTTTGAATGCATTGGAAACATCTGTGTAAAAAAGTCAGGGTTAGTAAAAGTAGAAATGTGTAGCAATAGGATTGTGTAGTGTATGGACCTGGAGAATCCTTCATGTCAATAAAGCCAATCTCGCTCAATCCCCATGCTATTTCAGCAAACATGCGGGCTTTTCCGGTGATGATGCTTTTTTTCCAACTGACTTGAACTAGCGTATCATTAAATAAATACAAGTGCACCATATCTTTTTGTTTGAATGTGGTTGTACTGACTTCCCAGTAATGTGTTTTGCTACCATCTCTGACAAGATAACGCTGCTTGGATTCGGGCAAAATTTTCTGTATCGTCCAATATATGGGTTAGCGAGTTTAATTTTATTGATGGGTTGGATTAGTTTTACCTGTAGTCCATCGATATTGGTGTAAAGAAGTTTCATTTGTGCTTCACGGCTTTCAATCAACTCTTCCTCGCGAACACGCTGTTTAGCCAACGCTTCTGCCATGGCAGCACGTTTTTGTTCTGGAGAAGCAAGTGAATCGTCAGCCATCTGAACCAACTCGGTATCATTTTCAGGATCCGACACAGGACGTAAATTATCCTGAACATCTTTTAAATCCGTCAACAATTCTCGTAAATAAAGCATATCGCTTTCAAGTTTTGATATTTCTTTAGAAATCACAACAAAATCGTTGTAGTTGCGATACACGTTGCATTGCAAGTCAGTAGCAGCCAAATCTTTTGCATCTGCAAGGGAGTGATAGAGCTGCTGGATCGCCTCTTCGTTGGGGAGATGTTGAAGCATTCCGCGTACATAGAGTTCGACATCGAAATTATCCTCGGAGAATTTTAGTATATCTGACCCTTTGATACCTCCTTGAGATGGATTGGATACGGTATTGGCTGTTGGAATAGGAGTGACTGAAAATGCTGTTTTATCGTTCAAAGGGGTGTTTTTTGAACTGCTCATGCCCGTGAATATACCTCCTAGTTTTCCCTTTTCAGTATTGCCTGAGCTGGGTGGATTCGTGGGTTGAAGTGGAGAACTGCGCGAAGCACTTGAAGGTCGTGCCTCGCCATTACGGTTGACAGTACTATTTGCTCGACTGTGTATTCCCATTCGGTCATTCAGCATTGTGCTTTTTTAAATATTTGTATTGGACTTGTAGGTTCAAGATGAACCATGAAAATCAGACTAGATATAATATTGAATACAAGTGTATCGCATCACGTGTAGTATCCAATCATGCAGGTCGCTTTTGAGATGGTTATTCATCCAATGGACAAATGGTCGACTAATTCATAATGCTATTAAATTAAATTAAATTCTAAGCAATTTGGGCATGGTTCACTTTACACATTGTTATGAATAGATCACGTATATCTACCCATCGAAAATAGACTAGTTTATTTCAGTAGAGTATAGTCGGCAAAGCCGTGAAGATCAGCTAAAAAGCGTAAACTAAACAAGACTAGAATATCGAATGGAGAGAAATCAACAAGAGTACCACTAAAAAAAATTATTTGCCCGCTGATACGATGAAGGTCCTTGTTGTTGCTGCGGAAATGGGGTGCCAAAAGGTGTAGTGGTGTTGGTCCCACCAAAAGAATTAAGCGGTTGTTGAGTTTGGAAATTGTGCCCGCCAAAGCTACTACCAGTATGTTGAGAAGGCAGTTGTTGGATTCCTTGTCCACCCATATTCATTCCAAATGGATTGCTAGATCCGCCCGAAAAACTGCTGCCTGTCATGGAAGGTTGCAGTGGTGCAATGGAGTTGGGAAAACACCCTGGAGCCTGACCAAAGTTTTGGATTCCTGACAAGCCCAATCCTGAGCCATGGTTATTTGCCGTTGGTGCAGGAAACCCACCAGTTGCCTGCAGCTGAGAGAGCGTGGGTTTTGACTTTGAATCTTCCCATTGATAGCGCGAAGTGTTGGTGGTTGAAAATGGATTCTTATTTACTGGCTGAGATACACCGGACGATGCAAGACTTGAGGCATCTAAATCAAACAGTGGCTTTTGTAAAGATCCTGCATTTGATGATAATGGTTGGGACGATGTGGTTCCAAATGGATTGAATCCAGAAAATTCAGATGCTTGATTGTTTGCCGCAGGTCTGTATTGAGATCTCATTGTTATTTAAAATGTCACAAGTTTAAATGTACATGACAAAAATATGTTATCAATTCAATAGTCATGTCTTACGTGAGATTTCTCGATGACACGCTCGCAAATGGATCTATGGACGAGCTGCAGCATTATATTAGAATGGATACAAACATTAACCATGTCTCGTTCAGGTTTACAAATCATTACAACATACTTGGGATTTCGAGAAAGATCAGGCGTGGCAGTTGTACCAAATGGATTGGCTGGCGCATTTCCCTGAGACTGCTGCATTGAAAATGGATTGTTTTGAGGAACAGCGGCATGAGATTGCTGGTTCAAGCTAGCAAAGAAATCAAACTGTGCTTGTTGCTGCTGTTGAGCAAGTTGTTGCTGTTGGGCAAGCTGCTGCTGCTGCTGTTGCTGTAAAAGCTGTTGTTGTTGCTGTTGCTGTAAAAGCTGTTGTTGTTGTTGCTGCTGCATATATTGTTGCTGCTGTTGTTGTAACAATTGCTGCTGCTGAATAGCAAATGGATCCACTCCACCAAACCCGGCAAATGGATCAAACGCTGTTTGCTGGGGTTGTTGCTGAGCCACTGGCTGCTCCAAACTGCCAAAAAAGTCGATGATATCTGTACCTTTGGTAGTGTTTCTAAGAATTAAATTACGTGACAATACATGATTAGTAAAGACTAGGTGGTTAGTCGTGACTTGAATGTACAAGAAACAGTGCCTACCCAGAAAAGAGACTATCTCCTGTCATTTGTGGCTCTAGACGGTTTCGCGCATCCATTCTACGCTGAATGGCCTCCTTTTCACTCAGCTCAATAGCACGTTGAATATCGCTTTCTCTGAAATCCAATAGTTAGTCATAAAAAGTATAGTGACAGTTTACATGATCATTTGCAGGTATACTCGTGACTTACTCTTGTTCACGTTCTTTTCTTCTTCGACTATCTTCTGTCGCTTGCTGTTTGCTTTCCTCCAATGCGCGACGAAGATCAGCATCTTCCGAGTTGGTAGCTCCTTCGCTTTCGGCACTGTAGTTGAAACGATTGCGTACTCTTCCACGAGTACCTCGTGCTTCCTGTAACAGTGATTCGTCAACAAGAAGTGCAGTGATGTCTTTGCTCTTTTGTCGAACTGAGTATTTCAAAGAGTCAGTCATACCAAACTGGTCAATTCAAATCACAACAAACGATTGTTTTTTTACCATTGGCACCCTGATCACGACCCTCATCGTCAATATATTGAAATTCTTTGAGAGTCTTGATGACATGTAGGTTTTGTTTGGCATGCACAACTACAGCTTCAGAACCATTTTTAATCAAGTAGTCTAGCACAGTGAGTGCCTAGATGCAGAGTCAGGATTATTCAAGACTGTTGGTTAGAATAAAGTTAAAATGGGTCAAAGATTAAAGGATGAGTGATGTACCTTGTATACATGTCTCCAGTTTTTTCCTGAATCGTTCATTCGTTTGTCAATAATCTCGATAATCTCCATAAAATCACGCCTAGCAGTAAGATTGACAAGATTAGAATGTATACAATATACTGATTTCAAACTATGATGGTTAGTACAAGTTTACTTACTGGTTATCTGTGCAATTTGAAATTTCAGCCATGAGTGATCCAGAGGGACCCCACTATGATGAATACAATATTGATGGTGTTAGTTTACAAATGATTGAATGGTAGACACCATGACAAGTTACAGTCATGTTTACGTAAAAGACTAAATTGGAATGTCAAGATGCATAATAAACAACCAGTTTTGTGAAGGGTAGTCAATCTAGTGGAGAATGTTAATTTTTGAATTCTATAAAGTTGACTGGTCTGCTTATTCTGTACAAGTAAAGCAATGTTTACATTCTTGAGACTTGAGAGTCTAAACATTAAATGATTGACATGAAAGCAGCAGTTGAATTTCCAATGTGGGATTTAGGATACAACAGAAATGAGTTTGATACCATCAAAACAAACTCAATAAATCTGGGGTTGAATTTGGAGATTGTATAATAAATGGTTTAGCAAAAGTGGAGATTCAGTTTGAAATTATAATTTAAAAGGATTGAGAATGCTTAAAAGTCAATTTCAAATAGGAAAGCATTATGAATATTTAAACATGGTCTATTTTAGAGTCATGACAGCAAGATACAAAAGTTGTATTTAGATGATTATGGCAGTAGAGCAAGAGGACCAATATGTGTTGTAGTTGAATACAATCAAGACTAACCGGGTCATTGCAAGTGGCCTGACGGGTTTTTATCTGCAAGTCCGAGTAGCCTTTTGTGACGTTTTTGCTAAGGATAGAATACAACAGTAGAGTCGTGAGTACATGATAATCAACAGATGAAGAGAGTGAAAAGTGTAGTATAAACAGAGGAAATCCAAGACTAAGAGACTCAAGTTATAATGACTAGTGTCAGTAGTTTTGACCCGTTCATAAGACCACTCAAGATGCTCAAACTGGGTTAGAACAAGAAGGTTGTGGATGTCATGTGGATGCCATGTGAATGCCAGTAGCCAGTGTTTATAGAATAGTAGATGCTTACACATTGCGCAGGACACTCTTCATGATAAACTTTGACGGTTTGTTCGAGTAATCTTGCTGAAAAGTCTGACTTTAGGTCAAGTCAATTTGAGGTTTTTGATTGAATTCCATCGACTTAAAGTTTATTATGAATTCAATAGAATTAACAAGTTACAGTTGTAACTTGATGTTTGCTTCATTTTGAATATAGTTTCAAGAGTGACTTGAGTCTGTAACAACGAAATCAATTCAATTGTCTCGTCAAAGCGAGTGAACAGGAGTTGCGAGTAAGACTTGAGTTCCATTCCATTCTTTACCTGCTGCAACTTCCATCAACGTAACATTTCCTACTTCAACACACACCATTTGTTGAAACTAAAAGTAAAGTTTTAGTAATTCAATTGTTTAATAATTCAAGTGTTGATCTTACCTCCGAGTCATCAAAGTCAGACATGGCTTTGGCCTTTTCAACCCATGGATTCCATACAACTGTAATGATTAAAATGAATTAATATGTCATGTGTTGAATAAGTAACAATCAGATCTACTTGCCAACATCCTTGAATTCAGATTTGTGAAGGGTTAATGAACCACCACCAACACCAGTTCCTTGGATTGAAATGTAATCGTTCTTGACATTCTCGTATACACGATCCACTTCACCTTGGATGGTAATGATGGAACGAGGTTCCATTTCAGTGCGAGCACTGTTGGCTACTTTATCCACATAAGGAAACCCAGTCAGTCCAACAATACCAACGGAAGCAATGTCTTGGACACGTAGATATGTATGCAGTAACGATTCAAACTTGAATGCAGTATTGCCCGTGTTGCGGACACTGAGCGAGGTTTTCAATGCACTTCCAAAAAGCAGAGACGGTGTAAATCAGATGAAAGTCTTGAATTCAACAAGTGTTTAGTGTACAGGGTCAAGATTTATACAGTTGAATGATATAGTGTTTTACCATGAGGCCAAAGAGCACGTTGGGCTTCAGGGATCATGAATGGAGTGAGTCCTAAACCATTACAGACCATTCATGACATTAGCAATCTGTATTAATCTTTCAGATGGATTGATACACTCAGTGTTGGAAGCTTACCAAAACGAACAGTAGTTTCGGCAGCATTCTCTACTTCCAAACCCAAATACTTCCATTTCGAGACTCGAGCAAAACCGTGCTGAGGAAGTACCTTGTCTTGACCCGACCCAAACTGAGGAAAGACTAGTGGACTTTATTCAAGTATTAATCAACTATACATCAAAACAAGAGTATTCAAGTTGATTTACATTCCACCTCGGATGGGTTTAGATCCATCCAGTACGGCCTTTGAGCTATATTATAGTTGGACTGTTAGTGATGAATGTCATGACATGGATAGTAATCATGCATACCTTAGAAACAGATTCTCAACTCCATAGTATTTCCAAGAAGTAACTGTAGCACCCCAGAGGTAGATAGTGATGGTGGATCCAGCGTGAGTAACAGTAACAAAGTCGGGATTAACATCAACAGTCATGATTGATAATAGATAAGAAATGATGGATTGTGTTGATGACAGTTTGTTAGATTTGATAGTGTCTATGAGTCAATCAATGGAATCTTCAGTTGACAGTCCCACTCCATCACCTATTGTACTAGTAACTGATGAACCAAAGACTGTCTATTCTACTAGTCTTATGAATCCCATTATGAACCCCACTATGAATCCCATTATGAATCCCATTATGAATCACACCGTGGATTCTATCATCAACCCCATTATGAACACCACCATCAACTCTATTATCAACCCCATTATGAATCCCATTATCAACCCCACCATCAATGATGAAACCTTTATACAAAAGACTTGTAATCCAATGCTGCGTTATATTCCTCGTCCTTCTCCTTCCTTTATCACTCCTTGTCAACCATTACTGGCTAGTCCGATCTCTCTGGACACTCTTCCCAGTTCGTCTCTACTCGATCATGTCTCTCTCCCTGTTTCAACCCCTTCTTTAGATCTAGTTTCTACTGCTTTAAAACGTAACTTGGACTGTCTTTTAGAACAAACTATTCAGTCCTTGCACGACTCTTTCAACGATCTTTCTGCTATGAGAGAGACAGTTCGACTCGAACAATCTTCTCTCACTGCTGTGTTACAAACAGACTCTCTGCGTGGTGCTATCACTGATGCTGGTATTCACTTGTTGTTGTTTAATTTTAATTCATTCCACGTGCTCATCAACTGTTTTTACTTGATCATCTTAATAGTTCAACAATATTACGGTCCAGTCATACAATCTCATTTAAATCAATTCAAACTCGATATTTCAAACGAAATCAGATTAGTCAATGAACGTTCTAGTCTTATTGCTGAACAAAGCAATTGCATGTTGCGTCTATTAAACGATCTTGTGGCTAAAGATGCTCATGTTCCCATCATCAATCCTTCAAATACAATTGTATCTCCAAATTCCCCTTCCATTCAAACATCTACTTTTACCAATATTGATCCTGATGTGACTCCAACATCAACTATTACAAAACGCAGACGTGCAATCCAAGTCGTCCATCAAGTTTCTCCTGTTCCAAATCTAAACATTGTTAATAGTCCTGCAGAAACTGATATCTGGAATACTGACCTTCATTCCATGCAAACATCAGAACCAATTCGTCACTCCAAAAAAAGACCAAAAAAGAAAGCTTATCGTTGAACTCATTCAACTCGTGTCATAACAATCTAAATGACAATACAATCCATCTTGACTAAGCTGCAGTTTGAATTTTTTTAACAAATAACACTTTATCGCTTGAATAATACTTTTTATAAATTCAAGAATTTCAATCTTATTTTTCTGTCCGAACCTTTTTCATCCCTTTTCAAACTCTTGACTAGATTCAATCCATCATTGCTATTCCTTAACATACCGGATAGTCTCATCATCAAGCAATCATGGTTGCATCGCTTTCTTCTGCAATCGACAATACTCAATCCATTCAAAACAATCCAACTGTTTTGTCCAAATTAGAAGATACAATCATGTCATCAGTCTCTATTGCTGGCAAGCGTCAGGACAGTATTGACACTCTAACCAATTCTTTACAGAAAACTAGCAAGCGAGCCAGACTACTTGAACCTCGCTCTGCATTCGAACAACAGTTGGAATTATTGCATCAAAACTTGCCTGCAACCGGTTAGTTGAAACCAAACAATTAAATTATAAACAATCTTTCATACTAACTTTTGATTTCATTCTTTAATACACTTGTTATGTGTATTGAACAGTAACTGATTATCGCAAGTCTTGGAAACGTCCTGACTTGCCATCTATTCATCCTTCAACCGACTCTATTAGTAAGTTCATTCTGCATTTCCATGATGAATCTACAAATACTTTGGCTCATATTCCAAATTATGTTGTGTCAAATCACTTGCTATTATTAGCGTTTCAACAGATCGATATCGACGAATATGTTGGTAGAACTCCAGATTCAATCAAAAAAAGTCTACCACAAAATCATCCAGAAGAATCAAGTTTGTTGCGAATGTTTGGTATAACAGAGGTAATACTCTTGATCTGAACCAATCGCTTAATCATTAATGATACGAATGCATGAATTCATTCTTGTTGTTGATTAGGAGGGTCACAGCGTCGTTTGTCACATTCATGGCTTTTCGCCTTATTTTTATGTTGCTGCACCACACGGATTTCAAGCTACTCATATTCCAGGTCTGATCGCCGCTTTAGATGTATGTTGAATGCTCTCAATTTATACTCGTCATAGTGGTATTCAACTAATCATCACACGTGCTTTTATCAACCATTAGAATGCTGTTTTAAGTGGTCTTCATCGTCAAAGATCAAGTGGTGGAAGTGCAGTTCTTGGAATCACTCTGGCTGAGCGATCTTCCATTTTTGGTTATCAACAGGGCATGGCTTTATTTCTTCGCATTGATGTTCGATTGCAATCCTATATTGCTCCTACAAAACGTGCATTGAAAGACGGTGTTTCTGTTCCAAATCTAGGAACCGTGCGAATAGATCTCACGTTTGAAAGCAATATTCCATATCCTTTGAGATTTATGATTGATTTAAGTGTGAGTCGTGCATTTTGTTCCACTCTATGTTAAATGTATTCTAATCTGATCTACCTTGCATTGTTAGATTCAAGGTGCTAGCTGGGTTGAATTACCAAAAAAATGCTACAGCATTCGTCGTCGAGATGACACAACCTCTAATTGCCAGATTGAAGTAGATATTGTGTAGGTTACAATCGAATGTGCCAGGGTGATGCAATGCTATGATTATAATTAACAAATCGCCATGCGTGGTCACAATTAGAGCCCAGCATATTGTTTCTTATCAGCCAGAAGGAGATTGGTCCAAAATTGCACCGCTGCGAATATTAAGTTTTGATATTGAATGTGCTGGTCGGCGTGGCATTTTTCCAGAAGCGCAGATAGATCCCGTTATTCAGATTGCAAACATGGTTGCGTTGCAAGGTAAATTTTGGTTTAATTCATACTATAGCATATCTATAATCTAGTTGTGCTAAATCTTGCATGGCTTTTATTAGGCGATACAAAACCATTCGTTCGCAATATATTTACTCTCAACACCTGTTCTAGTATTATTGGCACTCATGTCATGTCGTTTCAATCTGAAAGTGAAATGTTGCAAGGGTGGAGCGACTTTATTCAAGAAGTATGTGTTTTTGTAGTATGACATGCATTTTTGATTTCAAATCACATGTTAAAATATATTGTTGGACATACAGGTTGATCCAGACATTATTATTGGATACAATATTAATGGATTTGATTTCCCATACCTTCTTGATCGAGCAGACACACTGGGTTTAGATAATTTTGCTTTCCTTGGTCGTGTGACGGGTAAGACTTGCCATTATGCTTGTATTATTACGATAAAATAATAGCATATACATGATTAGTTTTTAATATTCATGACACGCAACCATACTGTTTTGATGTGTTTTAGCTTCCAAAGCCAAAGCAAAAGATACTCGGTTTTCATCCAAAGCATACGGCACTCGTGATACCAAATCCATTAATTTGGAAGGTCGTTTACAGCTGGATTTGCTACAAATCATGCAGCGTGACTACAAACTTAGATCGTATTCTTTAAATTCTGTGTCAGCGCATTTTTTGGGTATGATTTTAAATGTTTTGTGCACTGTTAAACCCTGAACCAGACGTTATTCCTTATAACACATACTTGTGTCTTGGCATCATATTTGAAAATATCAACTAAACTTGTGTTTAAAGGTGAACAAAAAGAGGATGTTCATCATTCTATTATTAGTGATTTACAAAATGGAAATGACGAAACTCGACGACGTCTTGCGGTTTACTGCTTGAAAGACGCGTATCTACCGCTCCGACTTCTTAATAAACTGATGTTGGTCATCAATTATATGGAGATGGCCCGTGTCACTGGAGTTCCATTCAACTATCTTTTGACTCGCGGACAACAGATTAAAGTAGTGTCTCAGCTGTACCGAAAAGCCATTATGGAAGATCTTTTGATTCCGGCATTAGAAGTTGAAGGTACACCATTCATGCACATTTTAACAAAACCAAGCGGATTGTGTATCTAATGCACAGTTTATATTGACAAATTCAATTTAAAAAATTAGGTTCGGATGAACAATATGAAGGTGCCATTGTCATTGAACCTCTCAAGGGATTTTACCAAGTGCCCATTGCCACACTTGATTTTACATCTCTATATCCGTCTATTATGATGGCACACAATTTGTGTTATTCTACTTATATTGCCAATTCAGACTTGGCAGCTAAACTCAATCTGGTGGAAGGTCGAGACTACAAACGAACTCCAAACAATGGTAATTAGCATAGATCATTGTCAATTGGAATATGTGTATCTAAATAGGTTTACATGTTGTTTGGTGGTATAGATTTATTTGCTGTTGCTAGCCTGAGAAAAGGACTTCTTCCAACTATTTTGGAGGATTTGCTTTCTGCACGTAAACGAGCCAAGAGTGACTTGAAAAATGAAACTGATCCTTTTAAACGAGCTGTTTTAGACGGCCGTCAACTGGCTCTCAAGGTAATCAAAGGGTTTTTCACAATTTATATCATTTGATAGGTTTGTTACAGTTGGCCAAAAGTACTGATATGAATATTGAATTTTAGATTAGTGCCAACTCTGTGTACGGGTTTACTGGTGCTACTATTGGAAAACTTCCTTTATTGGCCATTTCTTCTAGTGTCACTGCGTATGGACGAGTCATGATTGAGCAAACCAAACAGGCAAGCCATTTTTTGATTCGATATGCCATTTTAGTTTTGTATTGGGGTTCCCTATGATCAGTACTGACTGGATACATATGTTAACTCAGCTGGTGGAAGAAAAATTTCAAGTTGCGAATGGATACAAACACGATGCGCAGATCGTGTATGGAGATACTGATTCTGTAATGGTCAAATTTGGTGTCGAATCTGTTGAAGAATCAATGGCACTAGGTGGGTTCATGCATAGTTTTTGTTAAACTACACTGTACTATTTTGTTTACATGTATTGTTTTCTGTTTTTGATGTAATCGGACTAGGTCGTGAAGCAGCAACCTATGTCACGAGTCATTTTGACAAGCCTATCAATCTTGATTTTGAAAAAGTGTATTATCCATATTTGCTCATTAACAAAAAGCGATATGCTGGACTATATTGGACCAATCCATCCCATCATGATAAATTGGATGCCAAGGGTATCGAGGTAAATTTGAATCATGTTTTTTTACATAGCAAGCTTGAGGGTGGTTGAATTTGTCTTTTCATACTATTTGTATAATTTGATAGACGGTTCGTCGTGATAGCTGTAGTCTGGTTTCAACAGTGATTGAAACATCTCTTCGTAAACTTTTGATTGATCGTGATCCCAAAGCAGCAGAAGAGTAAGTTATGGCTGCAATGATTCATCCATCAACTCTGCAGCTAATCCATTTGATGCATTTTGTTTTTGTGCAACTGCTTACAATAGGTATGTCAAACGTGTGATTTCTGATCTACTGCAGAATCGAGTTGATTTATCGAAGCTGGTGATTTCCAAAGCACTTGGAAAGGCTGAATATGCTGCTAAACAAGCTCACAACGAATTGGCTGAACGTATGCGTAAACGAGATCCTGGAACTGCCCCTGCACTTGGTGATCGTGTATCCTATGTCATTATAAAAGGCTCAAAAGGTACATGGTATAATAAGTTGTTTTTTAATTCAGCTTTTATAACAATTGACTATGTTGATAGATGCACCTGCGTATGAAAAGGCAGAGGATCCTATATACGTGCTGGAACATAACCTTCCTATCGATACCAAATATTATTTGGAAAACCAGCTATCAAAGCCCTTGCTGCGTATATTTGAGCCTGTATTGGGTGAAAAAGCGTCATCACTTTTAGGTACATTGTTTGAGCATGTTTTATTCTTGGTTGTTGATTTATTAACATGTGTTTTCACCAGCTGGTGATCACACGAGATCCATATCTGTAGCAGCACCTTCGTCTGGTGGGATCATGCGATTTACAGTACGAACAGCAACCTGTTTAGGATGCAAAGTTCCATTAAAACGAAACGGTAAGAGTCCTGTATCTAGCATCAATCCTGTGTAAAACACGCTGCTCATTTTACATCATTACAGATATTGCCGTGTGTGATAATTGCAAAACCAAACTTCCAATGCTGCATAAGCGTCAAGTTGATATTGTCAACGAGTTGGAAGTAAAATTTTCTCGATTTTGGACCCAGTGTCAGCGCTGTCAAGGCAGTTTGCATCAAGATGTGATTTGCACATCGCAAGACTGTCCTATTTTTTACATGAGAAAAAAAGTACAAAAAGATATGAAGGAAGCTACTGCTCAACTTGATCGGTTTGACTATTCGTGGTGATTGGCATATCAAGTATCAAAATAATAAACTTGATTTTATTTTCAATTGTCAGGTTTGCAATGGTAAACGGTGTGCCGGTTAAAGCACACTACAAGATATTCACTATATGACACCGTTACTGGCTCAATCAGTCTTTAAGCATGTGTTGATACAATTAATTTTTGGAATCTCAATGTAGAATCAAGACTTTACTTGATACATTTTAATAACGCGACTTGGCAGCAACACTTGTTTAATTTAAAACGATGGATTCAGAAATCAATGCAAGTCCATCATCAAATAGATGTATTGATATAGACTATGTATTTAAGTTAACCCCTGGTTTTATGTACATAGCGATGGCGCAACATAGCCACGTCAGAGATTTTTATTCATCCACAACAAAAAGTGGTACTCACCTCACGTCGACGAGGCAAAGTGCCCAAATCTACGATTACAGCCAGACTTTCACCCCATCTTCCTAAACGAAATATCGAGTCGTTGGGTCATATACTAGACCGATTTGGAGAGCAACAAAAAAGAAATGTGACGACGCTTTGTTCGGGTCATTTGAATCCCAACCAAGCCAATCAACATCTCGAGCGTTTTATTGATATGCATAAACCTCTACAAAAATTTTGTGGAAAAGTACCCAAAACTGATAAAGAGTTTCCGGCCATATCTATTCCAAGTGGACATTCAGCCATGAATGAATCACATCCCACTACACATGATGATCAACGTCCTGCACCCAAGTTATTGAACGATCCATTTAAATCCGATACAAGCTGCAACAGTTTAGATGTTGGAAACATGATTGACCTACTTGGCAAATTCGACATGGTAAAACTACGAGATAAAGATGTTGACACATCTGAACTACCTTTACCTATTGATATTCCCGAATTGATACCCCAAAACAGTAAACCGGTACGACAATTTATTCCCAGCTATCAACTCAATCTTACCAAAGTGGACCAATTCAAAACGTTTCAGCATATCGACACCTCATTAGTTGAACGCTCGCAAAGTTACCTCAGAAACGCGGATAATGGGAAACTGAATCATCTTCAAAAGTATTTCAAATATATCGAAAAAGAACTTGATGCGAACCATTGTCCGTCAAAAGGGCCTGATTTCAAACGATTAATGGTATATAGCGAATGTTTTGAAAAATTAATCATGGAGTTTAAAACGTATGCACCCTTACTGGCAGAAATCAAGGTAGATTTAAAAATCATTTGTAAAATACCCCTTGGTGGATAGCAATGTGTGTAAACTAGACTAATAATGCAACCCTTATAGCACGAGTATGATAAAACCGTACTGAGTTTTCAAGGCGATCAAAACGAATTAAACTTTCTTCGAACAAAAGTACAAAAGCTTTTATCCCAAAATGAAAATCGACTATTGCTAAAATTTGAGCGAAAAAAAGCCAAGGAATTAGAAATGCAAGTCAACTCACTACTAGGTAATGTTTACTATTTGGTTTAAAAATAAATTCCATCGCATTGTGTTAAAACGTTGTATAATCGAATATTACAGCGGAGAATGACAAGTAAGTGTACATGTGTTTGGATCGGTAGATGAATGATGAAAACAGATTTGTTTTGACTTTTGGGCATGTTAGATTAAAGTCCGAGTTACGCCGAAAATTGGCTATTTACGCTAGCTATATTCCTGCATCGATTTTTTACGAAAAGAAAAAGAGTGATTCATGTAGGTGTGCTATACTCGACATCTCTAGTGATGTGTCTAATGTATATGTCTGATCAAATCAATAGTACTTGCCGAAGTGGAGTCTCAAATCAAACACTACGATGTCGGAGAAGATCCCATTACTGTATCTGAGCGCCAAGTTGAAATTCTGAAAAAAGATATCGAGTCCAAAGTTGAAAAAATCAACGATATGAAGCGGATCCAAGATCTCGAGTTTGTTCCTAGAATCACCAAAGAAAAAATTGAAGAAACAGTTCGAGAAATCGAGGTTTGATTAACGTTTTCCAAGTTTAAAGTCAAATGATGAGTTTGATAGTATGAGCACATCTAATCAACCTTGATTTACGTACAATGGAATCTGATATGTTTAGGAAAAGCTTAAAAAATGCATCGAGAAAAACGACGGGCTTGAAACTCGTCTTTCGGACAAGCAATCTCATATCCGGCAACTTGAAAACACACTTCGTGAAAAAGAACAGCAATATCAATTTCTTATAACCGAATACAAGTATGTTTTTGCATCAATAGTGCATTGCTTTTTCATATTCTCTCCAACTAATACCAATTGTTGATTATTGCAGCGAATTGTCAGAGGCTGTGGCATCTTCGCTCAATAAAAAATCAGCAGATGATCTTGAACAAAAAATCAAAAGAGTTGATTCAGTAAAACCCGAACCCGAACCTGATCATGAATTGAATTCAAGTCAATCGAACATTGATAATTCCGTGTTTGATCCCAATTTGGTATCTCCTGATAATGTACAAAAAGATGCGATACATGGCATTACTCCAGCGACACTTTCCAATGATATGTTGATGCCTGTTGTTGATCTACCAACCTTGACGGGTTTGGAGGATAGTTGTACCATTTAAAACTGAATATGATGTTCAACAATATAATTCACCACAAAGCAAGTTTGCAAGCAGGTCGGCTAAGCTACAAAAGATTGGTTTTAAATTCACTTTTATCAAGGAAACTTGCAAATTAGTGCAATAAATTGGTTGCAATTCAAATGATAGTTTAAAATAAAATTCTGACTAGCAAGGCAAACATTTGAAATTTAATGGTGATGGATTTTATTAAAATTAACTGAATGAATAAGTGGCCTTGTTATGAAGTACTAGCTTATTGTCCACGAAATAAAAACTATCCGACACAGTTTCTCCAGGCGACTGAATCATTTTTTCCTCTGTATTACAATGCATGCACAAAACTATGAGTACAATTCAAAAGTCCATTAAAGCAAGTCTCTCTTACGTGTTTTTTTATCCAGAAACGGAACCTATACAAGATGGAGTTTGATTAAGCGGTTTGATTCTACGACAAATTAAATTTAAAAACTGTAATCTTACATCGTAGATATGCTCCCATGTGTTGATTGTATTTGGAATACAAAATCCAAAATTAAAATCAAACGATTTTAGCAAACGACCTTGAAAATAATGATTTTCCATCATTCTAAACCCTTTGAGTTCCTTGCAACCCACAGCAAAACATAGCCTATATGATGATCAAATCAACAAGGTGACAACACGGTTTTTAATATAAAATACAACAATGTGTTCAAGGCACACCAAGTCCAGTCTTACTTTGCAGCAATTGTCTTTGCAGCCAAAAAGTTTTTTGGAAAGTTGTAGTGAATACTCTGGCCAAGTTCATTTGGATCGACCTCGTGCCAGGTAATAGGAATATCAGGTTGCTTGATTTCAAAAAAAGTCTATTTTATAATATTGATAGTCTGTTTAGTCTAAAGCGAGTCTAGATCGAGGGTGATTTAAAATACCTCTTTGGTATCATTGTTTTTGATGGAAAATTCTAAAAACTACTTTTAAACTTGGGTTAGCAACACATGATAGTTTGAATAATGTGTAAATATTTGATAGACATGCCTGTATAAGCTCATTTCCAATCGGCTTGCATAGAAACTGAATACATGCGTGGTTTAGTATAGGTAGTGATTTAATGCATACGCATTCCCCAAGCATCCATTGTCTTGATTCATTATTATCAGAATGTCATTAAAACACATATCAGTCAAACTTACATCATCAGTAGGTAGTTTGAATCTATTTATTATTTAGAACAGATATCAGCAGTTGTTTTCAAGTTAGTTCAAACTATACATTATACAAATGACGTGATGTTAAAGGTGTAAATTGGGTCAAATACTATTTCAATGATATCGATACAACAAGTTCAATAGACGAATAAACTGTACTAGATAAATTCAATTACTTTTGAACAATTTCTGGAGTAAACATGTTTATTGTATGCTTTACAAGCTACCAGTAGCCAAAGTAATGTTCAAGTTCGCGTCTGAGATGGTCGAATATTTGGATAAATTTCAATCATGATCTCAGCTACAATTGCTGCTTGCCGTTTTATAATTGGTTGCTTACAGCATGCATAATCAATGGGCTTGATTGGCCAGATTTGAAGATACACAACTTTCTATTACACTATTTTGGCCATACGTTTTGGCTAAACATGCATTTTGGCTAAATGACACTGCGGGTTTAATGCGAAACTCGAAAATCCATTTCATTTTATCAATAATGGATTTTACAACCACTCTTTGGGCAGATGTTACTCCTATCCCGCAGGATGATGGGCCTGACCCACTTGTTCCCATAGCCTATTCCCCAGAATGTATTTACATGCATGCCGTGAATAAGTTGTTTTCATTACTTGATTCTAATCCACCGAATTGGATATTTATAGATTCCAAAGCCATGGATTATTTTAGAGCTGTATATGCTTTAAAAGAGCATTCAGCCCGAGCACTTGATCTTACTTCGTATATTATCAGTCAAAACTCGTCGCATTATACTGTCTGGTAAAGTGATGGTTTGATATCAGGCTATAATAAATTGGCTTTTGAAGACCCAGTGCATTATCATGACTGAATTTAAAACTGTAGGAAGTATCGGCTGGACATAGTGTTGGGAATGAAAGTTTCTATTGATGAAGAGCTTGCGTTTACTGAAGGACTTGCTGCTGATAATCCAAAGAGTTACCAGATCTGGTATGTATTGCTCATTGTTTGATATGTCGTGTGTAGATTATTTGATGCGAATTTTAAATTGAGTTGTCCTGCCACTTGCATAATGGACCAGCTTAACATGTATGCTTTAATTATTCAGGCACCATCGTCAAGCCATAGCAGACAAGGACCATCAGCCCCAAAGAGAAATTGATTTTATTAATCGAATGCTCGAGATTGATTCCAAAAACTATCATGCATGGTCATACAGGTATTTGTTGATTTGAATAGTCGATTGAATTCATATTTTAAATTCGAGTATTTTTTTGTCCATTGTGATGATAACTAGACAGCACGTTGTGTCCCAGCATAAGCTTTGGAAGTTGGAATTGAAGGAAATTGATCGTTTATTACAAGAAGATATCCGTAACAATTCTGCTTGGAATCAACGATTTTTTGTATTGTCTCGGTCCTCTGATCCATTTAAACCAGAGGATTTGGATCGAGAGGTGCAATACACTTTGTCCAGGATTAATATGGCTATCCACAATGAAAGCCCATGGAACTACTTGCGAGGGTAAATTACACGCTTACTATTCGACTCGGCTGTAGTGTTTAATAGTCTAATCCTTTTCATTGTGTGTAGAGTTATTCAGCAGCTTGCTGGAAAAAAACTTTGCGAAAACGAGTCTGCCGAGGCTACAGCTATTCGATTGAGCGTCGAACCGCACAACAGCACCCATGCCATGGCATACTTGGTTGATATTTACCAAGAGCGCAAGCAGCAATCCGAGTTTATTCATGTAAGCATTATTTTTGTAAACAATTCATCACTATTTGTTTGCGTATCGTATTGCTATTTTCATTTGTGATGAAAAAATTAATATATTTTTTGGGTGTAACAGTTATGTACACGTTTAGCACAGTTGGACACTGTTCGAAAGCTATACTGGCAGCACCGTATTGACAAGGCAAATGTCGTAGAGTGTCATTGAAAGTACGGATCTAAAATTAAATCAAGATTAGCCTGAATAAGATTTACTGGTCTAGGAGTATCATGTAAAAGTGATTTTTAATGAATAAACTAGACTTACGTAAAAGAGCTTCGTCTGCACTTATCCGCTTTTCTGGCTGGTACTCGATTGTACTCATCAATAAATCAATGCCTTCAGGACTGAGTTTTGGGAGGAGGGGTTCAAGACGTGTTGGAGGATAGATGGGAAAGTCTGGTTTGTAGTCGGGAAGTTCCAAAATCTGAGGCCATGACTGTCGAAATTAAAATATTAAAAACAATGAGTAAGCTGTCAGAGTTGAGACACATTACTGCCAGATGATATCAAATACCTTTTCATCAGGCGTGCCAAGAAGTTTGAAAATACGCAAGATTTGATCACGAATTGAACTTCCAGGAAAAAGAGGTCGACCTAGAGATGATCAAAGCAGCATTCTATTCATTAGTCAACTTTGTTGAGATACCAAAACTAGAGTGATTTTTGGCATGTCAAAGTTATAAACGTACCACTAGCCATTTCTGCCATAATACACCCAGTGGACCAAATGTCAATTGAAGTCGAGTATTGTCTAGAGCCCATTAAAACATCGGGAGCTCTGTACCATAATGTGACGACTTCATGAGAGTATCCACGTACAGGAATACCAAAAGCTCGAGCCAAACCAAAATCCGCAAGCTTGAGTTCTAGCCGTTTATTAATTAAAAGATTTCTAACGCAACCAAGTTAGTATGACACATCTAAATGAATGATCTATTAGACGAATTTCAAGTATTACTGTGGTTTCAAGTCGCGATGTAAAACTCTATTGTCATGGCAAAATGCAACCCCGCGAAGAAGCTGATGCATTAAATGCTGTTTCAATCCAAAAGATATTAGAAATGTTGTTCAAGTATGTTGCAAACAGTAGAGAATATTGGTATAACAGATGCCAGCGATTGAAGTGGTGAAGAATAAGCAAGTAGATGGAATTCAAGATCAGAATTACCTTGATGGTTGGAGCACTAATATCTCCTGCATTGGTATCCAAGAACTTTTTCAGATCCGAGTCGAGATACTCGAAAACAAGAGTAAGTTTCTTTTCAGTGTGAATGACATCATGCAGCCTAAAAAACTCGAGAATGTCAACAACCCGATTTGTACAATAACACACGGAAGCTTGGATACATGCTAGTTTTTACAAACCACACCTGACAATATTGATGTGCTTGAGTTCTTTCAACAGCGAAATTTCTCGGATTGCTGTATAGAAATAGTAAGTAAAAAGCAGAAGATGGAAATATTACATCAATTCAAACCAACCTGTACACGGAACGCCCTGTTGTCAATGATTGTAAATTAAATGTATTTAGCAGTGCACAGTTGGTATAGTAGAGTATTTCAGTAACAATGCAAGAGCAATGCAATAGCAATACCTCTTCTTCATTATCCAAACGTATCTACATTGAATCAACGAGAGTCAGTAAACAGTTGAATCCAGGCTTATTGACGGGCAGTGCAAAGTATGGTCAATACACTCACTCTTTTCAAAGCAACAACATCTCCGGTTTCTCTGTTTTGAGCCTTGTAGACAATTCCATATGTTCCTAAAAGCAGGTTGATTAGATTTCCCAACTGCACAAGATGAAGCATTCCAATGTAGAAAGTCGCAACGATTGCCATGAAGTTGTGCAGCTGTATCGACACTTACCTTCACCCAGCTTTTCGATTTTCTAAAAATAAACAAGTATTGAATCAATTGTTCTATTAGTAGAATGTATAATTGATAAATAATAGTAATACCAAGTCCATTTGAAGATGAACAAGACTTACTTGATACTTTTCCACTAAAACAACGTATAGCACAATAAAAGTTAGTATATAATCAGTAATGACTTATATAATAAACAAGAATATAGTTTAGAGATATTACTTACTTTGGCAGAGTCAAGTAAAAGTTTGAGTTGTGAAAATGTTGAACTTGAATTTTGACATTTAAATGAAACGATTCGAGTTTTTACTGCGACAGTTTTGGCTTATCGACACGATTGATTTCAATACAATTTTTAGTCTTTGAACGCGAGTTTCAGTTTTTGTATTTCAAGTTTATAAAGAATTGAATATTATTTTAGTGTTGTTTTAGTGTTGTTTTGGTACTGTTTTGGTACTGGTTTAGTATTGTTTTAATACTGGTTTAGTACTATTCAAATTGTTCAAATTTAAATCCAAATTGTTCAAATTTAAATCCAAATTGTTCAAATTTAAATCCAAATTGTTCAAATTTAAATCCAAATTGTTCAAACATCTTTATCCTTTTTGTTTCTATTAAATGATTTTGAATAGAATTTAAAATTACAATTAAAAACTACAAAACGACCCGCACATGAACTTGCTGTCTTCAATGCCATTCAAGTATCGCCCAATACAGGGGTTGTTCACGTGATCAACTGACTCTTCAAAACTTGAATTAAAAAAGTTTTTGTTAATCTTCAAGTGAACATCTTGATCATGGTTGTTTCTACTGCAGGTATACTGCTCGTTGCGATTCATACTGCCATGTCACTTCATTTTATTTGTTTATTTATCATGGAAATTTACTAGTTGAAGCCTGTGCATCGGTTCACTCAACATCTGTCGATGTCATTCATAATTCGGTCGATATCACTACAAGTGCTGCTGCTCCTCTTTTAGTCGAGACTGCTGTTGAATTACATCCAATTCGACCTATTCATGCTACTGTTGGAAACCACGTCGAAGCCGTCCTTTTAATGGCTGACGGCTCTTCTGTCTCGGGTGTTTCATTTGGTGCCGAAACTCATTCGATTGCTGGTGAATGTGTCTTTCAAACAGGTAAACCTTGCTCTTGTCGATTCTCTGCCATCTGGCTCAACTGCATTTTACGAGTCAATCTACTATCGTCTTTTTTTACTGGTTTTTTCTTTGCAAAATGTGGCTTTCTGTCAACTAAATTTTATTGCGTTTTTTGGCATCTTTATTGGTTCATTCTTTCGTTTCTTTATATAGGCATGGTTGGATATCCAGAATCTCTCACTGACCCTTCTTATCGCGGACAGATTCTTGTGCTTACTTTCCCCCTTGTTGGAAACTACGGTGTTCCATCACGCACATCGATGGATTCATCTGTAAAACAAATTCAAGAGCACTTTGAATCTTCAGAGATCCATATTGCCGCCTTGGTGGTTGGGTTTTACTCGGATGACTTTTCACACTATTTAGCCACTTCTTCACTGTCTGAATGGCTCAAGGAAAATAATATTCCTGCTATTTCTGGCGTGGACACCCGTGCGCTCACTAAAAAAATCCGCACTCATGGTGTACTACTCGGAAAGCTTCTTTTTCCAAAATCACAGTTTCCTAATACTTCCTTTGCTTCTATTCCAGCTAATCCAGAGCTGCCTTGTCCTCCCTGGATATCCGACTATGTAGACGTGGCATGGGAAGATCCCAATCTGCGCAACCTTGTTGCAGAAGTCTCAATCAAATCTCCTGCTGTCTATTCGCCATTAGATGGCTCTACTACTGTTTGCGGGGCAGATGGTAAAATTCTTTCCATTCTTGCTGTAGATGTTGGCATGAAAAACAACCAGATTCGTTGCTTTGTAAAACGCGGAGTTTCTTTGCGAGTAGTCCCTTGGAACTACGATTTCATCTCTGACACAAACTACGATGGTCTTTTCATTTCAAACGGTCCTGGTGATCCAATTGCTCTTGACATTACTATTGAACGTCTTTCCAAACTTCTCAAGTCTCAAACTAAACCGGTTTTCGGTATTTGTCTAGGCCATCAATTGGTGGCTTTGGCTTCTGGTGCTACTACCAGCAAACTCCACTTTGGAAACCGTGGTCACAATATTCCTTGCACCAATCAACACACTGGTAGATGCTTCATCACTTCTCAGAATCATGGGTTTGCTGTCAATACAGACTCTTTATCCGACGAATGGGAAGAGTATTTTGTAAATGCTAATGATGGCTCCAACGAAGGTATTATCCACAAAACACTCCCGTTTTTCTCGGTACAATTCCACCCCGAATCTACTCCTGGACCATGGGATACCGAATTTCTTTTTGATAAATTCATTCAATCTGTCAAGGCATGCAAGGATGCTGGAAAGTTGGTACCGTTGGTACGCGAATCCTGCTTGGTGCCAAATAAGCGTCTTCATCCACGAAAAGTGTTGGTTCTTGGTTCTGGTGGTCTTTCCATTGGACAGGCCGGTGAGTTTGACTACTCTGGCTCACAAGCAATCAAAGCACTCAAAGAAGAAGGCATATACACTGTTCTTATCAATCCAAATATTGCCACAATTCAAACATCAAAGGGTCTTGCTGACAAAGTATACTTTTTGCCTGTAACCCCCGAGTTTGTTCGAAAAGTTATCAAGCATGAAAAGCCAGACGGTGAGTTGGTCTATAATGAATTGTGCTTTACATGTAGACTGTCGTGTATTCATTGGGGTTCCCTGTAATGTATTAGGCATTTACTGTACATTCGGTGGTCAAACCGCTTTGAATATTGGCGTCAAACTAAAGGACGAGTTTGCTAGTCTCGGCGTACAAGTTCTTGGTACTCCAATCCAAACCATTGAAATGACCGAGGATCGTGAGCTGTTTGGCAACGCTCTTGCAGAGATTGGTGAAAAATGTGCCCAAAGTTCCTCTGCCACCACGGTCGAGGAAGCCATTGCTGCAGCAAACTCGATTGGCTATCCTTTGATTATTCGTGCAGCATATGCTCTTGGTGGTCTAGGCTCTGGATTTGCCGAAAATCAGGAACAACTCCAGGAACTCTGCATCAAAGCCTTTGCAACATCTCCTCAAATTCTTGTAGAAAAATCAATGAAGGGTTGGAAGGAGATTGAGTACGAAGTGGTCCGTGATGCCTATGACAATTGTGTCACCGTTTGTAATATGGAGAATTTTGATCCTCTTGGTATTCACACTGGCGATTCGATTGTTGTTGCCCCATCCCAAACACTTTCTGATGAAGACTATATGATGCTTCGTCGCACTGCAGTCAATGTCATTCGCCATCTTGGAGTTATTGGTGAATGCAACATTCAATACGCTCTTAATCCATTGTCCAAAGAGTACTGCATTATAGAAGTCAATGCTCGTTTATCTCGTAGTTCCGCACTTGCTTCCAAAGCCACCGGGTACCCACTTGCATTTGTTGCTGCCAAGTTGGGCTTGGGTATTCCACTTACTCAAGTCAAAAACAGTGTTACCAAAAAAACCATTGCGTGTTTCGAACCTAGTTTGGACTACTGCGTAGTCAAGATTCCTCGCTGGGATCTTAAAAAGTTTAATCGTGTTAGTACCAAGATCAGTTCATCCATGAAAAGTGTGGGTGAGGTCATGGCTATTGGCCGAAACTTTGAAGAAACCATTCAAAAAGCAATTCGTGCAGTGGATTATAGTTTTTCAGGATTTGCTGAAAATGACTTTAGCGAAGATATCGACGAAGAACTTAAAAACCCTTCGGATCAGCGTTTGTTTGCTGTTGCAAATGCGCTTCACAAGGGATACACTGTACATCGCATTTGGGAACTTACCAGAATTGACAAGTGGTTTTTGAACAAGCTTAAAAACATTGTGGATCTGGACAAGTCACTTCAAAAGTTTACACCTAGCACTATTCCAAATGACTATCTTCGTTGCGCAAAGCAGTTTGGATTTTCTGATCGTCAAATTGCCAAAGCCATTTCTACCACTGAACTAGGTGTTCGCAAGATCCGTAAAGAGCGTGGTATCACTCCATTTGTGAAGCAGATTGACACGGGTGAGTTTGTTTTGGGATTGATCTTTTATACATGGTATACTCACTATTGTTTTTACCTCGAGTCTAGTTGCTGCCGAGTTTCCTTGCTACACCAACTACCTTTACACAACATACAATGCATCTGAGCACGATGTTACTTTTGAAGACAAGGGTGTCATGGTTCTTGGCTCTGGAGTATACCGAATTGGCTCCAGTGTCGAGTTTGATTGGTGTGCTGTGCGTTGCATTCGCACGCTTCGAAGTCTTGGTTACAAGACTGTCATGGTCAATTACAATCCAGAAACTGTTTCGACCGACTACGACGAAGCTGATCGTCTATACTTTGAAACGCTTACACTCGAGCGCGTTCTTGATATCTATGACATTGAAAACTCGAGTGGCTTAGTTGTTTGTATGGGCGGTCAGACTCCCAACAATATTGCTCTAGCTCTCCATCGTGAAAATGTCAAGATTCTTGGTACATCGCCAGAAATGATCGACTCTGCTGAAAATCGATACAAGTTTTCTCGAATGTGCGACAAGATTGGTGTTGATCAGCCCGAGTGGAAGGAGCTTACTTCGATTGACGAGGCAGATTCGTTTTGTGAAAAGGTTGGGTACCCGGTATTGGTACGCCCTTCGTATGTTCTTTCTGGTGCTGCCATGAATGTAGTGTACTCTCAGGCAGATTTAAAGAGCTACTTGGATATGGCTGTCAAGGTGTCTCGGGAATACCCTGTAGTTATTTCCAAATTTATTGAGGATGCCAAAGAAATCGAAATGGATGCCATTGCTCTTGATGGTAAAATGGTAATGCACGTCATTTCAGAGCATGTCGAAAATGCGGGTGTTCATTCTGGCGACGCTACTTTGGTTCTTCCTCCCCAAGATTTGGATCCTGAAACGGTTGAAAAGATTATTTCCGCTACCCAGAAGATTGGTAGCGCACTCAATGTCACTGGACCATACAACATTCAATTCATTGCCAAGAATAACGAGATCAAGGTGATTGAATGCAATGTTCGTGCATCTCGCTCGTTCCCATTTGTTTCCAAGGTTATTGGGGTTGATTTGGTTGAGATTGCAACAAAAGCCATGCTCAATGAACCGTTCGAGGCATATCCCGCTATGGAAGATCGACCAGACTATGTTGCTGTTAAAGTTCCGCAATTTTCGTTTAGTCGACTTGCAGGAGCTGATCCCATTCTTGGTGTTGAGATGGCTTCCACTGGTGAGGTAGCCTGCTTTGGACGTGACAAGTACGAAGCATACATGAAGGCTTTGATTGCTACTGGCTTTAAAGTTCCTGAGAAAAACATTCTTCTTTCCATGGGTTCATTCAAAGAGAAACAAGAATTTCTTCCTTCTGTTCTCAAACTGCACGAATTGGGTTACAAACTTTTTGCCACAGCTGGTACAGCCGACTTTTTAAGCGAGTACAACATTCCTGTCAAGTATCTTGAAGCACTTGAAGATGACTCTAATGTTCCCCAGCAAAAACTCGAATATAGCTTAACACAGCACTTGGCCAACAATTTAATCGATCTTTACATTAATCTTCCATCGAAAAATCGTTTCCGTCGACCTGCTAGCTACATGAGTCGTGGTTACCGCAGTCGTCGTATGGCAGTTGATTTTGACGTCCCTCTAATCACAAACATCAAATGTGCCAAACTTTTTGTCGAGGCACTTGGACGAGGGGTTGATTTTGAAATTTCTTCCAACGACTATCAAACCTCGCATCGCACTATTGTTCTTCCAGGTCTTATCAATATGCAAAACTTTGTTCCTTTTGCCACGATTCCAGACTCTGGTCATGCCGAGAAAATCACTCGCGCCGCTGCTGCTGGAGGATTTACTCTGATTTGTAATACTGCAATCGGACAGGGCGAGTCTGCAGTCAAAGATCGACGCACTGTTGGCGTTGCAAAAAAGAATTTTAATGGAAAATCGGTTGTCGATTATACATTTGGTCTTGCTGCCAATAAATCCAATGTGTCTGGCATTGCGGCTTTAGAGCATGATGTTTCTAGTTTATATGTCAAGCTTTCTGAAGATGCCACTAGTCCAACTACTCTTGCTGATGTTGCCGCATCCTTTATTGCATGGCCTGCATCTCGTTTAGTGATTACACACGCTTCGCATACTCAACTTGCGGCAGTGATGTTTTTGGCCAATCTTCATAGTCGTCCTTTGCACATTACTCAGGTGACAAAAAGAGAAGATCTTGCTCTTATTATAGCTGGCAAGCAAAACGGAATGCGTATTACTTGTGATGTTTGCGTGCACGCACTCTTTCTATGCCGTAGCACCATTGACCATCCTTCTTTGCCCACTCAAGAAGATATGGACTATTTATGGAGCAACCTGGATGCCATTGACTGTTTGACTGTTGGTACTCTTTGCTCTGAATTAGCCAATGACGATTCTGTTGCTTCTGGCATTCAAGAAGCACTCCCATTGCTGCTTACTGCAGTATATGAGGGCAAGCTTACTCTCGAGTATATTACTTCGCGTCTTTCGACCAACCCTCGACGTATTTTAGATTTACCTGAACAAGTGGATACATACATTGAGGTTGAGATTGATCGCAAGTATGTTGTTCCACCAACAGGATATGAAGGTTCTGGATCCAACACCAGCACCATTGCAGGAAAAGAGCTTTATGGATGTGTACACCGTGTTGTGATTCGAGGATCGACCATTTATCTTGATGGAGCACACTTTGGTGAGCCTACAGGCAGAGACATTTCTGGAACGGTGCGCATATCATCCAAGACTGCACCTAGCCCATCTCATCGTGCAGTATCCATTCCTACTATTGTAGAAGGAGTATCACCTCGTATGCGCATCTTTTCACCTATGGATTCTGCTTTATCACCAGTTCTTCGTACATCTAATATTACGGTTGATCCCGCTGCTTCAAAGGTAGTGTCGGATACCAATGCTCTGGACAATCTCCTTCGAGGAAATGCTTTGAGCAGCTACAAGGATCTTTCAGATGAGCTTGAATACAAGGAACATGAAGCCAAGAATAAAAAGCATTCCGTGATAGCTTTGGAACCCAGTTTGGCCAACAAGTACATTTCCGATTATTTGCCACGCTCTGTGGCCACGACAGTAGTCAAGTCTCCATTCTACAAGAAGCACATTACTACTGTTCTTCAATTTACACGCAGTGATTTGCACACACTATTTGGTGTTGCACAAGAAATGCGAATTATTGTTGAAAAGCAAGGACGCATTAATCTGTTGAATGGCAAAGTGATGTGCTCGGCATTTTGGGAACCGTCGACTCGAACGTCGTGCTCATTTGAAACTGCCATGACTCGTCTTGGTGGAGATGTTGTATCGATCAACCAAATCACTAGCTCGATTGCTAAAGGTGAAAGTATCAGTGATACTGTGCGCACTTTGGCGAGTTACGGTGATGTAATTGTAATGCGACATCCTGAGCCAGGAAGTGTGTCGTATGCATCCAAATTTTCACCTGTTCCAATCATCAACGCAGGAGATGGTATTGGAGAGCACCCATCGCAGGCACTCTTGGATATTTTTACAATTCGTGAAGAACTTGGTACTGTCAATGGACTTACCATTACTATTGTTGGCGATCTCAAAAATGGACGTACAGTGCATTCACTTGTGCGTTTATTGACACACTATCATGTCAAGATCAACTATGTATCTCCCGAGTCATTGAAGATGCCCGAGAGTATTATTGCAGACTTGAATCGATACGATATTCCTCAATACGAAACGACGTCGCTGGAGGAAGTGCTGGCAACAACCGACGTGCTCTACGTGACACGTATCCAAAAGGAACGGTTTTCAGATTTGGAAGAGTATAAACAAGTCAGCAGTAGTTATATCATTACCAACAAGGTGATGCAAAGTGCCAAACAACACATGATTGTAATGCACCCACTTCCTCGAGTGAATGAGATTGATCCCGAAGTGGATCTAGACCAACGTGCAGCCTATTTTCGACAAATGCGATACGGACTGTTTGTTCGAATGGCGTTGCTTGCTCTTGTTGTGGGTCGCACAGTTTAAACCTCGAAATTCAAGACTAATTTGATAACAACTACTTGCCATGCAGAGTTGGAAATAAAACGAGTAAAAATATAAATTTACAAAAAATAAAGTGAATTCAAACATTAACATTCAAGTTGAATGATTGACGACGACCGTAATGAAAAGATGGCTGTAGCCAGAAGAAAGGTTTGATTATTGAGTCGAGTTGGTTTTTATTATTATTACTAACATGATAATTGACTGGATAATCAACTGGATAATCAACAGCTGCAACAGTTTCAGAAAAAGAAACATAATGTATCAAATACACTTTCTAATACTGAAGAACTACATGCCACTAGTATTGCATCTTCTATTCCACTTGCTCCCATCAACTCATCTACTGTTGCTCTTTCTGATCTGGATGCTCTTACTACCGAGTCAGTTTCATTAAACACTGTACATCCTGTTGCTGAAACTCAGATCCATCCTTTGGTATTAGCAAGTCTTTATCATTTGTCATGTCTGCTTTTTATTAATTCAAGTTTGACTCTACTAACCAGTTCATATGTTGTGTTTTTTGGGGTTTCGACTTTTAGCCTGAAGTGAATGGTTCGACTACAACTCACTCTCCCGTGGCTCGACTGTCTTTGGAAAATACAGACCTTCACTCAACCATTGATCGATTGTCAGAAGCTCTACAGCAACTCTCCAATGAAAACGCAGATCTACATTTGGATATTTCTCGAATGACTTTGGAATTGAACGAAAGTTATCACAATCAAAAGTCTAGTCCAAAAGACATGGACTTTGTTCGAGCTCAACTGGAAGAAGCGCATACTGAAATCCGATTATTAGTAGATCAATCACGACAATCTTCTGCAGAACATGATGCTCGGTTGGCTGAAATATTACTTTTAAAAGGAACTATTGAACGTTTGGAAAAGAGTATGAGCAATATGGAGAAATGGTCTGCTGAACGAGAGTTGCAGTTGCGTGAACTCACTACTGTAAATCCTGGGATGTCATCCGAGCAAGCTCAGCGACTAGAATCAATGGTTTTTGAAAAGGATGAGCTTATTGTTCAACTTAGATTTCAATTGGAACAAGAGCAGAGCGCGAAGCGTCAGTTGCAAGACGATTTTGTAGAATCTACTCTCAAGTTGGAGACTCAATCAGCAGAGTTACTGAAAGCACAGGATTTAACAATATCTCAAACAAAGAAAATGGAAGCATGCGAGGCAGAGAATATACAATTAAAAAACAATCTACACATCGAGTCTCAGAAAAGTATTCAAGAAAAGGCGGCATTGGAAGCACTGCTTACTGAAAAATCCAATCATCTCGAAACCATAATGCATAAACAGCAAGAATATGTTTTTGATGAGGGTCACATTTCAAAACTCGATGCTCAGATAAAAACCATGGGGACTCGCATGCAATCGCTTCAAGAAGATAATGCAGCCCTCATTCGTCAATTGGACGAGCTGCGTCATCGTAACATTTCATTGACCAATGAAAAGCTGCAGTTTGTAGAATCTCTTGATGTTTTACAAACCAAAGTTTCCAAGTGAGTTGTGATTTTATTATCGAGATTTGATTTTATAAACTTTGAACTCATCAAATTGAATATTTATAGATTGGAAGCTCAGTCAGTGACTACACCGATACCCACTTTACAATCTGCTACACCATTGGATTTGGATATAAAAGATGAGACTGCGCTTGATAATATTTCACCACATTCTGCTTTACTAGTGACTACGACGCCTTGCACTGAAAGCAATCCATCTCCATCTACTGTGTCCAACATTCAGCAAACTGGTGTTTCTGCTAAATCCAATATTCAAGTTGCTACAACACCTCGCAATGATCTAGTGATTGATCTTCAAAACAAACTAACACAGCTTGAACTACAGTATCAACGTGTTGTAGATGAGCTTGGCAAAGAGCAGAAACTTACGACACTTCTCACTGGTAAGCGAATTTCCAATTGTATTTACTAATATTTTAAAACAAACTGGCTAGTTATGATATGCTACATTACTTGTAAACTAATTTACAATTTGGTATTTATTAGCCGAAGTAGAAGCACTGCCAGATTTCATTCAAATCTATCACCAAGAGCGCAAGCAATTGATTGAACAAATGCAGAAAATAGCAGCGCGACTAAAGAATGAAGGTGGTGTTGGATCTGCATTATCTATAGGAATGGAAAGCAATACAGGATCACAAGCACACTTGACTACCAACAATGAATCTTTTAACGATGCATCACTGCTTGCCAATGCGTATGTGGGAGTTTCTCATGGAGCAGTTTCTGGAATGCTTCTTCAAACTCAAGTTCAGTCCATACCAGGTGGATGTTATCGCTGCAAAGGCTGGCCATTGATTACGCTGTAATATTTTACAAATGTAATTGTCAGTCTTGACTCGAGTTGAGCGCATCTGAAAATGAATTCAAATTGGATTAGAAATCAATTTTTTTTAAAAATTGCAAGTTTTTAGTTTTTATTGTTCAACTGCAGAATTAGTAAAAACCAAGTCATGGATAAGCTGATTGTCAAGGATCTTGCTGTGCGCAACATTACTGGAGTTGATTCTTGGGAAAGATCAAAACAACAGCCTTTGATCATCACTGTAGTGGGTTATACTGATGTGGGTCTTGGTGGAATGCACGACTTGCTATCAGAATCAGTATCGTATTCAGCAATCTCGAAAGAAGCTCAAAAGTTTGCAGAAAGTTCTGTGTTTCGTTCATTAGAAAAACTTGCTGCTGGCATCGTTTATGCTTGCTTGACAAAGTTTCCGCTGGAATGTGTGTCTGTAAAAGTACTCAAACCTCGTGCATTGCTTCATGCGACCAGTGCTGGCGTAGAACTTGTTCGTACTAAATCTGATATTCCTCGGCTGTCGCAGTTGTTATTCAATGACCAGAATGCTGCTCTTTCCATTGCTGATTCTATCCAAAAAGAGTCTCAGCCCAATCCAGAAACTGTCGCTGCAGATCCTTACCGTCGTGCTGACATTCTATCCATCAACGATCTTGTACTCAACTGCATTATTGGCGTGAATGCATGGGAGCGAGAAGAGCGTCAAAATATTATTGTTAATATTCAAATGTTTGTCGAGTTGGACGATCAAGCACTCATTGCTGATCATGTACCCAAAATGCAGAATTATCGAACCATCACTCGTATGCTGACTAAACTAGTCGAAGAATCGTCCTACAAAACTGTCGAGGCTCTTGCTATTCGCATTGCTCATTTGCTGATTCAAGTCTGTTTTGTTCCAAAAGTCACAATCCGAATTGAAAAACCAAGTGCGCTCACGTTTGCTGCATCTGCTGGTGTAGAAATCACTCGTACTCGGTCATCTTTGCTGAATGAAACTCACGTTCCTATTTCTCTAAAGGATTCTGCGTCAAATGCCGTGGTTTTTTTGGCAATTGGTTCTAATCTAGGTGATCGTGCCCAAAATATTCACAAGGCTTTGGATTGTTTAATCAATTCGAAAATCTCCATTGCGGATACCTCGTTTTTATATGAAACTTCTCCAATGTACATTACAGACCAGCCTTTGTTTTTAAACTGTTGTATCAAGGTAAGTGATTGGGAAAACTTTTAATACTGTGTATAGATCCATTACCAATCTATATTTTGGTGCTATTCAATAGATCAAGACCTGTCTATCTCCTCATGATTTACTATGTTTGCTCAAGAAAATTGAAGCTGATCTTGGACGCGATCTTCATGGAGGAGTCTGCAATGGACCACGACCCATTGACCTTGATATTCTCTTTTATAACCAACTTGAACTTAACTCGGAAACCCTTGTTATTCCTCATCCTCGAATTACTGAGCGAGCTTTTGTTCTTTGTCCACTTTGCGAGTAAGTTTACTTGTATAGTTTCAATTTCAACATATATATTTTTTGACTCGATACCGTCTACTTATAAAATAATAGTATTGCGCCTGATATGGAACATGTTGGTAAATTCCGTACGATTCGTCAAGAGCTTGCTTTGTTGAAACATGAGGAAAGCGATGATTGTATTTGGAAAGTCATGCCTGTTCGTGGATCAGTCTGGCGAGTGGATGAACGTACTCGCATCATGGGTGTTCTCAACGTCACACCTGATAGCTTTAGTGACGGAAACAAATTTATGAATGTTGAAAGTGCTGTTTCACATTCATTAAAAATGGTGGATGAAAATGTGGATATCATTGATGTAGGTGGCCATTCAACCAATCCAGGATCGGATGCAACATGTGAATCTGACGAGCTTGAACGAGTCACAACATCCATTCGTGCTATTCGTAAACATAATTCAAGTGTACCCATTTCTGTGGATACGTTTCGTGCAAGTATCGCAACGGCTGCCATTGAAGCTGGTGCTGATTTCATCAATGATATATCTGGTGGTTCAAAAGATCCTGATATGCTCAAAGTCATGGCTGCATCTCATCTACCTGTCTGTTTGATGCATATGCGTGGAGATTCAAAAACAATGATGAGTTTGACTGATTATGCTGGTGATGTCATTGGCGCTATCCATTCCTCCATGACAGATCTTGTACAAGCTGCTATCAAAGCTGGCGTGTACCGTTGGAATATTATGATCGACCCAGGCATTGGGTTTGCTAAAACTATGGATCAAAATTACGAGATTCTTAAAAGATTACCAGATATTGCCAAGCCGAATACTGCGCTAGAAGGATTTCCTATATTGGTTGGACCATCACGTAAACGCTTTATTGGTGAAACCCTTCAAGAAAACGACCCTACAAAACGTGGTTGGGGAACTGCTGCTGCATGCTCTGCTGCTGTGGCTGGAGGTGCCAGTGTTATGCGAGTACACGATATCAAGGAAATGAGAGATGTTATTCTTGTTGCTGACAAATGCTTCCGGATGTAATGTGTCCAAATACATGTTTTCTACCACAAACAGTTTAGTTTTATTTAAATATCAAACCCACGAATTGTGTGTGCTGCTGGCAGAATCAGTTTGTTTCCTGAATGGGTTGCAGGACTACCTTTTCTTTCTGAATCTCTAGGTAGCAAAGAAAGTGAGCTTTTAAAAGTATTCTCATTCAATCGAGCTGATTCTTCCTCATCAATGATATGAATCAGCTGTAATCCTGCCATTTTGTCAACAATACTCAAGGCAGATTTATCAAACACAACTCGTTCAAAAAGCTCTTGAATATATCTTCGTGTCGCAACACGGTAATGATACAAGGTACATATTCTCCATGCTTGAACACACAATTCGGGACGAGTAAAAAGATGTGGGTGTTGTTGTCGGGTCCTAAATGAAATACCAATACAATGTAAATCAGAAAATCTAGTCAAAGCATATTAGTCTCGCATCCAATACAAAACTCACAAAGCCAATTGTTTTGATGCTGCTGTAGCAAGAATATGGTTGCTAAGATTGCCAATACACTTGAGAATCTCATCCTCCAGTGCATCTAGTTTGTAATGTAAAGGCTTGAACGTTATTTTTTGCTGAGCAGGCCATGATCCGCTATAATTCCATTCTGGAAGCTGTTTAAATGTATACAGACAAACCATTCTCGTAAGTTTTCTGTTTAAAACAAAATGCTCAAAGCAACAGTATTTAAAAACTTGCATTTAAAATACTACTCGGCTCGTTTGGAACACATATCAAGTCTCCTGACCAACCAATCTCATTCATAATGCGGATATCTGCAAAGTTGTGAGATATCACGCAAAGGGCGTAGAAACATGTACTGTATAATGGAAATGTTGTCAGTATCAAAATTCGGCAGATTTCTAACTGAAAAACAAACGAGTACTTGCCCGCGTACAGAAAGCACAGATGATGATTTTAGCATGGACGTGATAAGACTTATAGCTTCATCGCAGACAAGAAGAGATCGGCCAGACACAGATGCTCCAATGGCTCCCTTTAAACGTTTAAAAAATGAGTAATGATATCATACCAATAATCAAATGCACTAGTGACAATGATCAACTTACTAATGCCCAAATTGCTGCTTTTAATTTCATTATCCCAGCTGGTGTGGTTACCATGTCGTCGTGTGACTTTAATTGACTGATAAACTCAGATACGTGTTTTGTAGATGCCAAGTACGCACATCCCTCGGTAGTTTTTGCCAACTCTCCATACAATTGTATGGGAAGGTATCCTTGTAAATTCCTATACGACAAAAATGATTAGTCACTTGTGTAAATATCAGTCGATACAAGTTTCAATGGACACCCCAATACGATCAGCTTACATTACAAGATCTTTGTCAAACGTATCAAAACCAGATTTGGAAAGTCCCTTGACAAGACCTTCTGATATAGAAAGCTCAGCATGTGTGACAAATTGAACGTTTCCGTACTAGTGCAGTGTTGACATGAATTGGTAAATTCCAAGTATGTATTAGTCAAACTATTATCAATATGAGCTGTTCAACAACGATCTCCAACACCAACCTCAAACCAATAGTCTGTCTCGGTATCCAGGTATCCAGATTCAAATAGATATTTAAAACCTGCAGGAACTGCAAGCGACTGGATTAGCAGTGTGTTTCCTAATACAGTAAGCTGCTGTATGTCTGGTTTTGTTCGTACAAATGCAATTATATTTCGATGGTCAATGCAATGTCGCTGTAAAATACATACTGCCGCTCCAACAATTTCCTGTGTTGGATCAGATAGCTACCAAAATAAACTTAGATTTGATACAATTTTGAATATCAATCAAAAGACATACCTGGGTCACCAGGAGTGGAATTCCCCATTCATAAAAAGTGTCCTTGTGTAATTGTGCAAGCTGGTCCAAGTATACTGTAGCTGCATGACGAAGAGACTATTGAAAAGCATGCATTAGCATTAGATTTTCAATCCAGCTGAATCACGGAATATATACCTTTGAACCAGCGGTCAGGATTTTGCTCAAAATGATTCTAGGATGGCCATCTCTAAAGTCGAAAAGTTAGATTTAAAACAGCCCAAGCCATTTGATTGATTAATGTCAATTAAAAACTAAAATAATTTAAATTGAAAAACACACTTGCCTTGAAAAGTCCATTGATGTTAATATAGCGTTTGAAATATCTTCTCTTCCGCGCATATCTGCAAGCTGATAATATATGCTATATATGCTACTTTGCTCAAGCAGTCTATTGTTCAACAAAAACAAATGTTGATGGATTATATTAATACATTTAGCTTCATGGTTTGGTAAATTAATCACAGTGCTCACCTCATTCCGTATGGATGATACGAGTATGCTCGAACTAAACTAAACATATTGCTACTCATTGTTTCATCAAAATGCTGTTTTAAAAATATATTGTCAGGAGGGATACTGCTTTGTCCCTGACCCTAAATAGTATCATAACATCAACTTGGTTTAGATAGTATGCTACAAATAGTACATGTATGCATTCTGAAAATGTAGTGCTTACCAAAAGTGAAAGTTGTGAAAATTGTTCTGCAATTTCAACAAGCAGTCGACTTTCTGCAAGCAGTCGTGCCCCATCAGATGTAGTCGTCAGATTTCGAATAAAATCGATTCCAATAGAGAGGATTTTGGTAGACTGTGCCTGATGTTTATTAGCAAGAAAAATGGTCAAAGCAATAAGTATAAAACATAACCGTCAATTATTTACAATCAATACTAAACTCACATTTTTGGGAAGGTCGCAAAATTGTCGTGTCGATGGACGATAAAACGACAACAATCGCCCCACAAACTTTGTATTTCGAATAAGATCATCAAACCGTTTTGAATTCAAAAGTGGACCAGATACTATTTCTTCAATAATATCCCAATTCCATTTACTGCTATCCTTGACACCAATAACCTGATATACATAATATTCAAGACATTAGTGTATAACAAACATTGTAAATGCAACAACATAACAATACTAACCTCGCTATCATTTAGCATAATCCTGAGTTGAATTTCGTCAATTTGCAAACCAACGTGAGCCTTGATTGAATCAAATTTCCGATTTTCAGAATGATAGCTTCATACACAGCATTGTTAGATTGGTACAAGCCAACTAAAAACTCAATGCAGCGAATAATATATACTAACCATAATTCGGTCTTGGTATATGGTTTTGTATCAATGCGAGCCTTGGATATGCCTAAAATCTGTGCAAGTCTGCTTGAAGCAAGATGGCGCCTTGCTTCGTCGTTAAAATTGCAAGCCAACCTAAAAAGGGATGGTAACGACTAAAATAGTGTGTTGAGCTTGTTTTCAAATGGACTATATAAAAAACGAATACACTTTACTGTTTATTCAAAGATTATCGAATTGGCAGTAAACTTACCTGGATTTTTGTAGAAAGCTCTTCCGGTAATTTTTTAACACATATTTCCAAAATACTGGTCAGCAGGGTTATTGCAGATTGCGAGATAGATTTACTAGGATCTTGTGAAAGTTCTATCAAAGCCTATTCAATTGATTGATACAAGGTATACATTGTAAATCCTATCTAATGGTAAATTGTATCGACATCTTACTTACCTCAATAAGTCCAGCACGAACAAGCACCATCAAAAGTACAGCTTCAAAGTGAGAAACCAAATGAATTGTCTCTATGGCTGGACGAGTAGTCGTAGTGTGGGTTGCTTGATTATAAAACATCAAAATCAGCACCAGATTATCAAGCCAACACAGTATACATTGTCATTCAATTACCATTTAATGTATTACTTCGCGAAACCTGAAACAAGTCAAAAAATAAGCCTAGCAACGCTTTCTAAATCATGTCAAAAGAGTGATTTAGTTTTTGCACAATGATATTGCAAGATAATGAATACTCTAAAAAACGTACGCGAGTGTCATCATTGGGCAATCCTAGAGCCTCTACAATTGATCGCACAGGTCTCAAATTATCGATGCAAAAATAAACCAGTCCTAAATTCATTCCCCATTTAGTCAACTGCTCTGATTCTTATAACTGTTAATTTAAAAAGACAATTATCACAATACCTGTCCATGACGAAAAGAATTTTCGGAGTACTGCTGCACAACAGGTCAGCCTATCAATACTATATCCTGTCTTGCATGTATAGGCATCCGAAAACTGTGAGATGATTGTCTATTAAATTTCAAGTTTATGCGTTAAAACCCATATAACAAATGAATCCATTTAAAGAGCCAAAAGCAGCAATCAAACCTCAAGCTCTACGTGTGTTCGTATATACGCTCTAGAATTGCAAGTATCCAGTAAATACAAAAACGATGCAACAATTGGATCTATCAGCTCGGTGGGTCCGTCTAAAAGTGCGGCAAGCATAACCTTGGTACCACCAGACAGACAGGTAAGTTCCGGATTGCAGATGGCTACATATTGTAAAATAGCAATTAAAAAGAATATACTAAAATGAAATGCAACATATATTGTATAAATAGCAAGTGTACTTTCTACCTAATTCGCAAATGGTTTCAAGACAAACACTTCGAAATTTGTCATCGATCTGCTCTGCAATCGCTACTATAGCACGTATAATACTCATGGGGATAATATTTGCGCCTTCAGGCTCATCTAAATAGGCACGAATAAAACGTATCGCTTGTTCTCTCTCCGAGTCATATCGCGTATCTCGAATAAGCGTCCTTGATAAAAAAAACATACAAGTATTGATTATCTCGTTACATGGTGCTACTCTAGACACAAGAGTTGAATTCATTCGTCATCACAAATTATAAAACACCACTGTACCTAATGATGAAAATGTCGATATGATGATTAACAAAAAACAAAGTAATGGTAGATGCCGAAATCAAAGTTCGTAGTATTTTGTAGGCTACTATACGAATTTCCTTTGCAGAATCGCCAAGACAGCCTCGAATGCTAATTGAATTATTTCAAAATATCAGTTGAGAATATTCGAATAGATTGAATGACAACAATGGATCAACACTTGAGAAGCAACACCACTCGATTAGGATGACAAGAGCCGTATTTAATTTTGGAAATCACCAATACATGCACAACCAATCACGATAGATCTGATTGCGACCAATAAGAATGTCAACTTGCCTCTTTATAATACTATTAACAAACAAAACAGACATTGCTGGACCAGAACCAGAATTTGTTTTCTTTACAAGGTCCAGAATAGTTAGAGTTTTAGTCAGTGCATCCAGTCGAGTTTGAGCTGACTCGTTCAAGTTGCTCACAGTTTCTAAAAGCAAGGAGGTTGCAGCTAGATTGTATCAATAAGCAGTGTGTTCTGTTAGTAACAAATTGGATTAAATTGTCACTCTAAAGTCATGCTGGTCAAGATATCGCATCTTGAAAGCAGTATCCAAGTCAATGCATGACTGCCAATCCATTACAAGCGAAAAAGCTTCGTTGGACAGGTTAGATAAGACGGTTTGGGTTTATCTGGAGTTTTGAGTCGAGTGTATATTACAGCTAGTGTTTTTATGAGCCAGTTTCCAATAGCAACACTTGCCTAGAATTTGTGAATGCAAGTCGTCCATGTTCAGATGGAATCCTTGCAGAAATAAAGGGAAACTCGCGAGTTCAATCCTTCGTTATGTTATCTGATCGACTGCTTTAGTAATGCATTTTATATGTTGTTTATATTGATTGCTTATTGCAATGAACTTGACTGCGTGTAGTATTCAAACAATTTGACTTGAAATGCGGTCTCGCTGTTTATGGTTTGCGTATATCGCATAGTTGATTGACTAAATATCAACTCAAAATTACTTTATTCAATTGTACTTTTTTATTTTGATTATATAAACCACATTGTATATTCTTGGTTGCTCTTTTAGAAAACATTAGTCTTTTATTTTACACGAACTTTTGTAAATGGTTTAGATATATCCATCAAAGTCTCGTCGAGAAACAGTCTCTTGTATAGCCTTATCCTCGTTCATTGCAGATTGTGAACCAGCGCGTATACAATCAAACCATAGTTGACCAAAGGTACATGTTTCACCAGTCATTATATTACCATGTATAGCGTCTTCATTGGTAGTCCAAGATTCCATTGGAGTTGAAACTAAATAACTCATTTGCATTCGTCGGCCAGTTGATCCCAAATATATTCCATCAGATGGTCCTGCAACAGAATTCCTACTCTGATTTTGACTTGTATCAACACCACCATCCGCTCTGTCTGTTGTGTCCAAAAGATCTTGTTCTTCTCGATGTGTTAGTTTCTTTAGTCGGTCAGCTTCCTCCCATGCAATAGTTTCTGCAAGGTTTAAAGCATGTACTGCACCACCTCGTGCATGATTCATTTGAGTTGATTTGCTAGCTGCATTACGGTTTTTGTCCAACGTGGGCGATTGTCTACCAGAATTATCTCGCAATGGTTTTGTAAAAGAGTCCAACTTTGCACGCTTGGATCTAGATGAATCAGGTGTTGTTTTTTGATCATTGACTTCAGCAGGCAAATCAGTTGTGCATTCTTGAACAGGATTAGCTTTGCGTTTTAGTAGTGCCTTTTGATAATCATTCTTTGCGGTTTCAGACACACGTTGTAGACCCCATTCACCATCGTCTAAAAAATGCATGCAGTGTGTAGCTGTCAGGGTAGATTGATGCATATTTTGAACATCATCGGTAACCGGGTTTATTTTGGCCTGCACTACTCGAATCAAAAGCGATTTTCCGTAATCTCGCAATTTTTTGCCCGATTCTATTGGAACATTCCAAGTCTGTAGTGAGAGCATTGGTCCATCGTGAATGTTAAGCATTGGTGCTTGTACATCTACGTTTTTCAAAAGCTCAAATTCGCAAGTTGGGCCATGCAGCTTGATTTTATCCTTGAACAAATGGGATTTTCCGTGACATAAATACGATAGTTTTACCTAAAAGTTATATTGAAACAATGCAGGTTCAGACACTTTAAACAGCAACACAATCCAGAAAATAAACTGATTTACCCCATCTTTTATCGAAATAAAAACAGCATTCAAAGTGTCCAAAATCTGGGCAGTCAAAAGTTGTTCGCCATTCTTTTTTGACAACTTGTATCGTTTGCAACATGCATCAATATGCGGTATCTGCATTGAAAAGTACATATTCCGAGAATTTCCTGGTATAAACAAGGTCATTTTGACTGTTTGTTTCAATGCCAAAAACGACATGGATCCTCGCAATTCAGAAAAGCTTTGGACTAACATTAAACGCAGATCTACAATATCGCCATTACTGCATCTGTACTCGAATCCTTGCTCAACCAATGGCTGCTCGACAGAACTAATAAAATAAAGATGTAGAGTGTCATCACACACACCAGATTTTAGATTATCATTTAAAGACACTTTTGTAAAGGATTCTTTTCTGTTGAGCAAAAGTGAATCTTGGATTGGTTTGGTTTTGGACACCAAAGCAATCTGAGCAATGGCATGTTTAAACGCTGCTTTAAGATCCGGAAGAACCAGCCAGTTTTGTATAAAAACAGTCTATAAAGAGTCAGCACAGTATAGCTCAACAGACAGACGATCAAGCCATTACCTCTGGTGATTGAGTTGTATCAGTTGCTGAAACCGACGCATTTTCCAAAGAATTCAAAGTGGAAGTTGTTACTAATGTGATGCTTGACCGTTTGTGAAGAGTAGTCCAATAAGTACCCCATTTCTTGAGGGATGCTAAGAATGGTAAAGAGTTGGTCAGACTGCATTCATGTCAAAGAGTGTCAATGAGCTCAACAAACCTGCACTCAAGCCATCAGCTATTACTAATGTATCGACATGTATGTAAGAAGAACGAGTCATTATAAACTGCACTTGGTCAAGATGAATAAAAGCTCAAAACTGTTCGTCTTGCTCTACGTGTCTGACCAACAATGAATTCAAGCAATTGTTCAGATGCAGTCAAGTATTCTTGAATAATTTATAAATTTGTTACACATTTTACTGGTTGATTTTATCAATTCATTTCAAAATGATTCGAGTTTCTCTTTGAGAACTTGAATCATGTCGCTTCGAGAAACTATCACTTCTTTCTTGGCTTCAGTAACTGAAACTTCCTTGACTCGCATATCTTTGATTTTTACAATTTTTTGAGATATTTCTTCGCTTCCAATGATGATCGCTAGTGGGATCTGTTCGCGCTCGCAAGCTGTCCATTGCGCTGGAAGTTTGGGATTCACTTTAAACATAAACTCGGCCTTGATTCCTTGGTCCCATAGCTCACGCACAATAGCCATCCGTTCATGTAAAAGACCACCAATACCAATCACATATACTTGGGTGTGTGTAGATTTGACTTTGGATAGAGCCTCCTTTTGCAAAAGTATCGCAAACACTCGTTCAACACCAATGCTAACACCAACACATGGGATTTTCTTTCCACCAGAAAACATGCCAACTAGGTCGTCATATCGACCACCTGCTGCAATCGATCCAACTCCAGATGTCTCTATTTTGGGATCTGTAATCAAAAGTTATGGCAATGATGAATATGTATAGTTGAAGCCAAAACACACAACCAGAACAGAAATAATAGTAAATTGCAGAAAATTACCATCACTGCCAAGTAAAACAGCTTCATAAATGATACCAGTGTAGTAGTCAAGACCACGAGCAAGTGAAAGATCAAACACAACTTTATCGGCAACACCAAACAGTTCTAGGTACGAAAACAAAAGCGCCATGTCGTGGACTCCTTCCATTGCAGATTTGTTTTGAGATAGTTGAGAATCGCTTTCAAGAATAGCGCACAACTCCTTTCCTCCTGTTTACATTAAACCACACAACACACGCGAGTCAGTCATCATTATACAAGACAGCAATGGGTGAATCTAAATTAAAACTCGACACCTTTAAGCTTGACATATTCTCCAATGCGATCTGCTACTGCTCCATCAAGTCCTTTTTCTGTCGTCATCTCTTTACGAACATCATTCCAGGACATCTGAATACACGAGACGGCAAGTGAGTCTAAACGTCAATATCAGTCTTTTAGATTAAACCGTACCTTGTCAAGTTTGTCCACTGCCGACGAAATTGCACGGGTCTTGTCTGCTGGAACACCACACACAGCAAACATGCCATCCAGTATTTTTCGATGGCTCATCTGAAATAAAAAACCATGTCAACAACTGCTAGACTTGAAAACAATACAGCCCAGCTAGTATCTGAACATCAAAGATGAATCGAAAAAGTAAACTCAAACCTTGACACTAAAGTTTCCAATTGACAACGATTCCAGAATCTCAACCATTACACGAATTGCTTCTGCATCAGGAATCATCGGATCATAAACTCCAGCAATATCAAAGTCCTATGCGTTTCAACCATTAGTCAATAGCACACTATTGTGTATTCGACAGCCGCCAAGTAACATTATAGATCAAATCAATCTAAATCACTTACACACTGGTAAAATTCACGCATGCGTCCTTTGTTGACCGAAGGCTGATCTCGTCGATACACTTTGGCAATGTGGTATCGCTTGAAGTTCTGATGTTCACGATTCATTGCCAAAAACCGTGCAAATGGAACAGTGAGGTCATATCGCAATGAGCAAATCTCACCTCCTTGGTCTTGCAGGTCATAAATGAGCTTACTATCCTCGCCATATTTTCCAGAAAGAATCTCACGTAGCTCAAAAACTGGTGTATCAATTGTGACGGCGCCATGGCGACGAAATATGGCAGTGATCTTTTCAAACATACGTTCACGAATTGCCATTTCTTTGTCAGAATAGTCCTTTGTGCCCTATCTCGATCAAAAAATCAGTTTAAGCGTTCAAAAGATGGACATTGCAAGATTGCCATAACAAATGTCACTATTCCGGATCCCAACACATCAACACATACAACGGCGTTTCGGCTCAAACCACACATGGCATCAATACCTTGGGAACTTTGAGCGTATATTTTTTTACATCTTGAGAATCACACTGCTCAGCATTGCTGCTGGCAGCTTTGATTGCAGCCCTTTCAAGATTGAGTGCTTTGAGCTCATTAGCCAGCTTGGTCTCTTCTATCTTATTACCCTTGATCAATTTCTTTTGATCTTTGATGCACTCAATGCGAGCTTCGATGGTTGACAGATCACTCATGACTAGACCAGTTTTTCTTGTTGAAAATAACGAATACAAAGTGTTTCTGTAGGATTTGCGATGGTCTAGCCAGTAATGATAATCAGAATCAAAAGAGTATTTGCAATAAAATCCTCCTTTTTTTATAGTACGACAACGCTGTTGAATGGCAAATACACACTGACTGTATCGAACAGACGCAATTAGCATGCAATTGTTGCCTTGAAGTCAAGATTGGATTTCTTGCTCGCATTCAAAAGTCACTGGACTTCACGTGACAAACTCATGCTATTCTACTGAGATCCATGCACAGTTATAGTCACGCAAAATAGCACGTGTCTTGAAGCAATCGTTAACATTGCAATTGTTTCCATGCCAATCACCAGAAAAAATACCAGTCAGCTTTAAAGAGTTGAAAAAACAGTCTTCGATAAACTGGCACCAATCATTTGAGATTGACTGTTTATTATTTTGACATCCTTGTTCATTGTTTCACTTTTGTGAATACGGCTGATGAATAATCTAGTGTTTGATGGTCGATATTTTTCAAACTGTGTTTCAAAAATAGACAGTTGGAATCTAACATAGTTTAAGCGTGTCCTTTTAGATTCAAGACTATTGATAATAGACGGGCGCTTGACTAGTGGAACACCATGGACAGATCTACAATATAGAAAACACAGCCATAGTTTAGTTGAGCAAAGTGTCAGATTTGCAGCCATTACAAACAACACTGTAAATCGACTTACTCTTTCAATCATTACAAACTTATTCCAATCATCTTTGTTGGCCAATTTATTGCAAGTCGTGCATTTGACACTGTTTTGCAAAACAGGATAACCTATGTGTTGTAGCAATTCAAAGTCGGTGATTAATATAATGGTGATTTTATCAAAAGTTTACTAGATTTAACTTGCCAGTTATGATGCAAGCATCAGACTTGAACTTGCAAGAGTAGCACTCGAGTGATGCCTCGTAAATCGAGGTTCCACATTTGTCACAGTCGCGTTTATCCAACTCCTGATTAACACTCTGATCAAGGGATACCTGAAGCACCCAATCTCGAACTTCCTCTCGTTTTGCATCCTAAGTGAATTCAATAGTTAATCTGATGCAACTAATACAACTTTTAATCGGGAAATTGCAAACTTACATCCACCATTTTAGTTGGAAGTTGGATATCAAAAGGAACATCTGTATTGAAAAAATCTGTATTTTCCATGGCGGAAACATTTCCTTCTTCAATGGCCTCGCTTAAATCCAAAAACCTGTTCCAAAAAACAAATGCCATGTTGTTTCTACCAGCATCCTGAAAAATCGAGTTTGTCAATGCCTATTTTTTACTCAAATTACAGTTTTTGTCTTTTAAACTTTACCTTGGCAGCTTGACCTGCATCAAGAAATGCTTGATCAACTTGGATATCGCATGTATATCGAAGTAAAGAAATGGCTTGCTTGACTGCAAAATAGTGCAAATCACGCCTTTTAAAGCAATAGTTTTTAAGCGCCATAAAATGACTAATCAAAAGCAACGAGCCAAATTGTTCAGAAATTGCAGGTTGAGGTTTAAACAATGTGCCGTATATCTGACAATATTTTGTATACATGTGTTGTTAGTTTGGTATTTTCGACAGAGTATCAACAATCAATGCCAGCTATACAGTTTGCCACATATATACATTAGATTGCAAAAATATTGGCATATACTTACCAGTTTGAATAGAAAATCTCGCAATATCGCTATGCCGGTAGTTGTTTGTTCCTTCAACAAAGAACGGGCGAGATGAGTGTATACTTGGAAATTTTCTACATTTTGCGGCACCCCGTATTTAATAACGCATGCTGCTGCAGTCTCGTTTTTATTGTCCCTAAGCAAACTTGTAATGTAGGCTAGTAAGTACTTGTTGAATACCTCCTTGTTTTGATTAAATGTTTTTTCAAGACATTTTTTCCAGTCTCCTCGCTGAGCATATATTTCCAAGCCAGCATCGACATCGACATCAATTAGTTTATCTGCATTCCCGACTGTTTTTAGATGAGCAACATATGCAGCCTCAAAATAGTCTGTATATTTTGGTGCGTATGCTAGTATTTCCTTGGCTTTATCCCAGAGTTCTCCTGTAATGCAGACGTCTATGGCTTCTTTGTAAAGCTCGATACTCAAATATAAATCTCTTGCAGTTTCAAACTTTTTGATTTTGGTAAGCTGGGAACATGCCTGTACTACCACATCTTGCACACGATCTGGCACAAATTTTATCGCTAGATTTACTGCGTATCCCCATCGTTCCTCGAGAAATTCCAAATCATTGGTGTGCGAGGTTGACAGCTTAAAATACAAATCAATTGCCTTGGAAAACTCCTTTTGCTGCTCAAAGCTTTTTGCAGCACTGAGAATATGATCTTTGCCACCTTCACTCTGTCCGGTGAGATACTGATCGTACTCTGCATGCACCAATGCTAGCTTGTTTGGCAGATAGGCTTTTGCAAAGCGTATAGCTTCGAGCCAATTATTAGCATCTTTATAAAACTTGATGGCCAGCTCAGGTCGTTGCGCTCGAAGCACCAAAGATTCTGCTTTTGCATTTTCTCCTCGCTCAAATGTTACTTTTGCTTGCCCAATCAAAACTTCTGCAACACTTTCTGGCACATACATTTCTGCTACCGAAAGAGCGTCTTCCCAGCATTCGTTGTGAATATGCATGAGAATGGCTTCGCGTGGTTTTCCTGCAAGAATAAAAGCGGCCTCGGCATCTTTGAATCGGCCTTCGTCCTCTAGATACATTGCATGTTTGTAGTGTACATCAGCCAATTTATGTTTATCAACAAACCGACTCAGTTCAAATGCAAAATCAAATGCTCCGTTTTCTGTGGCAAAATCAATGGCTGCATCCAAAAGTCCAAACTTTCGTAGCAATTTGACTGCCGATTCACCGCCAAGTGAGCGTGCCCATAGATAGGCAACTTGCTTGGCAGAATTTGCACCACCATAAGTATTTCCGACCTAAACTCGCGAGGCGTTTAAAAATAATGCAATCAAGTTAGAATGATATTCTTGGTGTGTCCTGGCTGAATACATAATCTGTCAACCTTACCCTGTATGCATCTTCATATGCGTTGTTTGCACAATACATATTGATTGCAGCCTTCCATTCCTTTCCTTCAATGTAATGGTGCTCAGCTTGGCGATAGGCTCCTTCCGTTTCAAGTGTTTTTCCAAGATATACATGCGTTTCTGAAAGTAAATCTTTATGATAAACAGTCACAAGACGAATCATTTGATCATACTGTTTGTGATTTTTGTACATGTTGATTGCCAAGTCAGGTTCGTCTACGGTAAGATATAGCTTTTCAGCTTCGTGGAATTTTACTACACAATATCTTGAATGTTAGTCGCAATGGCTGCCGCAAGTTCAATTTATTCTTAAAAAACAACAATACCATTTAAACTTACATTTTGCTTCCATTTCCTTGGCTTGAGAAATATAAAGAATAGCAACATCTTCAGGAGACATGTACGATGTGGCAAGTGCATGTGCTTGCTCCCACATGTTTGCATTGGTGTACATGTCCACGGCATCTTTTGAGCATCCAGCCTGTACAAAATACTTTTCAGCAAGCGAATACTCTTGAACACTGGAAAAATGTCTTGCCAAAGACAAAAAATAAGGTTTTCCAACATCAATTGATTGGAGTGAGTCTACAATCGCAACAGCCTTTTTCCATTGTTTTGCTGTGATTGCAGCTTCAATCGCTTTAAAACTATTCCCTGCTTCAATGTAATGATTGATGGCTCCGTCCATTTGCTTTAATGAAACCAAATGATCGCCCCATTGCTAATCATTGACACAATGCAATCAGTCGCAACAATACTTTTCAAACTCACCATCAAGTGTAAATTACCTCTTCTAGTTTAACAACCTCCATTGGATAAACCACTCTGCAAAGTTCAATTGCAGCACGAAACGCTTTTCCTCGACGATAAGCATCCAAAGCTCGTTCGTTGCTGCCAAGTTTTTCATACAATTCTCCCGCCTATAATCATTTAAACAACATTAAAAAATTGACCGTAAATGTATCACTGCACAATGTTACCACACCTTTTCGTAAATTCCCGACTTGTATAAAGATGAAGAGATTCGCTCTGTCAGCTCAAAATTCGATGTTAGATTGTTGTTTAGTAAAACTGCAGCTGATCGTGCCGGTAGTCCTGCCTTGAGAAACAGATTGATTGCAGAAATGAAATCACCCTCTTCCTCTTTTAAAGCACCTTGATAACAATACATTGGTTGAGTTTACATGATATCTAAAACTATTTTCAGCAAATGTAAATCACTTACCAGCCTTTTCTTCTTGATTCGATTCAATCAGCCATTGGAAATAATTTCGTTTGAGAGTATCAAGCTCAGGATGACATTTTGCTTCTGCAACACGAATGGACAAGTCCCATTTATGTATTTCTTGGTACATGTTCATTGCTTCGTCCACACGACCCTGTTCAAGATATATAGTTTCTGCCATTTTAAACTGCTTGTCAAGAATAGCCAGTTTGGCACAAACCGCATAGTAACCATGCTCCATCTACACATTATAGCCATGTTAGTCTTATTTTGCTGCATGAATGATCAAAATCAAACAATAATCTCAAATATCTAAATTACATCAATCTTTTCAAAACCCATCGAGTCGGATATCTCATTTACAGTAGCCAAATAGCGTGCTTTTGAAACATCGCCCAATGCAGCAAAGCATCGTTCAGCAATAACCAATTTTTGGTCTGCGAGAGCAACACTACTTAGACTTTTCCACATGGCCTCTGTTTCAGGCGTCATTTCAAGAGTCTCAAGCAAAGAAATTGCTCTAAAGTTGTAGTTAGTAGCGGAAATGAGTCAATAGATAAACCAATGCAACAATATACCTATCATAGCTACGATCCTCCAATGCACTACCAAATTCAATTAGTCCCTCGTCAAGTGTATATGAAACGGTATTCACTCCTTCGTCAACAATGACTTCTGTTTTTCCATTTGCTCGCTCAATATCTTCTACTTCACCCTTTAAACATGTAATTGTACAGTTCAATAAGTTTGGTTTCAAAGGTGCTCATTATTTATAGATTGTTTAGTCATTCGCCTACCTTGATAGGAAACATGGTCACGCGTTCTGGACTATCGATGGAATACCAGATACAGAGATTTGCTCTACTTTGTGCAACAACGACTTCACTATCAGGAACCCACTATTTCAAGTTTTACATGAGTACATTAATGCAAAAAATAAATTGGCCAAATGTACATACTTGGACATAGCTGCAAAAAGACAGTAGTGTGGTTCGAACTTGTGTACGAATGTCGTATAGGTGAAGCTGACAGTGTACATCTCTGAATAAAAGTTTTTTTGCATTGATTGAGAGTTTAAGCCAATCAATTTTTGTATCATGAGATATAACCGCTACATTCAGGCTGCTTAAAAGATCCAAAACATGAATCGTTTGCAGATCCACAAGATATGCCACGCGTTTAATGTCGTTTTCATTTCCATGCTCATTTAGTTGAACACTTAGCAGGTGTGGATTCATGTGTTCTGTACGACAGGACCCAAGAATTTCATTCACGCCATATTCTACAAGGGACAACTCGCCACTGTTGAATACCATGCATGCTAGTGGGCTTTCAAAATAAAAACGCTCGTTTCCACTTCCAATCCAAGGAATCTGTATATAGATATAGGATTGTTAAAAATCAATACGTGTCCATGTTAACGGAATTTTGTCAAGCAATAAACTACTTGAGAATCCATAATAGTTTCATACCTCGCTTAGTTTACATGATGCTAAATCACCCATAAGGAGAGTCTCGGGAGTAGTGGCAATCAAGAATTGATCTTGAAAAATGTTTACTTTTTGAATTTCGTATCCATAGTGAGATTTAAGTACAATACGTGAGCCAGTGGATAGTCGTTTAACAATGACTTGGCTTGGCGAGACGTAATTGAACTCAAATTTTCCCTTGTATCTTGAGCGACGCAGACAACAGTCGAATAGTTCAACAGCACCACACATGTTTCCCTAAAATAAAAAATACCAACTTGTTATTATGAACAAAGCAATTATTTTGCTTTAGAAATATACAAGCCATTTAACAGCCACATTGGTATTGTGTTTATAGTCAGTCGTGTATTGAAACGTACAGCAACAAGCCTAGATCCGTCTGGCTTCCATGCAAGGGCTGTGATTGTATAGAAATTATCAATGATTTTGGCAGGAGCTTCTTCCCAGCCACCTTTTCCTGTCACATAATTGAAAAGTTGAAATCTAGTAATGATTAAATTGTAATTTATATTAAACATCTTGGTGCTTGTATTTGAAACATGTAACCCAATATAAACATTCATCATACCGATTGAAACTTCCAATAGCAATACTTTGACCAGAAGGGCTGATTTCTGCTACTGTCATTTCATTGACTTGATCATCTTTGCTAAAATCATTTTGCTGGATAATTCGTCCTAAAATAATCAAAATTTTGAAACATGGCATAAACATTCATGGTTTTGATCAAGATGATTACAATCAAAAGCTTAAAATGATGTACCTTCGTTATCGTAAAATACAACAACATTGTCTGGACCAACAGCAACAATTGATTCTCCCCACAATAAAATCATAGGAGAGCAGTGATGGGTTGCAAATTTCCCCTGTGTGATATTTAAGTTGAAGAACAAGTAAATTTTCAACTCGTTCAGCATCGTGTATTAACTCAATGTTATACCTGTGAGGCTCCAGATAGCCCATCATCAAAGTAAAAGCGATACATTGAACCATCCATGTGTCCAGTCATTATAGAGTTTCCATCTATAGAACTTGTTGCGGATACTACAAGTGAATCGGTTTGGTATAAAGTTGCAGCTTTGTTTGATTTCAAATTTCCTATTCGAACCTAGATTTTGATTCCAAATGTGTCAAATATACCGATTTAAAACCCATCGTTATAAGCATTCTATTCATCACTTTTCCAACCTTTCCATCTGCAAGACCAAAAACCAGTGAATTGTGTTGTTCTTTTGGCCAAGTTAGGCATGTGATTTCCGCACTTTGGATAAACTTGTTACATATTGATTTTTTCTCGCCCCAATCTAACCCAAGTTTGTAGACAAAAACTGCACAATCAGACTGTGCAATTGCAAGCCGGGTTGAGTCGGGTGAAAAGGCTAGTCCGCATATATAGTAAGACCGAGCTGTCTATAGGTAGTATTGTAAAAATAACGCGTTAGATATAAAAACAGTTCAAGCAAAAGGCTGCTAAACTACACAAGAAAACTTGTGGATTAGACCATGTACAAATAGGTCTGATGGTCTCTTGACTACAGCTATAGACGGCTGTACTACTCTACCTTTTGGTCAGCAGGCTTGGTGGAAAAACGGTCTTTTTTCTCTCCAGTTTCGTCAAATAAATGAACCACCCGATCTGCTGTTACTACAGCCAGCTTTTGGTTGTTTGGTGACCATGCCAAAGCAGTTACACGGTTTGTCGTATCTCCACTTGGAGAAATACACTTCAAGTGTCTATAATTGTAAATAGCAATATAAGTATTCTTATACTGTGCATGCTGTAGAAATACAAAATGAATTGTACTGTATGCTTAGTATACACAAGTCACCTTATTTGCATAGCTAAAGATGCGGTCGGAGTAAACCTTGAAACATGAACAGTTTAAAGACGCGTCCGAGTTCGCTAGATATATGGGGGCCGGTCGCTATTGACTATTGGTATACGTAAAGAGAATTAACGGGCCAAGTGTCGAGTTCATCTGCGTCTGGTCAGACTAAAGGTGAGCTTTTGAATCGCCTATCCAGCTATCTTGGATACAGCATACAATATTTGGAGGCCTGACCCCAAAAATAATATGGTTTTTTAATGTAATCATTTCAATATTAGACTTTACTAAACATATCAACGACTTTATCACTTTTATAGCATCGAGTCCATGTCGCATATTCTTGCAGCGTGGATTAACAATGAAGTCGGGCTATCCAAGCCTGTTCAAGGAGAATGCCTTGATACAAGCTTTCGCTCTGGATATCTGTTTGGTGAGCTTTTAAGCAAACTGCAGATACATGGCCAGAGCATGACCTTTGTCAATTCAGAGTCGGTTGACGCGCTGATAAAAAACTACTCGCTGCTGGAAGAGACTCTGCATAGTAGGTTGAACATCAAACTCTCAAGTACTTACGCGCTGGATATCATCAATGGAAAACGAGGTGCTGCTACCAAACTCTTGTATCAAATCAAGAGCGCATTGGATGAACTCAAACTTTATAATACAACACTAAAATTCGATAACCACGTCACTCTGGCATGTCCAAAGCCTTTAAAAAATGCAAATCATAACAAAACATATTCTTATCAACACAGAGAGCTTCCCAACGGAGATTTGATTTCATACCCCTCGAGTCCAGCTGGTATAGTATATTTTTCAAATTTTGCTTACGACGACAAGTAAACATACTAACCTTTTTAATGACACTATTGTTACAAATACAATGAACTGCTATTAGAACAAGTAAACCCATTGGTTCCTCCTATCCGCAATGCAAAACATGTGTATCATCAAAAAGAAGTCAAATTTTTTTCAGAGATGTTGAAAGCAAAGCTAAAAAGATATCAGTTTGTTCAGGAAGATAAGCCCAAATTTTTTGATGCAGTAAATCAAGTAAGAAACTATCACAATTTTATTTATCTTGAACAAATATGCCTTGTATTAATTCATTCAGAGTATGTTTTTTATTTGATAGACTCCGCACACAAAAAAGATGAATGCCAATTTAGCTCTTGCCATCAAACACAAGACTACAAAAAATTACAATGCAGCAGTGAAAAAAACCTGTAAAATTCTTAATTCAGATGATATAATGAGTGCGACTCGTGTTCATGAACTAGACTCGTCTGAAAATTTAAAATCAGTTACCAATCTCGAGTGCACTGATTTAGATTTCAAACCAAAACTTGAGTCTCCAGATGAAAACTATTCAGTAAGAAGTACTATACATCCAACTTTATTGGCCAACTATTTTGGATATAATGAAAGTTTACTCACAAGCTAACACGTTGACACAATGATGGTTTAATGTACAGCTGGCTGCAAAGGTCAATAACGAGATTTTGAAATTCGAGCAAAAAATGGGCATTTACAATTTGAGCGAGGAAGCTATTGAAACTGATCCAATCTTTTCCAAAGAAAGTCGTAAAAGCATTTGCACGTTATCCTCTAGTTTCAATATTGATACTATCAAAGCAACTGAAAATTCAGGAAATCAGTTTGGTCAAAAAATTATTTTAAAACCTATAGTTGCAGAAAATCAAGAGAAAACCAAGCAATACCTAGCAAAAATCCGGGTAAGATTACAGGGCTGTATGACAAGAATTTATATTTTTGTTGATAGGTTGAGTATCTTATACATTTAAAAACTGCAGAATCAGCGTTTAGAGGAAGAGTATTCTCGAAAAGACCGAGAACAGAGACGCAGAAAGATCATACTAAATCAACAGCAGGCAGAGCAAGAAATGGAGAAATTGAATATGGAGAATTTAGTTGTATCAAAGTTGCTAAGGCAATCCAAGCAAGAACGACGAATTGCTGAGCAGTATGTATATCTAGCTAGTTTTATCATACGAGCAAGTTATATCTAACATTTGTAAAATTTCAATTCCAGATTGATGCAGATTCGACATGAAAAGGAGATTATGCATGATAATCGCGTTTTTAGAGAAACACAGTATGCCAGTCAAAGACAAAAAGATTATGAAGATGCCTTGACTCGCGAATTTGAGTTATCAGAGCAGGCGCGTATAGAGTACAAGGAAAAAATGTCACAGCAGATGTTACAGCATTTTGAGATTCTTGAAGCCAAGCGAGCAGTAAAGCATCAAAAAAACCTTGTGTATTGCCATGATATTGTCAATGAGCTGATAAATATAGCTTTTGAGGTGACGTTTTTATAAATAGAAACACATGGTATCAGTGTATGTGTTTCTAATTTCAAAAACATTCAATTTCACTTGTAGATTTCCGATTATTGTATTCTAAATGATAGCAAACAAGTATCGCAACGGCAAATGCGCGAGTGGAAAACAATGTTTATATGCTACGAATCGGTATCAAAACCAAGTGTTGTAGAGATTGAACAGGAAATGAAACTGGTTGAAAATACCGGTGCTACAGCTTATTCCGAAGGCACGCTGACTGAAAAACCATCTACTTTAAACACAGATCCTAAAACTACAGTACTTGATGACGCAGAACTTTCTGATTATCTAAACAGTTTTGGAATATGGCAGCTTTCTGCACAAAAGTAAGACATTAACTATTTTGAAGAATGACACTCTGAAAAATGGCAATTACTAACTTGTTGAAATTACAGCCCAGTAACCAACTTTTTGCTTGGCCAGCTCGTTGAAAATATAATGACATTGTCTGCGGTTCCTGAGGCGGTATACGAAACTGTACCCATTCCATGTGTACCACTACGTGTTGCAATCATTGGCAAGCCTTTTTCAGGAAAAATTACGCTTGCAAGGAGTTTGGCCGAGATGTATAACATGACTTTGTTGCGTGTTGACGACCTTATGAAGGAGGCAATAAGGTTTCCTCTATAATTTTTTAAATGTTTAAATGTTTAAATTTACTTTTACTAATACAAATCATGTACGATTTGGTAGTGTTGGTGATCCGGCTCCTAAAAAGCTGACTACTGATGCAAAGGACAAGAATTTGAAAAAAAAGCTTAGTAAACAGCAAATTGGAGCCAAGATTCAATTAGAAATGCTTGAAGGACATGGTCCAAACGACAGCATGTTGGTGTCGTTGATAATTGAAGCTCTTGGCCAGAAACCTATAAACCCTGGAGGCTGGATATTGGTTGGATTTCCACAAACAAGAGCTCAGGCACAACTTCTTGAGCATGAACTGTCTGGGTAAGCAGATGTTGGTTTTATACAGTTTTACAGTCGTGTTTATGTAAATTGAGATATTTTTGTATTCATCTTGGTGATTTTACTTGGGAATAAGCAGTGCTTAAATATTGTTGTACTTTCCACTAGAAATTGACTGTTTCGTCAATAGGCATTCCGAACCTTTTCAAACACAATGTCTATGAGACTGGCTGTTTACTATGTACTTTGATATCTTTAATGTTTTATTTCACGTAAATACGGCTGCAGTTGAAAGCATGTTGATCTGACAATCTTTTATTAAATTGTGTAGATACGAAGATCCAAAACCAATCAAAAAAGGCGATTTAAAACGATCAAAAGATAAAGATAAATCTGCATCTAAAAACAGATCAATAATCGCACCTGTAGATGTACAGTGTGGTTCAACTACAGTATCTCCTGTCAGTGGCTTGGATTGTGTGCTGCTACTTGATGTGAAAAACGAGATATCTGTTAGCAGATGTGCTGGTCAAAGATTTGACCCTGTTTCTGGGGAAACATGCCACATTGAGCTTAATCCTCCGCAAATTTTACCAGTTAGTTGTAGCAAGATATTTTGATCAGTTTGTGTTGTTTAGAATGATTTCTGATTGTGTTTGGATTTTAGGGAACATTTGATCGACTAGCCTTGCTAGATGACGAGTCACGCGCAAAAACGCAGTTGCAGTACCAGCTGGTTGCATTTGAAAATGAAGAGGAGCAGCTCAAAAATTGGTTTTCTAGATTTGACAACTTGAAGGTAGGTTTAAAATGTTTGATCAATTCAAAAATCACGAGTTAATGGTGGATTGCTTTGCTTAGCTAGTGGAGGCTGGCGAAGACGTGCAAAGTACCTTTAATCAGGCTGTAGCGGTTATTAACCAAACAATTTCCTTGAAAGAATCAACAAAGTCGGACGAAGATGCAATATACAAAGAGAATGATGGTAGTGTCAATTTGTCTTTAATAAGCTGTTGACATTTAATTTTAAACTGTTTTTTGTATACTCGTAGGATGCAATCCTAGTACTTTTTACAAAAGTAGTGATGCGGTTCAGGAAATTAATGAAGATGACAAAAAAACGGATAATGCAAAAAATACATTTGAAGGAAATCATGTAAATGCAGGAATTGCAACCATACCTGGAAATGTTCAACCTGAAATACAATCTGGAGCCCTGCAAGTTAAAGCTGCCACTCCAAACGATACAATTGAAAAACAAAAAAGTATTGGGGTTTGTGTTCAATCAGGCCAATCCAAAGATAAAGGTTTGAAATTTTTTGACAGCAATTAGACTTGGCAAAGTATTGATATTATTAGATTGACACGACAAACCAATGTTACTTTACTTGAATCTACTAGCACCATATGAATCTGTTTTGTCAATATCTGGAAATTCACAAATGGATGCATTGTCACATCATATTGCTCGAAAATGTACCACAAATGGAAAACAGGTTCCTTCTCAGGATCTGGCTGAGATATTAACAGATCGTATGTATTGAAAAAACTGTATTGCTGAAAAAAGTTTGGGTTGGCATGATTTGACCTTGTACAATCAATATTTTGTAGAATGGACAACGATTGAAGAAACATATACAGACACTCTAAAGCTTACATTTAGATCCATTAGAAATGAGCAAAATTTGATTGCCCAATATTTCTTTGATGTCAAAACGTCGTTTCAAAAGTTTTTACAGAGACCTGATTCAATGCAGGATTTGATAGATGTGGCACAAGCAGAGTACAACGCAATAGAGGACGATATTAGGTACGTAGCACCATTGATATGTAAATAATCAACTCGATAATTGACAAATGTTTAAATTCAGATCTGATTTAGATACTAAATCGGAACTACATCAACGTATTGAGGATTTGAGAGATCGCTTATGGGAGATATCGGACAAAAGAAGAGATGATGCTGAAGCAGAGCGTTTGTCGCTTATTGAAGATAAATGGACAGAAGATCATTCTATTATTCTTGCAAACACATATATATTGATCATGCAAGCTGAAGTAGATCGATATCTGGGATCTTGCCAATTGATTACAGATTATTATAGAGATTCAAACCTCAAAGTATGCGCTTGCCTGTTTTACCTGCACAGTTGATGCTATTAAAACTCACATGAATAACATTTTTGCTATTTTTTACATAGCCGCTTTCTGACATGAATAGACTACAATCAAAAATACATTTTATCTCACCATCTGCTTTAGCTCCAATAGAAATTGCATCTATTTTGGTTACTGCACACGAGTCTCATGTAGCACAAAAACGCGAAGGTATTCAAAGTGCAAGCATAAACGAGCAAGTAGTACCTTTTCAAGCAAAACCAACAAAATCTGGCAATACCGTTTCATCTTCACAAGGACAAGCCAAAGAAAAAGACGTGACAAAGAAGCCAGCCACAGGAAATTCAAAAACATCGGCCAGTGCTACAGCTACGGCTTCGATACCGGCCATTACTATAGATCAATCAATTCGTCATGCTACTCCTGCACAATACATGCCGCTTGAAAAAGATCCAATTGTTATTGATTATGAAAATATTAATTTTCCAGATATTCAAGCTGCCTACGAGATGTGTATCGGATTTCTCACGCAAAACGATCACGGAAGCGATATTCCATCTGCATATATACCTGCTGGGGAACGACGCGACAAAAAAAAGCCTTTTGAAGTAGGAGAGAGCAAGAGTATGTAAAAATTGATATTGCTATATGTACATGGAAAATTGTGCACTATAGTTGATACAGTATAGTTGACTTTAAACAATGATAACTAGTTGATGATGCCGAGTCTCAACAGTCACCCGAGCTTTTAAAAGCACTGGAGTTAGAAGAGCAAGTATTGCGATATCGTCTAGAGCGCGTGCGACAAAAATCCATTGATCATTTGAAAGTTAGTATTAAATACTGTTGATGGCTATGCTAATTTGATGAGTAGAAGCTAAAAAACTGTGTAGAAATTTCGGCAAAAAAGCTTTGAATCTTTTATTTTGTTAGATGACTGGATTGGAGCACGCTTTCAAGCAGAGATGAATGCTGCCAAGGACATGACAAACGTATTTAAAGAGGCTATAGAGTCGGAAGAAAAACTTTTGAATCAGCTTACACTTTCTGGAGAAAAATTTCAGGTGGATTTCGGCAAACTAACACTTGAACCTGAGCTTGTTATGCCCCCTGAAAGTCCAGTCGAAAAGTCACGTATGTATATAGTTTATACATGGTTGTAATAAAATATATTTACTAACTAGTGTAACATTAATAGAACCAGATCAGTTTACTGTTTTACAACTGCTTCACTTTGGTAATCAACTGCGCACACTTGCACCTGCTGGACAAATTTCATGCAAGCATTTTTATGATTACTTGGCGCGGGCTGCTGCACTTGGATCTACAAATGATTTTTTTCCAGAAAGTTACTGCAATGTTGATGTACAGAAATTTCAGCAAATATGCTATGTCCTTGATCCGTTTGAAACAGGATATATAGATTGGCGTAAATTCATTATATTGAATGCACGAATATTGCCAGTCAATCTTTCATCATTTATTGATATTAAATTGGACTTTGATAAACTGTCGCATGGCACACATCAAAACCAGGTAGATTTTGTACCAGCTATTTCAAAACTTTGAACCATGTTTATATTAGTAGAAAAACTCATATGTCGTGTTGATTTTAGTGTTCAAAATATGAATTCATGCAGTTGTACTTTTGGTTTGAAAATGACTTTCAAAAATTAGAAGACTCCCAGTTAAGACATTTTGATCGACCTGGAAAACTTAAAGACGCACTGTTTGGTATGTACATGTTTGATACTGATATGGTTATGCTATGTATGATTTAATCACACTGATTTATGCAATTGCATTGTGTAGAGCTATTTTCCAAACGGATTTCCTCTGATTTGATGAGTATTCCAGGTGAGACTATACACTATTTTCAATGCTAACAATATATGTAGAGTTTCAAAATCAATAGATGACATGATTTTGATAAACCCAAATTTAAAATCGAGATATTTGAAATATTTGAAATAGAAACTAAAAATATGTTTATCTTGAAAATAATTGTTTATGCAGAAGCTCTGCCTCTTGACTCGTCCTTTTCTTTGGAAAATAACAGTACTCTGGAAGATCAGCAATATTTAGATATTCGCGAGTTTCTAGCATGCTGTGCACTTGATGAAAGTCCCATATGTGGTCTTCAAAAAGCCTTTTATGCATTTGGAACACTGGATGGATTATGCACAGCAAATGATGTGTATGATCTTTTGCACCACTTTTTAAACTTTTCCAAATCATCTCACAGACTCGATGAAGATAGTCTTGAAGATCCATATCCAATGGTAATTCTTGGCATTGTTTTGCTTTTTAAGCCCAACGTTGTAGCTAACAGAGTATTTAGTCTACCATTCAACATGTTTTTGAAGAACAAAAGATATCAAAAGGCGGGATGATTTCGTTTGAATCTTTTATTGCAGGATGTCAAGCGGTAGGACTGGCAATTTTGTCATGTCCACTTTATCTGATCGAGGTATGATACTATCTTTATCCGTTTTTATAAACATAGGTCTAACCATTTTATTAGGATATCACAATTTATAATGCACGATCCAGACCATCTTCTGGATTCGATTCAAGTAAAGGCATGAAATAAATCATTTACGGCCGTATTCACGTAAAATGAGACGATTGTATCTTGCAATGAATCTAGTTTGCTCTGAAATAAACAGTATTTAGATATTGTCGTCTCCTACTAAACACTGGCTTTAATAGACATTCTCTGTTTTTCATTGTCTGGGATTATTTGACGCACAAAGTCATTGCTACACTAAATTAATTTTCATTGGGGTTTAAAAATATTACATTGTGGAACGAAATGCTGCCTAGAATGAGATGAACGTTTGGAAATGTTTCATGGTATTGTTGTATCTTGAATTTCATATATTTGCGTTCTAATTCAACAAAGTAAACATTGGGCAATCATCATGGAATGAAACTGTTGTTTGCATTTTATGATACTTGGTTTGAATTGAAAGTTGAAGATTGAACAAGTTCAAGAATGTGAAGATTTATTCAGTTTGCAAAAATAAACACCGAGAAAGAACAGTGAGCTAAGAGTTCATAAAACAATATTGCTCACTAATATTGGCAAAAGCCAAACATGAGACTAGATGTTTATTATGTATTTGACACTTGTTTAGTGCTTTATTTTACGTGAATACGGCTGTAGAATAGACACTTGACTACTTTTGAATGAGTTTACCACACATTTTGGCAGAACAAATAAAAGTTGATGTGATGCTAGCAGCAGATCTCGCATAAGAAAACTGGTATTATCCGGTGCTCTATATATACTACTGAGTTTATTTGCTTGATCTGGTGGGTGACTGCTTGTTGAGTTTGGTTCTGGCACGAGAGTTTTGGTACTCTATCTATAGTCTACGCCAGCCTAAAATAATTGTGCAGTTTTACAAACCAAAAACTATTATTTTTGAAATAATGCACCAACCAACTGTTTGAAACATACAGTATTCTAGCAGTATTCTACAAATTGTTGCTACTACATGATGATGCAGTTTACGTTAATTTGTGTGAATCAAATCAAGCTTATAGTTTAATTAGAGTTTAATGACATGCTCGTAATTGAATTAAACTATTCTGCGTGTCATGATTCGCATTAATATTGTATTGATGTGCAAGTATAAAAACATCTGATTTGGTGTATAACATGCTCGTTAATTTGTCTATTATGAAGTTTACTATTATTTCGACTGTGATTATCACTGCTTCTGCAGTCATTGCTGTTCCTGCCATCAATGACAGACTCCAGTTTAATGCACCGTCTATCAACCAAAATCAAAACACTGGTATCGATACTGGATCTGGATCTGGTCCTGGCCTGTCATCTGAGTCTGGTTTTGGATCTGAGTCTGAATCTGGACCTGCCATTCAGGATGCAGCCAAAATCCCAATTTTTTCAGCTCCAACGTTTTCAAAACCAGTATTTCCACAAAACACTGCTGATACTCAAAACATTGATATTCCACATCAATCATCCGTCTGTTCAGTTGATGATTACGCAAACACCATCCAGAATTTGCAAAATGTAATCCAACAACAAATGTCAACCATCCGTGACATGCTGGATAGATTGCACGCATCCAGTATTCAACAACCAGCAATGCCTGATTCATCGTTTGATTCATCATTTGGTGCACGTCATGATGCATTGACTCGTTTGCATGATTTGAATGATCGTCTTGGCAACAATATGGTCAGATTCACGACTGCTAGTCCATTGGTTATGGATTCATGGTCTGATGTCAAGAGCGGTATGAAACCATCATGTACTGGAATCAATGCGGCTTCCACATGTCAAGAAAATGCAATCAAGAGTGATGTGTCGTGTGGTGAAGACAAGTCTGCAGCAGTAGATCGAGCTAATGCAGTTCGTGGATTCATACGTGGCATTGCATTGCAAAAACTTGCATTGTTGGACTGTGCATCATCTAATCTTGGACAGCAATATCAAGGTAACCAAAAAACACAGCTACTGCAGCAACTTGATCGTGTTCGTGAAGCCACGGCAAAACTTGAATTGCAGTCCAAATCGCTATCATGTCGTGCCAAGCAACTAGGCAGCTGTGATTCCAAGATTGGTGAGTGTAAAGGTGTTCAAGATAATACACGCTTGGAACGACGATGGTGGGGAGCAGGATCAGGAGCTGGATACGGTGCAGGAGTTGGTGCGGGATATGGTGTAGGCATGTAATAATTGAATCTACCCATTTTTTGTTAGCACACCTAAAAAGCTTATTATATCCAGACTGGGAATTTTCCCATGCTTGATATATTTTTGCAACTCTGTTCACACTTTGACACAATAAACTCAACTTGCATGTATGTGAATTTGTAATATTGACTTGAAGGATGTTTAAGCTATTTTATTATTTGTTGGAATGTATTGTAAAGCTGTATTTGATTCGAATGTGGGAATAAAACCTTGCAGTTGAGGAATATAAAAGCCAATACACTATCTTTATTGATCAACCAATCTTGGCTATTTATAAAATGCATCTGTTTACTATTATAACTGCAGTGATGGTGCAGATCGCAGCAGCCATTCCATCTTATACTACTATGGGTTACACGACTGAGAAACGCGATTTGGGCACAGGTTGTCCATACACTCTTGATCAATATGGGACTGCTGCGATGCAGTTTCATACCACCATGCAGCAACAACAAACAGCCATTCAAGCACAAGTTCAGGCCACTGCTACTGCCATAGCAACCAATGGCGTAGCTATTGCTTCGGCCAATGCTGTTGGTGGTGCAGCCGCGGCACCAGTGGTTGATCCATCTGTATACTGGGCTCAGTGGCAGAACTGGAATACCAATCTGGCTAGTTATGGAAATGTTTTGTGGAATGCTGGTTGTTTGTCTACTTACTGGGACAACGATAGCAATTATTATAATGCAATGATTGCTCTGCAGCAAAATCTCGCACTTCAGGTAACTTTAAACTCGAAGGGTTGAGTTACTATTCTAAATATTAACATGTAAACCCATTATAGAATCAGGCTATTTGGAATAATATAGCCGCTGCTAATCAGCAAGCTGCAGCACATGCCAATGCGCTGTATCTACAGACTGCAACCCAAAATGCGCTGACAACATTCAATTCGGCAGCATGCCAGATTAATACAGCGTATGGAGCACAGTTGGGATGGAATAGTGTTTCGGGAACTTCATGGAACTGTTGAGGCTTATATTGAACTGAATTCCTTGGCATATCATCCAGTATGCAGAATGATTAAATAAAGTTTGAAGTTGGTTCAGATCTTGTCGATATATTATCATGACATTGGCTGAGCGGTAAGTAGTGTTGGCTAGAATGATAGTATTCAGCCATTGCTACGTGTAAATGGTTTGTATTAACGATGCTCATGCTGTATTCGCCTCAAGGTTTGCATTGATTGAAAGGGATAGAGCTGTTGCTGCCAAGACTCGAGCAGTTCATCCATCATCCTCTACAACTGTTCAGAAAAGACTTGAGCCATCCACTTTTAACAAAAGACTTGATGCAAAGACTGCTGCAACTCTCTTGAAGCAGCAACAACAGACTGGTCATAAAATGTCCAATTCTGCTGCTAGTATGATGACCAAGCAAAGTAATGGTCGTACTAAAGCATCCAAGACCATTTCAGTGGTCAAACCCCTTGTAAAGCGTCTTGGACCCAAACCAGGTCCAATTGAGAATCGTCTTGGCAAGCGGCTTATTGACCGGTTAGGTGATAAACCCACTGCTGCTGGAAAGACTAAAGCTGTATTACGCTCCAAGAAAGCAGGAAAGGTATCCAACTCGACTCCTAAAAGCAAGACTCGAGGACGTGTTGCTAATATTGGCTCATCCAGTTATTCTGCAGCAGATATGATGGATGATGACGATTACAAATTTGGTCAAGCTGCAATATATTAATTCTCGATATTTCAAGATTATAATTAGACTGGTTCATTACTATGGTTGCAGTTGTGGAGTGGATCTCTATTGCAGTGTGGATGGATGCGCAATCATTACTGCACGATAAGCCTTCAACATGCTTCGACTCGTGCATTACAAAGTATCGGGTGAAATTGCAATAGATTCAAGTGGTGCATGTGTTGCTTGATCAACAGACTCACCCCAATCACTTGCCGGATCTTGTTGATCAGTAGTTGTTGCATACTCGATAGAAAGCCGAGCCGATTCCTTATTAGACCGTGTCGGCTTGTCCTTGTCTGAATCAAAACAAATGATGCTATCGGCTGCATATACTTTTGTCTCTGTGGACTCCTGTTTTTGCTGATGTGCACAATCGCACAAGTCTTTTAGCTCGTCTTTATGCGTATTGACATACTCGACGGCTGTACATGCCGCTGCTTTTTTGGCATCGCGTTGCCCAGTGCCGAGACATTGAGCCAATACCATGTTGTGATACGTGATAGTTGCGGTAGTACCTCCATGTAGACCATATTCATATCTGAATGTTTTGTTTTTAAAAATAGTTGGATTTCAGTACTTTTTGGCAATTGTATTCAACAGAAATGCAGACAATAGATTTGTAGTTGTCAAATTTACCCGACAAAAAACATACGTGTAATCTATCTTGACACATTTAAACAATGAATAGGACAAGGTTCGCAATTCAGCAACTGGGTTCTCGTATATCATTGATTCTCCACCAAACAGCGATGTGAATCGCCACCACCAAGGTGAGATCACTGTGATGTCAAACATGCTTTGCACGCAGTGTATATCAAATTGAGAATCTACAAATACAGCACCTAGCATGGACTCGTAAACATCACCTGCAGTTTTTGGTGCTGTATTTCCCTTGTTCCAAAACAATCGAGCAGAGGCAATTTGAGTAGCTGACGTCGATATTGGTAATGGAGTAGATGATTCAGATGCAAGATAGCCTTGAACCCATGTAGCAAACCGCCCGATTGCTGCTTCCATAGTCATATCTGTATGGCGTATATACTTTACCAACCCAATTTGAATCGACACACATGCCAGAAATTGATTGCAAACAAGCTCAGCGCAAAGTTTTGATAATCCACCTGGATTCAACGGTGGTGTAATTTTATACAAATGTTGCATTACAAGGTAAGAAAGCACTGCATCTCCTAAAAATTCAAGCCGTTGAAACATGCTACCCAGTTTTCCCGTTCCTGAATGGTTATAGTGTATGGTATCAACGAGTTTATGCATATTTCTTACACCACGTACATCAAACTGGTTTAGTGATATACGAATGTTGTGGCTTGACCAAATCACAATCACCCATATTGTCGACTGTCCAACTCGTTGACATTCAAACCGTGTCATCACTAGTCACCATATAATGGTTGACTGGTTCGTTTGATTGACCTGACATATCGACACTTTGCAAACCTTGACTTGATTCATCAACTTGGATATTCATATAATATTGGGTTTGTATCATCATGTTGGACTCGTTATCAAATACCTTGATGTGTCCATGCAACTCAAACTCGATATACACACATTGGTTACTGTTTGACATGAGTGGGTCAATCATCAATACCAGACAATGCAACTGTATTAGTTGTATGATACAATCAATCATGGTTGACTCATCACCATCAAATATCAAATGTTGATCACGTATACATTGATTTGTAATTGCATGGTCTGTTGGCAATGCACACTATGATATGCTTGACAAGTTGTTGATTTGCAGTAATCAGATGTGCATCGCCTGTAACATTGGATGCAATTGACGAGTTGTAACCGCAAGTCAACAACCATGGATATGTTGGTGATTGTGTTGACTATATGATTGGTATTGATTAGCTGTCATGATCGATTGGTGGACAATACAATCCACATTGATTATGACGTGTTGCAACTAGTTGATATATGCAGATTCGACTGATGATCGAGTATATGTTGATGAGTAACTCTGTCACTGTTTGGTTTGATTGGTCATTGCTACTGCTTGTATATGCAGTGTATTCATGTGTGATGTATTGGATATCGGTGTTGAACCTGTTGGAAGATATATTGTCATGTTGTATCAAATCGCACTACATTTAGAATGCAATCATTGATTGGTTGGCTTAGTGATCGACTCGACTCACATTCGACTGTAATGGCCACAAATCTGCATTGCTGATTGACACGCATATATCGACATGTATCAGACTCGGACATGGTGTATATCAGTTGCATATACCAATCACTGATGCAATTGATGATGATCGATTAGTCAATCAATTCGATATCAACACCAATGTCAGTCCATTGCCACATGAATACTTGCAGTTGTGACTTGTGTTCAGTCAGTAATACTGTTGTATATCGCGACTCGATACAACATACAGCATGATATATTGGACAATTGTATTGCAACACGGTCAATGGCATGCTGGTGATTTGTTGTACTGCCTGACTGTATATATGGTGTCGATCAGTGTCAATCAGTAATGCATTTGTATTGATCATGAATTGTGTGCAGTAATCTGGCAGTATCGTGATGTATGATACCATGATCAATGCAAAACATCACTCGATCAAACACGGTAATTGTGGTTGTGATTACAATCTAGAATTGGATGTGGAATACAATCACAACCATAATTGACAGGATATTGGGTGACTTTGTGTGCAGTAACCATTATTGGTAGTTCAATCTGGATATACACAAAAAACAACCGACTGTTGCATAGACTGTATTTGAATTTGCATGATAGCAAGTCGTTGGATGACCCGACCTGTATACAAATTGACTGATAAATGACAAATGGGACCAATCTAAACAGTGCACAGATGGATGCTGGTCAAAAAACATGACCAATTGAACAATCAGTCAAATACTTGGTATACAGTGACAGTGTATGCTGTGGTAATGGATTGTAGATGCGATGATAATTATCCATAATGGCACTACCTGATCACTGGATACATCACTACAATTGGGAATATCAACACAACATACTACCGAGGTTAATTATACACCAACAGTGATGCTTGTATATTAATCCACCCTACATGGTGTATTTGGCTTTTTTTCTGATCATTCATTTGAAAAGTGCCGATTGTCACCCTTGAAGCTGCCGTCATTATAAAACGGCAATCATGTACCAGATTCAACCCATTTTCATCACACTACTCGATACAATGCTGATTACTCTAGAATGCGTTACAAGCGGTTGCTGCAGTTCGACTTGCATTACATCCACCAATTGGGATTGCCAGTCAATCAAACAATAGGTTGTCAAAATGATCACCCGTTGAATTGGGTGGTGATATCAAGAAATGCTACACAATGAGATTTAATATTGATGGAGTTGATGTATGTATCATGCCATTTATTGTAATGTGTGTGATATGTTCAAACCGTGCATGTATTGGATCAGTTTAATATGGTATACTGCTGCAAATATCATGATTATCACATTCCATTAGTATGTGTGATCATATTGCACCAATCAACCAGTATACGATCACTGGATACATCAACATATGGTACTTGACACACGACAAAGTTGATACTGCAACTGATGTGTGTGATCAGTCAAGCTATTGATGCAACCATTTTGATACCACAATCAACGAGTCAAACCAGTCAAATTGGTCGGATCTGATATCAACACACATGACTATTGTTGGTATTGGTGTTGCATGTGCCAATACGACATGTCAAGCAATATCATATCGACACAATACACACATGCATGTCAGCATCATCAATGTGTACAACTATGCAATATACAATCAACTGTATTGTATTGGAAATACAAGTGTCAATGCATACTATGATACCATGCCAACCAAGACTGTACAATGACCAGATATAATGCATGCACATACAATTTTATTGTAAACTAAATAAAATGATAGTTGAATCAGTTGAAACGAGTCCAGATTAACATTCAAGTCAATGGTTCGCGATCGTCATCTCCGGGTCGCTTAAAGAATGATCCCAATCCATCCATAAGCTTGGAAACCCTTTTCCGTTTTTTGGAGGGCACTTTCTGCCTAGAGGATCCAGATCCAGATTCTTCATCGGATGCATCATCCGATTCTTCATTCAATAATGGTTGAAAATCTTTGTGTTTTCGTTGATCACCAGATTTTCGATGCTTTCGTCGACCACCAGATTTTCGGTCAAGATCCTTGTTTTTTAATGATTGCTTTTCAAGGTAATCTTTAACGGAAGGCATTTCTTTGATAGTAGAAGTTTGGAAATCAACTGTTGCAACATTCGTAGTGGTTCCGAAAACGAGACTCGCAATATGTTGATTGATTTCCCATTCTTTTTGTGCAAGATCATCAATCTCAGACTCGCACTCATAAAGACTTCTTTGAAGTTTGACAAATTTGGAATATTGTTTTTCAAGATTAGACTCAGCCTTTCGAATCTTGTCATTGTGTTTTGAACTGCCACCTTTTCCTTGAGGTTTCTTTTCCAGAGTTTCAAGCTTTTTTTCCAAGCCCATTACCACCTTACGTTGAATGTCAGATTGAGATTGTAACAACCAACATATTTTTCTTTGCTGATTACGATTATCCTGTATCTTTACGTATTCCTTGAGCAATTCCTTGACGTTACCTGGAAGTGGATCAAGAGCACCCAAGCCTATACCTTTTGGATTAGGAGTTGACGAGGTGCTAGCTTCAGTACTTGTAGTTGCACTGGGAATGACGGTTGAAATGCTAGTTTCAACATCTGTAGTTGCACTGGGATTGACTGGATTGGCTGTAGTAACCGAGAGGGCAAGCAAGATCGATGACAATACAGCAACTGCGAGTTTCATTCTACTGGTTTGGTTGAGCAAGTTGTAATGTCATTCAACAAGTCGGTTTTTGAACTATATTTATATCCATTATTGAATGAATGATATTAAAAGCATATTCCTTGAATAACCGTCCTAAGGGTTAGTGTTGTTGTCAGGGTTGAATGGTGATTTGTGATCAATGCCAAACTTTGAAGGGATCTCCCTTTATATGGTGATCCACAATTTTGATTAAACCGCCACCTGTGTATTCAAATATCATATGGTTGATTGAAAGCTTCACTCTGAAAAGGGTTATGGTCAAGGGTTAGGGTTAAGAAATGAGTATAAACTGAGACTGCAATAAGTTGACACTCGGATATTAGTTGGTCATCAATATGTGTTGTGATATTTCATGCTTGTTAAAGTAGCAAGTGATTGGCATGATTCAACGTACAAGTAGTGTATAATGAGCATCGGATGATACTGTTTTACTTGAACAAGAGTGCTAAATCTGTTGGAATAATTGTAATTTAGTCGTCTATTTCTGTACTACATTTTACACCCTCATTGTTACACAACATCAAATGTCTGCAAAGAAAACAGCTGGAAATGGAATGTGTTTGTAGAAATAGAAAACATCATACACAATATGACAGCAGTATTGCATACATACAAATCAAAGTATGCTATCATGATTGCCAACGGATTGATTGAAAACAACTTTATATCCAACTTGTCCATCAACAACCAACAACTCTATTGGAGTTTTGTGTAATCTGATTTATATTAATTTAAATGGAGTGTGTATGATCTGTGACTGTTAGTAGTTGACAGAAAATAACAAATCAAAAGTGTAATGGGAGTTGCACAATAATTCAGGATCAGCAGACTTGGGGTTTTCAATGATAATGAAAAGATGTAATAAAACAATAATATGTTGAAATGGTTGGAAGAGTCATTTATTAATAAATATGAGTTATAGTCAGTCTTGTAGTAATTGATTGTTTGTATATTGGTGACACGAACAAGTAGAATGTATGATGAGCAATCAGAAAAGTAAATTGATCAATAGGTGTAATTCATATTGTTTACCAAGTCAAATAGTGGAATTATGGCACACAAACATTGGTGATACGAGTCCCTTGGATCATCACATATTACCATTTAGTATCCCGCATGGATACTCGACACATTTGGTAGTCATACATTGTATGGTCACCAAGTTTGAACCCACATTCATGTATTGTGTTGGACTGTCAATGTTGTCAATACAACTCTGTACACACATTTGTTGTATTCTGAATCACAGATACGATCGCAATCTAGTTCAACAACAATCATGACACATGTCAGTAATGCAACCATGCATGTCAATCACCACCAACAACACCACTGTATTGTCAATCAGTCCATGACACTGACTGTTTATTACACACCAACACTGTTAGTATTCCGTTTACATGACTAGACTGCAAGTTGTCGTATTCGTTTCTGTAGATTTGAAATTGTTAGTAATCGAGTTTTGACATTCAATTCGTGCTGTTTTTGTATATTTTTGTATATTGCTGGACATTCAACTCAACGTCTTATTCCAAAGTGGACATGTGTTTGATGTCATGTTTGTATAATCGAAACAGGAACCCAGTTTGCCAAGTAAATGCTGCAAGACTCTTGACAACCAGTCATGTACAGTATTGAGTCGGATGTTCATACTATTGATAGCATGACAATTGACAGTTCAAGAGTTCTGTTGAAGCTTTTCTAATCATTGGCAATACTTTGAGTTTGCGTATTGAAAGTATTACAGTTGGCATAAAGTATTGATACTGCTGATATGACCATCAATCCATACTGCATTGAACAGGACTGCAACACAGTATCATATCACTAGATCAAGTGTTGAGGCAGAGCCGTTTGAAGGATTTTACCACTAATATTTGACCAGCTGTTGTGTGGGTAAACTGTTACCCTATACTGACCGTAACCTGAAACTGACTGATCATGCCAATCGATCTTGACATATTCTTTAGTATATGTATTAGGGTCACCAGTCCTTGACTATGAGTCCTGTTTCATTCAATGGCTGAAGAGTTGTGCATAAAACAGCCTACACATGAGTATCTATGCTACATATACCTAAATGGCGGTCGAGTTGTTGCTGCGTAAGCTTGTATAACCCGTATGTCTTGATTATATATTTAACCACCATAAAAGCATAGTGCATATCCACAACTGACCCATTCATTACCAAGAATTGTCCTACCAATCAACAAGCTTTATCACATTCATTCTCGTCAACAGGATGAAATTCATATCGACTATTGTGTTGTCGCTATTGTCAGTGACAGTCAGTGCAGTAGTCATCGATCGTCCGTATGCCATCGAATCAGAACCTGTAAAAGAATGTTCAACACACATGCAGCAACACACTGGTATTTGCACTTCAACTGGAACAGAACAACAATCAACTGGAACCAATCATGATGTAGCTCAGTCGACTATAGATTCTGATGGTTTGGACAGCTCTGTTGAACAGTCCGATGAATCATCGTCATACTCTGAGTCCAAACAGTCAGATGATGATATATTTGACAACACACTATATGACGACGTCTGCCATCTTCCTAAAAACTATATCCCAGAGAATGAACGGCCCATTCTCACACCTCAGCAAAGGCTGAGTAGAGTCGAAAAAATAATGAGGAATATGGGTATGGAAATT